TATGTATGTATGTATGTATGTATGTATGTATGTATGTATGTATGTATGTATGTATGTATGTATGTATGTATGTATGTATGTATGTATGTATGTATATATGTATGTATGTATGTATGTATGTAGGTATGTTATGTGTGTTATGTGTGTTATTAGGTTAATGGGTGTGATGTTAGGGTGTGTGATGAGTACGGATACATATGACATGAATAGATATAATATAACGAACGGATAGTTACAGAACCTTAAGTAAGGCCTGTTCATTTCGTTCTTCTTCTTCTTCTTCTTCTTCTTCTTCTTCTTCTTCTTCTTCTTCTTCTTCTTCTTCTTCTTCTTCTTCCTTCTCTCTAGACTATATATATAACTTCTATTCTCTCTAACTCTACTCTACTCTCTACTTATATACTACTTATAGGCCTTCCTTTATCTTAGCTTTACCTTTTAAGTTATATTTCTTACTTTATAATATATTATATATTTTGTTATCACGACCAGGTTCTCTTTTAGTTTCTCTCGTTTTATATATATATATATATATAGAAGATATCATAATATAGTAAAGTACATTACAAGGATGTAGTACACATGCAGTAGCAGCACCATTCTAGACTCGGATACTCATATCATCATCAGGTATAGCGAGGTATATGACGCACGTTCAAGTATACACAACAGCACTACTACTAGGACAGAAGGAACAGAATCCCAGCAGGGGTACAAATGCAACGACGCCGCGTTCTACGTTAAAGCTAGACCTATGCATATCTAATACGTGGAGTGTATACCAACTACTTTCTCCTCTCTCTCTTCCACCACCGATACAAAACTCATTCCTGTCCATTCACCACATCCCGCTCTCGTCTTCTCCCCTCCGCCCCTCCTACCTCTCCCCTCACGCGCGTCCTCGCCTTCAGGTCACCCCAGCCTACTCTTCACAAACGCCAACGCCTTGCTTCCAAACTCCTTGTAATACCCATTATGCACCGCCAGACTGGTGCCATTGCTACAAAACTCATCCTCCGCATCGCAGTACAGCTGGATCGCCGCATCGTACTTCCCGCAGCTGACCTGGTCCGCCGGCCGCGCGTCGAACCCGCCGTGCGTCGCGTTCCCTACATGGAAGCTCTCCCCGGGCGTGAACCGGTCGTCGCCCGGCAGGAGGACGGCCTTGATGTTGAACTGCGCAATCGTTGCCGCGGTGTCGGAGATGCCCGAGTTCGGGTCGCCTCCTCCGCACAGCGCGTCATCGATGATCTTTGCGCCCTGCGAGTAGCCGACGAGCACGAGTTTCGTGGCCGTGCATCGCCCGGCGAACGACTTGACTTGGGCGGTGAGGTTTGCGACGCCGGCGCGCACACTGGCCTTGTATGTGGCGTCGGTCAGGCTGGCCGTGCCGTTTGCCGGGTATATGATCGCTTCGGCGGTGGATCCTGGGTAGGCGTTGAGGATGTCGGTAACAAAGGGGTAGGCGGCACCGTAGCCCTTCTGGGTGCCCGTTTGGGAAGTGCCAGTGTTGCGGGCGCCGAAAATGTGGACTGTGGTAGTGAGGATATGGTCTGAGAGTGGTAGTATGGTGCATCTTACTGTCAGGACACGACGTCGCTGCTGGGGCAGGAGCGCATAGGCTAGACACCGTGAGGAGTGATACGATGAGTGAATATGTGGTGTACATGGTGGATGTTGAGCCACAAGATGGTCGGACAGACTGGAGAAATTGAAGGCGTTGGTGCTGGGCGGTCTGGTCTTATAGTGTGTGGTGTCGATATAATGATCCCTGAAAAGGTATTCTGGTGTTGACTATTGCTCAGCCAGGCGCACTATCGTGAGACCAGTGGACTGGACTACACTGACTTCGGTAGAGCCCAATATCAGTTGGTGTTGAGCACTCGGCGCCATAATGGCTGTATTAACTGGCATCCTGCTCATCCTGCCATCCGGATGGGGCGAAACGCTATCTAAGCACGTAAGAGATAAGCCAGGCCGCTCAGGCGGATACTTTAAAACGGAGCGCTAGGCATTACTTCTAGGTCCGGCGCTATTATTTGTAAGTATAGTCAGCGTACCTTGTAATTAGTGCTTACCTGATAGTCCTTGTAGATCAGCGACATTTCAGAGTCCTGTGTGCTTTGCGACTTCCACAGGCGGGACTGGTTGTATAGCCATGTAGAGACCTGGTGGGATGAAGGGCTCTCTCATCCGAGTTCCCGGGAATTGCATTCACCAGCACCGTGGAAATCCTTTCCATTCTCAGAATTTTTGAACTCCTGGGGCCATGATCTGTCTGACATCCCAGACAAGCAGTCGTTCGTCCCAGCCACAGCTCGCAGCCCATCCCTCTGCTCCAAACAGACACCAGTCAACACCAGTCACGAATTCAGTGTGTCTGTTCAATCTCCCCATTTCTCTTCCTCCTCCATATGCCATCGGATCAGGTGTTTCATTAGGTCCCTGCGCGCCAATAGCACTACCGTCTGTCCACACCCGACATGTCATGTCGTAACTGGCACTAAGCAAGACATCGGAGAGATGCGGACTCCAGGTCAATTTACGCACCGCGTACTCGTGTCCCGGAAGTACAGCCATCGGGCCGGCACCGGGCGCTCGGACGTCAAACGTTCGCACCGTCCGGTCGACACCAGCGGTCGCTATAATGCCATCGCGGTATTTATTCCAGTCGTGCGTCAAAGCTTCGGAAGGAGGTACGCCCATCGGACTCGGCTGACCCATCTTCGGGCGCGGCGGCGCATGAATCGGTATCTTTAGTGTGAGATGGTTGCTGGCGCTCGCCGGTGTCCTCAGATCGAATATCCGCAAATGACTGTCTGAGCTCACCGCACTCAGCACGCTCGGGCTATGCGGGCTAAATTGTGCGCTATATGTACATGAATGCGTGGGTAGTGTGGTGACGCTGTTGGGCAGTTCAGGACGCCATATCTTGACTGTGCCGTCCCAAGAGGAGGAAAGGAAGGTGTCTTTGGCGATAAGGTTCCAGTGCACGCTGAAGACCTCGCGGGCATGTTCGGACCAGGACTGAATGGGGAATTGGTCGAGGGAAATGTCGTACAGCTTTATACTGCCATCGCCCGAGGCGGCCAGAATCTGGTTCTCGTGTGCTTCTGACCACGTCGTGTCGTAGAGACAGTCTTGTGTGTCGAACCATTTCTCGGCAACAATCCCATTTGGTGTCAATCCTAGTATATACAGCCTCCCATTTCCCACAAGCCCAAAGTTTGCCGCCGATGCAACCGCTATGCGTGAATCGAAAAAGGGACTGTATTTGACACTGTAACCGTTGAAGCCTTGAGTGCGGAACTCAAGCATCGTGGAGGTAGATGAGGGGTTTCGCGAGGAGCGGTCGCGGGAGTACGGCACGCCGAGCGGAGGTTCGGACGGAGGAGCGGCAGGTCTGGACAGCTGTTAGGTCTGGATAGTAGTCAGTTACTACGGCATCTTGCGAAGATTGTTCATGTAGAGAAGCTTGCTGAGACTTGGAGAAGCTGTAGATAATATGTCAACTTGCCTCGGCCAAAGCTGAGCTCGGGCCCCCTCCGCATTCTTACGTATTGCGTCACATGCAACTACATATTGCCAGATTAGGACAGATCAAAATCTGATCTGCGCAATATGTATTCGAGCACGTTTGTCCTATGATTTCATCACGAATTTGTGTTTCATCCAAGACCGGCTATGGGATATCGTGTACGTCTATCGTGAATCTATGAGTGATAGCGTTATACAAGCCGTGCTCTTTTATGGTAAATGTTACACTATTCTATACATACATTTACTTCGAAGCTAAGAACTAATCTGCTGCACGACATCCGTGCAACTACTCAGACCAGCTGGACATAGTCTTAGCTATGTTCCATACGTTGCAAAAAAAAAAAAAAAAAAAAAAAAAAAACTAGAAATCTGCCCCCAGAAGTCGATTTTGTCTCACTTCAACAAACAGTCTAGTCCACCTTGATCGATCTATATATCTTGAGAACAAACATCCACGAGGCGAAGAACCCAATGGACCCTAGCAATAGTCAGTAAATATGCTCAAGCATTAGGAACGGAGAAAGACTTACCAGTCAGCACAAACACCATCAGACTAATCAGCGCACTATAGCCCAGATACAACACACCACTCGTCCAACTCGTAAAACTCAAGGCCCTGAGCCAGTAAAGTATGGCGCTAAGGAACACATAGCCTGCGCTCGCACCCGCTGTGAAGAACGACCGCCACTGCCAATGATAGTCCTCTGCGCACAGAACGAAGTAGACCATCAGTACCGTGACGGATGCGCATGTCATGATCATCAAGCCATAGCACACAAACAAGAAACCGAACATGTAATATACTTTGCTGAACCATATGCTGTTCATTATAAAGTATAGTTCAACAAAGATGGCGCCGAATGGAAGGACTCCGGCAATTAGCATGCTAGGAAGAGGTCGAAGGTAGCCCGATGCCTGTGGGATCTGGCGGGGAATCTGGTTCGTGCGTACGGGCGCCTCGACAGCTGGGTGTCGAAACCCTGCCCAGCTGCCTGCGATAGATAAAGGCACGCTGATGACGAACCAGAGCCCGACAATGACGAACATGGTCAGGAATGGCACGGCCCCTGATGCCTGGCGGGCCCAAACGAATAGATTGAGCAAGAAGAATGTAGAAAAGACAACGAGGGGAAGCGCAAGAGGGGTCAAAGCAAAGTTCTGCTTCCACTTCTCTCCGCCAAAGGATTTGTAGGTGCGCGCGGAGACGTAGCCACCGATCGAGCCGAAAAAGGTGTACAGAAGGATCATTATAGTGCCGAGAGCGCCACGGTTGGACGGCGAAAGAAAGCCAAGCATAGCAAATGCTTTGTCACGTTAGCTGGAGATGACTGGGAGGAGAGTCTCAATGCACATACCAATGGTAAAGCCAGCCATCATGAACAGTTGGGCTCCATTCCCTAGCAGGACCGAGAGCAGGAGGGGATTTTTCGGAGCTCTAAACACATCTCCATGAACCAGCTTCCAACCGGAGTCTTCTTGAACGCCATCTTCCACTGCACTGGTACCTGAAAGGTCGTCCAGCGCAAACTGGTCAAGACGATTATACCGGGCGATATCTTTCCTCAACGTCCTGACCAGAATAGTGCTAACCGTGGTGATCAGGAAGATGACAATGACGGCAGAGTTGACAAGGGACAACCAATGAATTCTGGGGTCGTATACGTGGAGATATTTGTCCCATCGCGTTGCGAAAGGAGTTGCCGAGTCCCGCCAGAAAACGCTATACGTGAAGGTGACCTCTGTAGTACTGTCCTCGGATAGAACAAGGGGGTGATCTATGTCCCCACATTGCGCCTGATCTCCGTTGACGTTCTTTGAGCTCTTCAGGGACATCGGTTCTACCAAAACGCCCACAACACGATACGAATCGTGACCTGCCTGGTGGAAGTCCACGAAGATGTTATAGTGGTTGTTGAAGATAGGAATCATATCCTCCTGGGGCGTCTCGTCATCCTCAGCGTAAACATATCCAAGCGCGAACCCGGGACTGTAGAAAGTACTGTTATCTTCGGGATCCATGAGCTGCTGAGCCGCCGGTAGTCCGTCAATTAACCAATTCATGTCATACCCTTGATTTATCCTGCTATTCACAAATTTCGCGTCATCCGGCGGGAATATCTGGGATCCACAAGTCGCCTTGCACGTCTCATTTTGGCCCATGCGGAGAACGTACGCAGACGTCTTTATTCGGTCTCCAAATATTATGCTTCCTAGCGACTCCTGTATATTTTTTGGACCATCCTTCGGTTTGCAGTAATGGAATGCGTCATGATAGTAATCGAAAGAGAACACAGACCGCAACTTTCGGTCATCGTCTGTGTCTGTTGGTGTGAGTGAGTTCACGTATAAAGGAACCTCGTCGCCAATTCTGTAGGACGTAGGCGCAACGCCTGGGAGGTAGAATGCAGAGGCTGGGAATGGCGCGATGAGTGCCAGGGAAGAGAGCGTCGCCGAGAGAAGAGGATTTTGAAATGCACGCATCGTAGATCGAATGGAGGAGGTAACTGTGAGGTATCGCAAGAAACACTGTAGACAACATGGTCAGATCGAGTCGGCCTGTATAGAGTGGAGGGGGCTTACAGTTACAGATCGGGGTCTGAAAGATGCCTTCAAGTCCCAGACATGCGAGCGACAGGTAAGAAGCTGTACTGGCGAGAAAGGCTGCCAATGTTTGGCGTTCTACCACGCAATGTGAAGTACAAGTGATGTATGGACCCTGGTGTATGTGTCCAAAGCTGCAGCTCGAGCTGGCAAAAGCTCCGAGCGAACCAAATCCGGACATGTTACACATTTCTTATAGGGAGCGATCCAACGCCCTTGCCTGCTCCTTATAACGACGATATATGTATGTGTTACTGTATATCATCGTTAACAACACCCCTTAGGTAATGCACAGCCATCTACGTATGACTTACACCACCCAACAAATGCATTACTATCTGAACTGCTAATACGAATATGCGAGCGAATTTGATGACGCTAGGAGAAGTCTGATATATGCTCGAATACAACAGGTGTATATATGCAGCGATGCAACTGTGAAAGCGAAACACGCAAAGCTGGTACCTTGACTTACTGCGACCGCAACTACTGCACTGTCACTTATCCCTCCCGCCGTACCTTCTTTCTCTCTCTCTCACTGTGCTGTATTATCTCCACATGTGATAATCTCCTTCTGCCTACCGCTGAGGGGAGTACGTTTCCGGGCAAATACGAGCCCATGAACAACTCTGTGGCGCGGCTGTCAAATCCTTCATCCTGCGCGATAGAAGTCGAGTCCAGTCTATCCAACATATTCACAAGGACACGCTTTGGAGATGATGTCCGGGTTGAGTGTGCGTTTTGGTTGGTCTCTTTTCCCGGACTGATTGTTGAGGCTGACGGCGTTTCAGAAATTGCTCGAAGGTTCACAGTAGGTACAGTCTCTCGTTCTATGACCAAGCTGTAGCTCGACGTCTTTTTGGTCGATATTGCGTTGGACTCCGTGACCCTAGTCCTTGTGACTGTGGTCTCGGTCGACATCGTCACTTTCGATCCGTGCTGTAAGCGTGAAAGGGGCACCGGAAAGTCTGGTCCATTGGCAGCGTATGCTTCGCGGAATGTCAATCCTATGGCCACAGAGACACCTCTAGCGACTCCATTGCCTATTATCTTGTATTGCATGGCCGGACGTCCTATGATTACCTCGTTCGCCGGAATTCCCTGCGCAATCTTCGCTTCCTCGACAGTCAGAAGCCGGTGTTGGTCCCAGTGAAGCGAAGCGCCACCATGAGCATCGTCGCAAGCTTGTCTAGTCATGACGGTCGAGAAAAGTTTGTCAGGGTTGACTCGTGCGAATGCTTTCGAGTTTTCAGCCTGCCTACGAAGGGTGGAATTTTTTATTATATTAATCTGTGGTTCGGGAATAAGGCCAAGTTTCATTGCACTGGCGAGGCAGGAGCCAAACGGCGTGGTTGGTATCATCGATATCTGCACCCTCTTCAAGAGCTTCAGTTGCGTCACGAGTCGGTGGTCAGGGTGGGACATGCAGAACCCAATTCTTCCGTTGCCAATGTCCGGCAAATGCCTCGTTGCCTCCTTCGCGGACGTGAATTTGAAGGGGGTGGGCTCCCATCGTCTGGCACAAAACTTCTGGCCATTCGCGTAGACTCCGAGTCCTACGTTCCTTTGTCCTCGGTAGTGTGAGTGGGTGAGTTGGGGGACGCGCGGCAAGGTTAGACCAGGAGCAGCAAAGGTGATGAACAAACGTGAGCGCGATTGTGGATCACCGCAAGACCACGCGTCTAGGATATAGCATTGTACTTGATAGCCTAGTGCAACAACCGAGAAGAACAGTTGACTGAAGATACTGGGAACCTTGAGATCTTTACTCGTGCTGGCCATGGGTACCACATTCTCCAAAACTCCATATCTCGGTCGATATAAGTCGATGTATGATAAGACGCTTGCAACGAGTGATGCATTCTGCTTGGAAGAGGGGCTGTGCTTGTTCAATTGAGCTGTAGAAAACCCAACACAAGGGCTGCCGGCGCAGAAAAAATCTATGTCGCCGATTTTTGCAATGAGTCTCGATTTCCGCCCTTTACCAGCAAGTGCATCGGCTAGATACGTGTTGACAGATCCGAGATATAGTTGGATTTCATCTTCAAGAGTGAGGTTGGCGAGGTAGGTATGCAACGCTTTCGTTTCGTAGTCGATAGCGTAGCGTGTATGAGTTGCGCCTCCTTCTTCAAGCCCTCGGTCAAATGAGCCTCCGCCGCAAAAAAGACTTATCCCAGGCAAACTCTGACTTCCGATACTACCAAACTCGGGACCTTCCTTGTAATTATATGGAGATGTCTCTGAAGCGACGTAGAAGCAGTCGCCAACACCATTTCTATCGTATGGGGTCGGGATTTCGGAAGCATTTATAGTCTCTAAAGGAAACTTGCGAACGTGGCAGCGCCGTATAATATCCTCTGCTTTGACATTCAAAAGCTCTTTAGAAACCACGACCTCATTTGCCTGGATTGGAAACGACCGTGCCCGCTCGCCTGGAACAGACACTTCTTGCCTGCGAAGAAATCTGCGAACTAGGACCATTTCTGTTTCATCATCGAAAGATTCGATTGCCACAGGCTCAAGTCGAGATTCTTGATTCTCTAGCGGTTCTTGGCTCTCGCGATTCGAGTCACTGTTACACGCGACAAGGACGGTGTCTCCTAGGCAGTACTCTGAGGTGATTTTGGTATAGACTGATAAACGTTCCTTTTCTTTCCGGCACTGGCAAATACGATCCGAGTTTTTGAATGACACAAATGCTTCATTATGAATATCGAATTTCTGTCGTATAAAGTAGCGCTTTGTTTGTACACTTTTAGGGTGCCATAAGACATCAATTTTGCAAGTGACCTCCTCAGCGTAGAAGGGTGCCTCGTTACAGTTGCAGTCTGTAGAGAAGAAAAGCTCATTCTTGATAGGATAGTCGACAAAGAGGATGTCGACGGGATGGTAAATCCAGATAACGTCAAGCACTAATCTGCGACGAACGGTCCGAATGTTTTGCACAAAAGCGAACCAGGTTGCTGTAGATCGATCCCATCTCCCGCCGCCATCTTGGTGTGTACCGACCACATCACCTACTCGGATCTGCTCTTTCTCAATCGTCACACCCGTAGGTGTCTCTCTAGCATACTTTCCGCTATCATTTGCAAATCCCAACTGTTTAGCTCGCAACATTTTAGAGTTCAACACGTCCGGGACTGCTTCAGTTGGTTGGAGAAACTCAGCGAAATATGCGTTTTTGAAGCACCGATATGCAAAGGGGGTTACTTTGGTGTGCTCCGGGCGAGCTGAAGGTACAATGTTCGACTCTATAGCCGAAAGTCGCTCCGGCAGGATTTCAGTCCACAATCTCTTGTTAGCATTCTCCGGCTCAATATCGACTGCTTCATTCCATAGCCAGTCAGAGTATGCATTAATTGGAATCCGGTAATCGGTCTTCCCATACTCTGAGAGCCATGCTCGAAACTGCGGAATTTCACCATGCTGAGAGACCATCCAGTCATAAAACTCTCGTCTGAAGTGCATAAGGCTCACGTCCTCATACTCGTGACTCTCCAGATAATCAATAACGTGCTTACCCAGGTTTGCAATCCAGAGAAAGGTTTCATGATAGAATCGGTATTCTGGTGAGGGTATCTGCAAACGGTACCAAACGTTACACGCCTTCGCTTGAATAGTTTGTATGTAGACGGAATCATCCACGGAATGTCTCGTTAGGTCGCCGTAGCCCTCAACAGCTCGAATGCTGAACGAGACGCCTTTGACGTATCGTCGTTCTTTACCACACGAGATCACTCCATCGAACAGTAGTTCATTGACCCCATCCTTAACTCGCAAAATATGCAAAGGCTCAAGTTCAGCCGGGTGAATGGCACTGTGATCTGGGCGGTATATGGAGAATTCTGTAAGCTCAAGTGTTGTGTGATCAGTCAAAGAGGCCAGACCTCCGCGATCGTGCTGATTCTCGCATTAGCACCTGTACATGTATGGAATGCACATGCTTACGCAAAGTTCAGTCAATGCAGTCGCTTCCTTCGAAACTGGCAAAGGTGGTGTCCACCCCCGATACTTCGATTTCGGGCACATGAGAGTACCAGAATTGACAAATTTGAGAACGGATCGGCTCTCCTGAATATTCGGATAGATTGACTCGACTGAAGGCTGACTATCTGGTATGCAGTCGAAAAGCCTACTCTCGTTTTCGTTAATATTTTGGACCGTTGCTGCAGGTGCAGACGTGCCAGATCTAGAAGAGTCGCGACCCGCGACGTCAAAGTGTCCTCCATCTGTAGAAGTTTCGTTTGACAAAGGCTTATGTTTGCTCTTTGTCTGATGCACTGCAAACATAAGCTCTTTATTGCTGGAAGAAGCGGTGAAGGACATGCTCCATTCCATTCAGTTTCAAATACCACGTCCAGCTGTGAGTTCTCGGAAATGCCATCTATGAAAATGTCCTGTTATACAGAGGCAGGAAGTTGTAAGGATGAATGTCACTGGCGCGTTCCAAGTTGATATGGCGCGCGCTCAGCAAGGTTGTTTACCCCAAGGTTGCCGCAAGCGACTGCGCTAGACTCTGTTCAGTCGATACGTGATCCGGATTGCCTATATAATTAGTTCACTTCACTTTATAGGTGCCGTTTGTAGCTATGAGCGCATTTACTGACACATTTGTATGATATTTTCTACATTACGTTCCCTGATCTTTGTACATGTGCTGGGGCCATAATTCACAAGTAAACACAAACTAAAGCGAGATACTGAGGTTAGAAAGACACATGTGTCCTTCATACTGGTCTATATCATGTCCCACAAAGCATAGTGGCTAGCTAAAAGATCTTCAGAGGCCATAGCTGATTGGCAACGATCGTGATGTAGAACCATGTGGCCCAGTTACAAGATAAGAATATCTTATGCAACGTCCTGAACAGCAAGTATCTCTCAGTAAATCAAGTATCATGATACCTGGGTGACCAGTCACAATACCTAGACTAGGAAGTCTCTCAATACAAAGCCTGCGCAGCTTCTCCGACTGCTTGAAAGAACGAGATATCATCGTCCTCAAATCAACCTTCCACCAATAACCAAATAACAGAATCCCAGACCACCCAGTACCCGCAGAGCAAAATGTGCGGACAGGAGGTCTATGTTTTCACAGAGTGCGAACACCGTTTGGCGGCTGACCATATCGATTATTGTGACCCCGTTCGCAACGGTCCTGAACCACAATGTGACACTCTTCAGGAGCAAGTCATACCGATGGGAGAGAAATGCCACGACTGTCTGGAGCAAGCTCAACAACAAGCACAACGGCAGCAACAAGCTGATGAGGAGGCTGAGTTCGAGCGGATGCTGGCAGAGTCAAACAGAACATTCGAAGAAGAACGGACTCGAGATATTCGTCCATCAGAACAAGAAGAAGTAGACTTGGAGCGCGCGCTGAGAGAGTCCGCCGAGATCGTACCACCACAACATAGCGAGTGGAAAGATGACGAAGACGAAATAGCAAGGGCTCTCGCTGCATCCCAAGAGACCGTGCAACCGACACATCACGACTGGATGGATGATGTAACAGAATTGGCAGCTGCTATGGAGGCATCAAAGCTGGATCATGAAGAGGCGTCGAATAAGCCAAAGAACTTTCTGCGCCAGAAGCTTCGCTACACGTGCAACCATGAACTTGACGCCGGCTTGACCGACATCGAATTTGACCCAATGAGCCCAGGTTTGCCATACATCCAGATTGATGAGCGAGGCTTGTGTCCGAGTTGTGGCGGCTCTTCTTCACATGCAGCAATTGGTCGTACTGGTGCAGTCCCGAATCTTCTGCTGGGTGATGCTGAGTCAGCCGCAGCGCCAGCCTCATTCACTCCTCAAAGTGTTGATCAAGCTTTTAGTGGCTTCGACGATGGCAACCTGGTTGACCTTGATCCACAGGGCCGGGGTAAAGGGAAGCGCCCAGTCACTCCACCACCAGCTTGGACCCCGGCCGACGAGTATAAAGGTGCACGCCCAGATGACCCATACGCTGTTGCTTCACTTATGCCAGCCGGCCCTGGGCTCACTCAAGACTCTACTCATCCGTCACCCAGCGCCTTGCGTCAACAGCGTCTCAATGCCTTCCAGCCTCATCAGGCTACTCCTACCATATCAAGTCAGCCTGATCAAGGCGAGATATCCGACGCTGATTCTGAGACTCTTGAGATGCCGCCTTACGCGACGGTCGACAATCTTGCCCTAGAGCATCTCATTGGCGAGCAACGTGAGCAAGCAGAGAGGGCCGAACGCAACAAGGTTGAGAGACTTAGATTGGAGGGAGCGTTGGCACGACAGGATGCCGGCGATTTCAGTGATCCAGTGCCTAAACAAGATTGACGCTCGGCGTGGTATTGGGTCGTCGCTATATGTAGTGCTGCGGCAAGGCATTTCGGGCGTAGCTATGTACCGGCAGCGTTGATGAATGCGTATTAAACAGTAGCAGCTCGACCTGTTAGCCCATGAAGTAGTGCAATCTTCACGTACTGAGCATGAAAAGTAACTTTTTGCTTCTGTGTTTGTTGACCTATGAGCGCTTCCCGATATGTCTCTCCCTCTTTTCAGCATGTATCAACCCAAACAGGAATGCCTCTATTTTTTTTTGTCCTGAGCCGCTTTCATCGCAGCCCTTGCGCTGCGACTGCCACCCATTTTTGGACCTTTCACCTCCTTCTCCAATTTTGGACCTCTTCCAACTGGTGGAGGTGGTGGCTTCTTGTCCTTGCGAGTTTGAAGTGCGTCCATGAATTCACGTTGAAATTGTGCAGCTATGCGCTCGTCTGCCGCCCCGTCCGCGTCGTCTGCATTGTCTCTTGCCGATATAGCGCCTTCGTCGTACATTTGTATACGCGATTCATGTAAGACCTGGTCTACTAATGCATCGCGTGCAATGTCGGTGGATGTACGCCGTGCGTGCTTTGGACGGAAAGGCTTGCCGGTCCTCGGGTTGATCCTTGGGGGTTTGGAAATAGGGGGCGGTTGGACTGGGGTATCTGGAGCTTGTAAACGTCTACGTAGCTCTTCCGTACGTTCGATATTGGCCTGTGTGCTGCGGGGACCTAGATCGACTTCTTGAAGTTTCCCAATGCCGGCTGCTTGTCGTTCTTTGACTGGAGCGTGGACCGCAGGATGATGATCATCAGCATGTCTTGTACTCTCACATCCCGAAGATTGCGATATGTGTTGCAGCTCAGCCATTTTGGAGTCTATATAAGCCACCCTTACGTCGTCAGTCGCTGTCAATGGTAGAGACGCGCACATGATAGAAAGCACCACTCACATGTGCAGGTCAAGAGAGTCCACTATCTGTCCCGTCTGTGGTGCAAAGCGCGCTGAGGCAGAGTCAAGCACGCCTTTCACATTGTCGAGCATCTCAGTGGAGGAGGCAGAAACCTCGGGCTGTGATGTATGTTCTGATACAGTATTCTTCGCAGCATTGGAAAACTCAACGCCAGCACGCCGCGCCTTCGTGTTCCTCCTAAGACGGATGACCTCTGCCATTGATAGTTTTGTGTCTGACTCTTGATCTTGTACTGTACGGCTCGGGGATGAGGGGGCGGATAAGACATTCGCGACCGGGTGTGTATCGACGTCGTGTCCTACATGGCGTTTATGTATGAGTTTTCGTCGCTTTGAGACCCGAAAGACAGGCTCATCTCCAGAGTTCTTAGAATCGTTCATGGTGCTTAAAGGCTCTGGGCGTTGTACGGAAGCAAGTGAGCAGAAAGCGGTTGAAGCTTGGAGGCTGGATATATGTGGAACGTGCACTAGCTCATTGGACCAATCAAAACATCGGAACAAGCGGCTGTGTTGTGTGAGATATAGTGAGTGAGCTAGCTACCAGCTGTTGTACGGGACTAATTGACGAAGATCATTTAGTGATAGTGTGTGTATATAAACATGACATCCCATCATGTTATATAGGCAATATAACAAAAAATCATGTTTCTGCGCTGACTGGAAGAAACTGCCACTACAGATTCGATCTGGAGGACGATCCAATGTGTGCTCCTCTGTTTAGAGAAGTAAATAACAACCAACCGATACTGTCGCAACTGCACCAGTATCCTCAACGATATTAATGGGTATTGTAAACCTTCATACACAGATAGCCATCTGCAACGCCAGACCCAAGTCATAGAAGCACGTCAAATATCAATGAGGCCAACCGGTAAAGAACGCCGCCAACCAGAGTGCTTCTGCATCACAAATCAGGTTAACTACGCCGCAGCGTATGGAACAAAGGAAATAAAAATCGTTGTGTAAAGACTTGACATCCTCCTTAGACCGAGGGTTTGCTCCCCCGTCGTCTACGCAAACCCCACTCTGATTCTTGCAGCTCCCTCGCTAGTTTCAGACTCTGCTCCTCTGAAAGCTCTGCTTCTGTTTTTGGAGTCTCACGCTCGTGTTGAATGGGGCTTCTGTGCTGGATGAACGGTTTGACGTCTTTCTTCGAAGCGCTGCCACTCTTTCTTTTCATCGACGAAACACTTGATCCATTGGGAGGCGATTGCGCCATAGCGCTCGATGCAGGCTGCGGAGTTTGCAGTGAGTAATACGGATGGTTGGCAGTTTGTGTTAACCCGTTGACATGGCACCGAGGGGATGAATTGACCAAGTCTGACAATGGTGAGGATATCGGAGGCGCTTCATGTTCCTGCTTTGGAGTTCGTGGCGGATTGAATGCAGTTGCCGCCAGACTCGGATCGATCGCTGAATCTACCACAGAATCCTGTGTATGAGCTTCAGGCTGCCCGGCGCCATTATGATCTTCAATTGAAGAGACGACAAAGTCTTCATAGTTTCGGTCGAATTCATTATGCTCCTCGTCTTCGTAGTCCATGCTCTGGTCGTATTGCGACTCGCCCATGGACTGCCCATAGACTATGCCATTAGGCGTCTGGGACGAGTAAGCTGTATCAATTCCGTTGACCATCTTTACATCTTCGGGTGATGACTCTCCAACACTTGTAGAGGTAAATCCAGCCTCTTGCTTTTCGCGCTGCGATCGCTCAACTATCTCCATATATCGTCGTTTCTTGTGGCTAGTCGTACCCCTCGGTATCTTAGCTTCTTGGGCCTTGACTGGATCGATAGCACCGTTCTCATCGTGGATACACCGACGCTGGGTCAAATCAGTCTATGCTGGAGTACCAGGTAATACAGTACCTACTTTACTGCGGCGACACTCCACGCATGCTTTGTTCCGACCTTTCTTGCCATCAACAGACTCCGATGGTAGACCCACCAGACTACTGCTTCCACTCATGGAAAGGGCTTGCTGGGCTGACCGCATTAGATTGCTCCCAGTAAAAGGTGTCCCTAGGCCATGCGGACGGGATTTTACAGACTCCGGGCTCGTGGCAACGATAGCCGCCACGGGTGTTGCGAAGGCTTGTACAGGCTCTACAATGCGCGAGCTCGACGGTGAACCATCACCACCGTTGACTACATCGTCCTTATGTTTACAGCGGATTCGTCGTTTCCTACAAGCATCACAAGCGATACGCTTCGGTCCGAGCTGCGATGTCTTCGGGGTACTAAGATGCTTAGGCAGATCTGACATGTTCGGTGGAATTATGTAGGTGCCACTGGAAGCTGGAGGTAGACCGACTTGCTGTCGCTCAGAGAGGAACCCAGCGGGCCGATTCGAGTCACCACTTTTGCGTTCTGGCTGTTTACGGGATATGCCTAGCTTCTTCTCTGTCTTGAATTCACCTGCTTCTGGTAGCATTGTGTCGGGATGGGCCCATTCGGGTAAGTCTTCGTTGCCACGTTTCCAAGCCGTCCAGGCCGCAAACGTCTTTATGATCTCGAGAGGATCACCACGGCCCTTAGGTATAGATTTTGAAACTGCATTTCGGGTTTCCATAGTTATATTCTCAACCTTACCTAAAGATATCATGACGTTGCGGTGCACGAATCGGACCAGTGACGGAAGGCTGTTTATTTCTTGCTTTGAGTAGTACCGTGCATTATAATTTTCTGGACCAGCTACGGAATTGTGTCCGAAGTTGTTAGTCTGTAGGTGTATTGGGACATCTCGGTGGAATTGATTGCGATCATAGAATAATTGTGCGACAGTCTGCGGTAGAGGATCTTCCTCCAGGTACTTGAGTACGGAGTACCACATCACCTTCTGAAAGTGTGGATATCTGAATTTGCGAGCGACTTTGGTTGCTTTTTCGATTTCGGCAACCTTAATCTGCATGTCAAAATGCATCCTAGTCAGGAAGTTTCCACCGATGACCAAGCTATTTTCTGGAGTCCAGACGGCATGAATCCAACCAGAAGGTATGAGCATCGTGTCGCCCTCGGAAAGATCTACTCGATAACACTCTTTGGTCTGACCACCAAGGAATGTCCAGTTTTGCGCCGGTGACAAACACCATTCCTCATACTTTTTTAGATGTTTTGGCTTCGGAGGAATGAAAAAAAATGTTTTCTTGCCCTTGATGATATGGTAAAATACTGATGAGCCTCCGAAGTCGATATGAAAATCAGTGTAACAGTCGGCGACTGACATAAGGCAGTAGAATTGAACCTTTGGGACTAGACCTTTATCGATTTCCTCTTGTGGCCAGACAGCATCCTGGAGGTCCATTTCTCGTACGACCCTCGGACGACGAATGAGTCGACCCAATTTGCTTTGAGATACCTCGAGGCTGATCACGTTGCGAATGATTTTCTCTTCGCTGGTATCCTCGTAGTAGTCCGCCCAACGGCCCATGTCCCATTTTCTGCCCGAGCCCTCTTGAGATTTCACCTCGATAACCTCAACGGGTTCTCGAGGGCCATAGAGTTCGGCTACGCGACGTACTGTAAGACCTTGGGGCATCACCATGTCCAGCTTATCCTGGCCGTCATCAGGGTAGTTTTCGTATTCATAGTCATCTAGTTGGAACGTGCTAGGATCGGTAGAAGATTCCTGGTCATCAATTGCGCGAGATTCGCCGAGCACACCGGGGCGCGGATTCCATTCTGCCGGTATGACTATGGGTTCTGTGAAACAGCCACTCTTCTCGAAGTAGTCCAATGTTAAGAGTTCAGGGCGCATGCGGGGGAATGTTTCAGAATCGAAATCGAAATTGCCATCCTTGATATGTTGAATGTAGTGATGTTCGGGGGTGTCATCTGGTGTTCTTATGACACCCTGATTCAGGCCTGCGTAGTCAACGTTTGGATGAGCGCGTTTGGATTTACGTAGTACTTTCGTCCATCAGCTCTCGAACGGTCAGCTAGGAATGAGTACTTACGAGTTGTTGGTCCATATTTGGGTTTACATGACCGACAGAAGAACTTGTCCACCCTCTGAACATCACGATCGCTCCGGAAGCCAGCGCAAGCGAAGTGATACCATTGCTGACATCCAGAACACTCTATCCAATTTTTCAACTCGCCGTTCATAGAGCTTGAGAAACTGCAAGTCGGGCAGATAGTCACCGGCTCAGTCTCATGGGTTGGCACCTGTATGGCCGTGTTGTCCAGCATAGCCTCCCTTATAAGCATCGCATTATCAGGTGGGACGGAAATTCCACGCGTTAATGAAGGGCCGCCGTGTATCTGTGTAACGATCTGTAGTTGTGCACTTGCCTCAGATTTCCGCCGGTCGTGCCGTATGCTTTTCATGTCATCAGAAGAGTGGCTATCCGCAGACTGTTTGTCATGCTGTTGTCCATGGTAGGAGTTGTCATGTCCAAGGCTCTTGGGCGACTGCAATTGGTCTGGTATAGGATCTTCGTGTTGTGCATTCGGGCTTTCGAGCGGCCGCCCTGGAATATCTTGATCGTCTACGTCCTTCGCAAGCTCTGTTTTCTGGGCGTCCCGCTCTGGATTATGGACCTCCACAGCTACTTCCACTTTCTTTTCAGTCTCATCGAGTATGCTAGTAGAATAGACATCTTCCGGTGGTGTCTGCGTTTGTATAGCGTCGTGGGAGGAATCTTTTTCGCTCGGAGGTGAGTCATGAACGACATCTTCGCTTGGACGAGTAACGACGATGCTCCTGTGAGCATTTTGGTCAAATGAATTCTTCCTGAAGCATGCCGTCTGTGTGAAGAAGACGAGGAGCTCCGCGTCCTGTTGCCTTTCACGCTCTTCCGCCTCGCTGAGCCTTCTGGGTTCCCTATGCATACGCATGCCGTTGTTGACCATTTGCTCCACATTGTAGGCCACCGGGGGAGTCACATAGCTTGTGGCAGGACGTGAGGCACGACTTGCGTGTACTGCTGATTTGAGCATCTCTGAACGGGCTCTCTTCGCAGGTCGCTCTTCACCGTCTCCTGTGCGCCGCTTTACACTCCGAGGCTGCTGCGGTACGAAGACATGCTGCGCGTGGGTATAAGTTGGTGATTGCGTTGGAGGGCCAACTTCAAGCAGTGGACTCGCGCTCGCGCCCGCGGACGACGCGGCATTCGCAAGTGCATCAATTGGAGATACTGGCACTTGAGACCTACTAGGGCCACTTTTTGTATCTGTCCTTCTCACAGATGCGTCATTCTGCGCCACTTCAAGATGATTGTATGTCCCTTGTAGGCCAAAGCTTGTGAGCTTTCGCCCCGTCAGATTTGTATATCGGTCCACGGGTGGCTGGTTTGAGCGGTCGAAGTCGAGGACATCTTCGGGATTAAGAGGCTCGTAAGAATCACGCGGAGGCGATGGTGTCCGAGCCTGTATTCGTGGAGGTGGAGGGAACGGTCCTCTCTTGAAGCTATTCGGAGGCATTGTCTTGGACGAGGTTGGCGGGAGCGAGGGTGCTAACGAGCCGACACCAAGGACTGAAGCGCTGCAAAGCTAGGTGAGCGCATATCCTGGCAACTCTTGCTATGCGAGTCTCTTAATTTGACTTTATGTGAAGAGGTCTGCGGGAGTTGTTCCAAGTGTGGCAGACGTTCGGATGTTTGCGCAGGTGCTTCGCGGGATGTGACAAGCGGGGGACGTTTGAACACTCCGAAAAGAGAGCAGGAGGACAGCTCGGAAGTACGAAGCAGATTGATGAGCGAGTGTTATCTAGCTTTTCGCCGTGAGAGCAGATGTCAGACGTGGAATTGGTAGGAGGAGGCGGTCGAAGTGTGTGGTGGAGGTTGGAGGTAATGCTGCGGTGTTGCGGAAGAGAGAGGAAGCTGGACGTCTAAACACCAGCCCGCAACCATGGCGCACCGCTATATTACAACACTATACAGCTCTGCGTGTGATATTAGGTACGGGAATCTAGTACACAAGCACTTGGAAGTATATTTGGCTACTGGAACAGCGTTTCTGCTTCGCGGAGGCACTGCGATATGGACCTTCGTCGTCGTCCACTGCGGGCAGCGTGAACCAGACCTGGCTGGGTGAATGACCGGGCTCGAGATTCCATGGATGCTGACTAACCATTCCATACTGCCTCCTCCAGGTCTCTTGGCTTCCCCGCGAAACGACTCTCAACCGCTTTGCAACGACAACCAGTCGCGCATACTCGCCCAACCAATACTCATATACCGATACTTCGTACTTCCTTTAGCCAAGCTATGAGTCGACCTGGAAAGCTAGCCCCCGAAGTCAACAGGTACGTGGATATCAGATGGATGAACCCGGACAATCAGTCCCTACATCTATCCGACGCGCGTGCACACGACATTCGATCTAACTGTGTTCTACAGAGCTCTATTCGTCAAGAATCTCAAGTATGAACCTCCGCGACCCTTGAAAGGACTTTCAATGCCAGAGTACATCACTTACCTACCACTGTAGCTACAACGTAACCCCCGAGGACTTGTTCGACCTCTTTGGCAAGTTTGGACCTGTCCGGTGAGAATACTCCTACTTTATTCTGATGACAGCCTGTCTTCTTGAAAGAGTTTCTGACCAGTCTCCAGCCAAATACGCCAGGGAATTGCCAATAACACCAAGGGCACCGCATTTGTCGTTTACGAGGATGTCATGGATGCCAAACAGGCTTGCGACAAGCTGAATGGGTTCAATTTTCAGAATCGTTACCTTGTCGGTAAGTCTTTACACGTCAAGCGATCTTCAGGCCTCACTGCATACGAGGAAGGTACTGACACTTTTTGCGACCAACAGTCTTATATCATCAGCCAGAGAAGATGGCCAAGTCGAGTAACGACCTCGCCGAGCGTCAGCAAAATCTAGAAGCTCTCAAACGTCAACACGGTATTGATTAGCATGAGGCGAGGTCCACGGCACCACCTGTGGGCCTCACCACAAAACAACGGCTGCAACCACGAGCGAGCAAATCGAGCGAGCCAGAAGTGACGACGATTACGACTAGTGGGAAGACCTCAGCACAGAGGCTTATTGTACGGTGTACAGGCAAGGCGTTCAAAGGGAGTTCCTTTAAGGTTTCCTTCAAAGGCTTGTCCTTGAAGGTTTGAGGGAGTTGCGCATTGAGAGGTTCGCTCTTGAAAGAGCTGCATGAACGCGGGCTCGGTGGCACTATGCAAATTGTATAAAACCAAAGGCCTGTCGCATGCGCCGACTGGGGGTTGGCTATCTCTTTGCCGAAGTTCGGTCCAGTATGACCCCATATGAGTCTTTGCACTAGCTCTCGACTTCACACAACTGCAAATGGTTTGAGCCCCTTAGAGGCTTGGACAAATACAATCATTGCCATATCGCACATTAATTTATTATAACCAAACTCACAGCCCATAGTGAAGAGCACTGCCCTACCACGGATAAGTCCGTACTTTGTCTTCCTCCTCTAACTTCAGACCATCGGCGACTTGTCTTTCGTGCATCTTATCGAGATATTCCAACAGTACTTCACCGTATTGTTCCTTTCCTTTGTACCTACTCACATCATCGCCCCAACTGCGGATCGCAGATGCCAACCGGCCTGGCACGTACGGCTCCTGAGCTATAGACGTGATAGGATGAAAGTACGTCCGGATGGTGAACAGAACCCCTCCCGATCGCGGAAGGCTTGTACATGGTCAGCATAAGATATACTCACTACGTTCAGATAGCTCACCGTCTCAGACTCTGCCTCTCACTTCTAAACCAGTGATGCATAATCGGTTTATTCTTCTCCGCGCTGTACCATCCAATCCCCTCACTATCCTCACTCCCGATACTCTCACTCCACGCTAGCTTATCATCCACCTGAATGAAATAATTGTTCCGTAGCATCGGCTTCTCCGGCGTCAGCCGCCTGAAAAAACCCAGCATCCCGCGCTCCAGCTTCTCCTTAAACCCAGGCACGTCGCCCGATGTATGGATATCGCTCAGACACATGCCAAACTTATCCTCGAGCCGCCAAAACCCCGCGAGCAGAATTGCGCCCGCCCGGAGATAGTACTGACCGTCATCCGGGTTCAGAAACATAATCGCCAGGTCGTCCTGGACCCAGCGTGCGCCCATCTGCATTGGATCCTCGGCTAGCGGACGTGCGACGATATCGAAGGACTCGCCTGTAACGATATTGTCCATGCCGACATCCGTCTTACGGTACATGCTCGGATAGCGCTGTGGCAGGTAGCTGCATAGCTCCTCGAGCAGCTCGATCGCACCGTCGTACGCGTCCGGGGCGGTATGGCAGCATTTCTTGCCACGTGCGGCGATGCGCTCTGCTTTCTGTGCGTGGAACTTGATGAACTCATTGTCGAGCTCAATCCATTCGTCCCAGTGCATGCTGCGCAGGCCCATCGTTATGTAGTACTTAGGGCCATGACGGAAGGGACGGTATGATAGGGGTTTAGTGTGCGTGATTGACCAGTCGGGATAGGGGGCGGCGACCGGGCGTTTGAAGTTTGAATTGCCTTGAGAGTGGTCAGATTGAAGGGGTACTGGGTGATGGGTAACAAACCGCCTTTGTCTATGCGATGCCTCTCCAGATCAGGAGTGCCGGGGCGACTTGGCGAGTTTTGCTTGAGCTGGCGACGGATGACGGGTGCTGCAGCCCAGACGATGATTATGAGGATGAAGATGAGATATATGATTTCCCGTGGGCGGTGAGCGAGGATTTCTTGCAGTCGATAGATGACATTTCTTGAAAGTTTCGTATAACCCATGATCTATGCCCAGCTCTGTTGAGTAGGGTTTTGTGTAAAGAGAAAGAAACAGAACAGAGTAGGGAGTCTGACAGGTGACACAGCCAGAGCACGTTGACTTCAAGGCGTAAGACTATATACTGCGGGAACTTCTGGAGCATATACACTTATCACATATGAACTTCCTTGTATATGTCATTACAGCTCACAAAATAGTTGCAGTTGCTCTACATGAGCCACACCCTTTCTGTGGGTAGCTTGGCAGTAGATGGGTCCTGTCCGAAGCTTGGTGTGCCGGACCATTTTTCCCGATTGGGAGATGATAGTGCTGAGATGCTCGGGTGGAAGCTCCGCGACAGTCATTGCTGCAAACACGAGTAGCTATTATTCTTTGCTCGTGTCCTAGTTTTAGAATACCCAATAATGAAGAATGTGACGTGGTTCAGGAACCTCTTCTGCGTAGCAGGCAATAGGTACCCCATCGTCTACGTAACCGTTCCGGAACGATAGGCCAATCTGGGACATATAAAAGTCGTCCTAAGATGCCAGTGCTTGCACTGTCTAGAAAAGCCTCACACTTCAGAGCCTCCCAGGTGTCTGTCTGCTCAATATAGTTGGGCTCAAGTTCAGATGGCACGGTGCTTGGAAAGCTAGAATCTACCATGAACTTGCACTGCGCGATATCGATCTATGGCTTGTGAGCCCTGGTCACATTCAGCCTCAAGGTAACTTACGTATTTTCCTAAATCTTCTTCGTTCCTATCATTCATCCCAGACGGCACCTGCCATGTCGCAGGATAGAACCCGGAGTCCGCGTCGGTCTGGTGGAACTCCCCAGGCAAAAGACCGCTGAATTCGCTCTTCACGAACTTGGCTTTGACGCCATCTGGCATGTGGTATGACGAGGGAAATCTGTACCACTCCTTGCCTAAACAAATACTGTCGCCTGGCAGTGCCACACCAGGAGAACGCAAGGGACTGTAAACCTGGAGTGGAGCTGCGTAGCCAGTTGCCAAGCTCAGGGTTCGGAGAACACCCAGGTCCAAAGCACCTAGCATGAATATGCTGACGAGACCAAACTTCACACTTGCTGGAACTTTGCTGGCAAGGTCTCGCGGATCCGTACTACCGATGTAGGAAAGCACAATATGTAGCGACATAGCAGCATTGAGCGCCAGAGCTGGATAAACAGGATACATAAACCGTTCTTCCTTGTGTGGCTGGAGTGTAAAGATGCCGAGCCATAGGTAGAAGGGACTGACGAAGACGAACGCCCGCAGGATAGTCATGTTGGATATTTTTTGGCGCCGAGTCAGATGCTGCCATAGTAGTAACGGGCATGACAATAAAGCAAACACAAACCACACATTGAAATTGATGAGCAGGTTTCGACCATAGAAATGCCATGGTTCTGTACCATAAATATTGGGGCCTTTTTCTTGATTGGATAAGACGTTATAGTCGACGATGTTCCACGGCACAATGGTGAGTTTTCGGTAGAACCATGTATCTATAGCGACTTGGAGTGCCTACAAGAAGTCAATCGTGGCTAACCGATAATGCATATGAGCACCCACCAAAACAAGCAGCGATCGGACTGCCCCGTCAAGCAGTCGGGTGAAGACTCCAATGCCGCTGCTGCTAACGAAAGCAAGTAGGAACTCTTCTAGTATGAATGGCAGTATCAGAGCCCCTGCAAATGGCCAACCTACACAGGCTCCAACGGCGAACCACATGATACCCTGAGCTGTCCGTAGGCCATCTCTCCAGTCCATGAATGAAGACACTCCAAGCATGGTCGTGTACATAGCAAATGTGGACGGTAGATATGCAGTCGAGGAATGGAACATGCCAGGACTAGTCACGATAATTATAAGGAAAAATAGAGCGACCCTCCAATTCACCGTCTTCTGGATGACTTCGTAGAGACGCGTTTCGCAAAGCGCGCAAACGAATGCGAACACGAGGCGAAGAAAATAGAACTCGACATGCTTGGTAACAGATAGCAACTGTAAGATGCTAATGACGCTGGCATGAAGGCCCGAGTAAAACCAGCTTCGGATGGCATAGTCAGGGGAATATTCCCATGTCTGTAGGCCATAGCCGTGATTGAGATAGTGAGTAGGCTCCCAGTAATTGAAGACTTCATCACAGTCTTGAATGGGCGCAAAGAGCGCTGCTGCAGCATTTACAGCTAGGAAGATGCAGAATGCGACACCATGGTCCAGCCCTGGTGATGGTGAGCCATCAGCACTGAGGCGCGTCAGGATCGAGATGGCAAGCAGCATACATAGGGTTCACTTACTGACGGATGCCCCTGACAGCTTCAGTCACGTCCCTGTCTTTATTCACGCGAGTCGCACTTTTGATTCCTTCTTTTGGGGCCATCTTCAGGCATGACACGTGTGAGGACAAAAAGTGATTCATGTCGGCAGAACTATTAGTTGCTTGCCGTTGTTCGTAGGGCTGAGATGCTGCCAAGAAAAGCTCTGACGTCGGTACAGAAGTGCCCGACTACTTTTTTTTCGATAATTAGGCCGAATCGCAACTTATGTAGTACTCAGTCCTACTAACTTTCTCTACTATCTCACTACCAGTGATGAGTCCTGTCGTATTGCTATAGTCGCTATCACGGGCTGCAGTCTCTACCGATACCCAGCCGTGCTCAAAAGTATGGAGAATTTACAGAAAGCTTCGCCACGAGCAGAAACTCCAGACCCAGAGTACATGGATGAGGGTGATGATCTATACGACACACCTGAGCAGCCAAATGCAGACTTACTTGTTCATGTCTCATCTACAGCGCAGACTGCAATCCCTGAATTGACAACTGCGCCGACTCAACTTCCTGGGCTAGGGAGCCTTCCAGCCGCCAATACGGGAATCAAAGCGCCGATGTACATCGAACCAGAACATGTTGATAATGCTGAGCTGCCTCCAAATCAGGATGGTAATCTGTCAAGGGTCCCCGAGTCCAAAAATACACTTGATGCCGCCGTGGAAGTTACTGAGACGGGGCACGCACCCAGAGCGCTCCAGCCAGCGAGCAATCTTCCGGGACTCAGCTCATCTACCTCTCCGTCAGTATTAGACACGATGAATGTGGACAAAGAAGAGCAAAAAGGAAACACACCCACTACAAAAGAGCCAGCTGAATTGGTCGAGAAGCCTGTCATCGATGAAGAGTTTGTTCGCGCGGGCCAAGCTTTAAAGGGTGATGACAATGCAGAATGGGAGCTGGATTCTAACCCTGAGTCGTCTGGTGATTCTACTTCATCAGGCTCAAGCTCCGATTCAGACGATTCAGACGATTCCGAGGACTATCCACTATTGAGCCCTGCCGAACAAGCTCGCATACTGATGAGGGAAGAGCCGGAAGATGGAGACGCAAAACAAACCGCAATAGCTCCAAAGACGGCGAATGAGATACCAGACGAGCAATTTACGAAGCCTGACGTTACAATAACGCAAGACATGCAAATCACTGAGCTCGGTAAGGTTAGACACGTGGTGGGAAACCTCATACTCGTCGCCGGGTTCACATCAGGCGAGTATCAAGTTCTTGAGTCTGGATCGATCTTGTGTTCGCAGGATCGAACCCTCATCGGCGCAGTCAACGAGCCTATAGGGCCCGTTCAGGGTCCTTTATACTCAGTCGGCTTTCCAACTGCAGCAGATATTGTAGATGCAGGTATCAAGGAAGGGACAATTGTGTACTATGTGAACCAGTTGTCAACATACGTCTTTACAGAGCCATTGAAGGCAGTTAAGGGCACTGATGCGTCCAACGTGCACGATGAAGAGGTATTAGAAGATGAAATCGAATTCTCAGACGACGAGCAAGAGGCGGCCTATAAACGTAACATCAAACAAGCAAGACGGGTCGCAAGAGGAGACAAAGCTGGTGATAAGAATTACGGTCTATCGAACGACGACTATAGCGCCAAAGTCCCGTCAGGAACTGTTACGTCATCACTTAATTATGACGACGAAGAGGACATGTATACACCTCTCACGCGGCCGACAGACTTTAGCTCAATGGTCGGAGTACAGGCAGGAAATGTACGAGAGAATTGGAAGCCGTCTCCACAACGTAGCGATCGTGGAGGTTCGCAACGCAGCCGTGGAGATAGAGGTCGGGGAGATAGGAGTCGTGGAGACAGAGGTCGCGGTAGTAGGGGTCACGATGATAGAGGGGGTAGAAATGACCGAGGAGGCAAGCAACAGCACAAACGTAGCTCTCCAGATCGGAAGCGAGTTGACAGAAAGCATGAGCCGCACTTGCACAGCCAAAGCAAAGACATACGGAACGAGTCACGGAATGGAATCTCGCAGATCCGGACCAGCTCCCCCCAGACGCCGTCATACCCTTCTCCCCCTATACCGATTACAACAAATCAGCATTCAACATTGCAAGCATCGAGTTTTCCGAGCTTTCCGAGCTTTCCGAATTTCGCGAATTCTGGCCAATCTCCCTACCCATTCCCACCGCCTCCACCTCCAATGTTATCCTCTGGGACAGTGCCCCCTCCAGGTTCGTTCGTAAATCCTAACTTTTTCCCGAATCAGCGGCAAGCTTTCCAACGCTCAGAGCGTCCCACTCAGCAGCAACACCCGCAGCAGCAACGAGAACAACAACAACAACAACAACAACAACAACAGGAACAAAGACAGCCGCCTTTCCAGTTCCCAAACTACACACAACAATGGCAACAGCAACACCAGCAACAGCAACACCAGCAACAGCAAAGTCCCCTTCCACTTAGCCCGAATGATATCAATTTCCAAGCTCTTCTTGCCCAGCTACAGAAAAGCCAAAGTCCTCCAGCGCAACAGCACCCACGACAAGAGCACCGTCAGCCACCACAACACTTGTCGCAGAATCAGCCACATTCACAATCTCAAGGCAATGCCCAGAACCAAAGCTTAGAAGAGATATTCCGTCGGTTGCAGAGTCAGGCGAAGTAATGACCTCTTTGAACATTAAGTTGGTTCATACACCCAAGTCACCTGTCGTGGATTCATACATATGAAATGATTTTCGAGCTCGTTCAGCCAATTCAGCCACGGTAGAATGAATCGAGCGATGAGTGCAGCAGAGGCCGATGACAAAGTTGCAATGGCACGTAGCATGTCAAATTAGAATTAACGTTATGTGTTGCGGAAGGGGTATCATGCGTAATAAAAAATCGACTCCTTCACAGCGCCAATCCAGAACTCCGTATCCGAGCCACTCATCGTCAGATCCACATCTGAAGGCCATCCATGTGCCTTGTCGAGTGCGTGCCTCAGAATAAATCATCTTCGAACACATCCCGTCGCATTCCCTTGCGCGCTCTCCTCCGCCCTGCCTCCTCAGAGCTCCAAGTTCCCGCAAACAGTGCATCGCACTCATCTTCGTCGGCACTATCGAATTCGACGTCTCCACACTCTCCTGTCGCTCGACTGCGATCTTCCTTCTCTGCGGCATCCTCTCCCCAGCACACCCCCTTCACAATCCTCTTCGTCTCCAATATATACTTCCCAATCTTGTAGCGCTGGCTTTCATCCGCCGCCTCAACGTACTTCCACCCGAGGACCTGCCCACATATGGCGCATGAAATATCAGCCACCATATGGTGTCCCGTAACGAGATTGCGTGGGACAGGCTTGTGCGTGTGTGTATTAGGCAGACCAGACGTGCTTCGCAAGGGGGTTTCCCGGTACGAGTCAGGCGATGACACGAGGTACGCGCGGCCGTGACGTCCGTTGAAGCCTTTGGATATTATTGCGGAGGTCTGTACGAGATCAGACAGGCAGCGTGAACAGCGTAGGTAGGATGTGCTCGAGGAGAGACTGCTTGGAGACGAGGGCGGAGAGGTCGATGAGCTGGAAGAGGGCGATGCGCTGAGCGTCGTGGACGCTGAGGAGCGGCGGCGGCGGAAGGGAATGGAGGGGAAGAGGTAAAGTGGGAAGACGATTGGCGGGGAGGTGTATGGCATCGTTGTTCGCTGTGGTTATGCTTTCTGTGGTGTTGTTAGATATCAGTGGTTAGCATTATTGCGGGCGCAACGCGCGAAGCTTGAGGCGTACGTCGACGATCTTCACTATTGATAGAGTTGAGGCTCAGAAGGTACAGCAAGACGCGATGTCTCCCTCTCTACGACGGCCAGCCTCGAAGTGAATGAGAAGTCAAGTAGCGGTAAACAGTCAAAAGGCGGGGATGATGCGCTGGCGGGGAAGCTACACGATAATACGATCCGATAGAGACGCGGGGCCAAGGGTAGGCATAGGTATGTTGCCACACATATCACGTCGCAGGGAATATATAAGGGAGTCGTAGGACAGCTGTAGGTGAAGGGAACGTGAAAGCTTCAGCAACTCTCCTCATAATAAGACGACCAACTGCCACGTGCAATACATTATTCATTCCATCGCCATCGGGAGAGAACGGCAAACCCGGGAATCGAACTGGTGATTTGATCAGCAGCAGCATTCATCGTCACGCGGCTGGCTCCTTCCCGCTACCGGCACTAGTCTCTAAGTGCTTAGCGTGCTGACTGGACTGCCTAGCTGCCTAAGGAGCCCAACCTTGCTTCCAGCTCTCTCTTCCATCTTCCGCATTTCTCTGACTTGAATGATGTTATGCGTTCTAATTACCAGCATAATTTTACATGACCGCCGTCGCCACCATCTTGACAGTTTGTTATCCCTTGTCATGATATCCGAATCTGCTCATGATTTATCTCAGCCTCATTGGTGGCGTATGCTGTGCACTGGTCGTCGGGACTTTTGATATCTTCAATAAATATGCTCCGCTTGCATCATGAACTTCCTATTCGCCAGAAGAATGCAGATCCCGGGGTCTCTGGGGTCGCTTAAACCGTGCGTGCTCATCGTTCCAACTCCGAGTGCAAAGGCACCGCACCTCAAATAGCACCAGCCCAATGGGTATCTTACAACAACAGACCTTACAATGGCAAAGGGGCACCCACTAAAGACAAGTTGACACCGTATGTGGCGAGACTAATCCATCCATGACCATCATGCTCATTATTTATACTGGCTCGTGCTTTCTTCATGGCAGAGAAGACACATTGCTCACGGTAATTGTCTTCCGTATGGACTCTCTCCCTGTCTCTCGCACCTAGATACTTGGCATACCTGTTCCTCTATTATGGTCAGCTTCTCAATTCTCGTATCCAAGACCCTTCTGGATACCAAACAGAGATTTATCAGTGTTGGCCGCAACATCATCTCGCAACATCGCCTGGATCACGCATGCAGGGCCACGTCTTGGATGCTTCTCAGTTTCCTCTTTCATCCAGATTCCCCGTCTCTGCGTCAGGTTTGTTTCACGACCATGTGTAGGCTTGTCTAGTATCGCTAGGATAATTTTTGGACCAGCACCCTAATGCGACATCTCACAGCCAGCTTTAATTAAGCCTACATGAATATGACAGGGGCCAACAGGGCATTATCGTACAACGACAGACATGTTGACTGCAACCATCCCTTCAGTCTTCCAGGTAACCCTGCTGTAGTGGATCTTCATCCATTGGATCACTTGGCGGATCCAGCCTCTGAAATGGATTTCGATAAACTTCGAGAAGCGAGGCTGCCGTGTCTACATGTTGTGGTCCTACAAGCTTTCATCGAAGGCTTGCGTATTCCGATCTTGACGCTTTTCATGGGTCCTGGTATATAAGTCATGAGCCTCTCAACAGTCAAACTTGGTAAATCATCCACCTGTTTACCTACACGTTTGCATAATGAATATGTCAAGAGAGCATTGCATGATTCGGCTTTTCTGGGCTGCTAGTATCTTATTCCTACTTTTCCGGACCGCTTCAACGCTCACCGTTGCAAGCACTGTCCTCGTAATTGCACCAGACAACACAGTTGCAAACTCAGCAGTCTCAGGGCTGAAAGGCTATGGTATTCCCTACCGGATATACCTCACGTCAAACACATTCCCGGCCCTGAACCGCTCAGCGGATGTTGGTGACTTCGGGGCTATCGTTATGCTAGACGAGGTTCTCCCTGCTTCCAATGTCGACGAAATCCACGCATACCAGTCCGCATTTGGCGTTCGTTTCGTTCGACTGAATGCAAACCCGGGCGCGGAGTCGGGAACAGATTATGCAATTGCCGGTGCGGGCTGCTGCGATACGAATGTCGAGCAACTGATCAGCATCACAAATGCTACTGGATTCACAACGGCAGGATTAAAAGAGTCAGTCGACCATGGTACCACCAATTTTGAATTCAGGGACTGACTTTGACATAGTACAGCATCTGTCAGCTCGCAAAACCTTTATCATTACCCGGCAAAGATCACTGATCCGTCAATTGCATGGGAGTTCGCCCAATTTGGCGCAGGTGGGCCATATACATCTGCGACAGTGGCAGGAGTCATCAACAGAATTGGTACCCGACAGCAAATGCTATGGTTCTTGCCTTTCAGTACCGATTGGTCGCCAACTTCAAACTTTCTCCAGCATGTATGGATACACTGGGCAACCCGGGGTCTCTGTAAGTTGTCATGAAGCGTCTTAACCGAGAGCATGACTTATACTTCTGTGCAGATGCTGGTTTCCGCCGCCTCCAGCTCAATACTCAAGGTACGTATGTTGTTGTTCTGTCTTGCGTGAGCACTGACAGTAAAGCCAGTTGATGATGTCTTCCTTTACACTGAGCTCTTCAAGCCTAACACGTCCTCTTTCCGTGTGCGAACTGCCGATCTAGACAACCTCCGTGACTGGATCCCTGTAATGAACGCGAAACTTCCTGCAGGATCTTCTTACTTTGTTGAGCTTGGCTATAACGGTAATGGTAATATCGAGTTGAATGATGAATTTGAAGATGACGAAACTCATTATGACATCTGTCTGCCGGGACCTATCGACTACCCCGAGCAGCCAGATGAAACTGCTGGCACAATTGAATGGAAGAAGCCTCTCGGCACTGGTGTTGACTTCTGGCCGCTTCGCCCGGCCACATATGGCTATACAGAGGCATGTGTGGCATATGATGCCCTCGAAGTGTGGTTTTCCAACACAGCAAACTTGAATGCGTTTGCACATGTAAGCCATACATTCACACATCTAGATCTAACGAACGCAACATACAACGATACAGCCAAGGAGATTGCGTTCAATCGCGCGTGGTTTGCGCAGACAGGTATTGACAAGGCGGCGAGGTGGTCAGGGAAGGGACTCATCCCACCAGCGATCACAGGGCTCCGGAATGGAGATGCAATTAAGGCGTGGCTGGACAACGGCATAACAGGAGTCGTGAGTGCAAAACATGTCCCACGGCCCTTCGATCACGAGCGAGACTAAAAGTACAAAAAGGTCGGCGACAACACACGCCCTGGTTTGCTCAACTCGCAGAACGAATTTTGGCGTAAGTATTTCTAATCATTTATTCCCTGGCGTTTCTAACACACACGAAGCACTTATATCCAACGTAAATGACAATGGCTACGCCGGTCTCACCATCATGCCTCGATGGGCGACGGAGATCTTCTACAATTGCGATACTCAGGACTGTGATCTTGCTCTCTGGCAATTTGTGTCCAAACCTGACGGCACTTGGGACCAACTGATCGAGCAGACTCGCTCGACTAATGTTCGCAACCTGCTGGCCCTCCGACACGACGCATTCATGTTCCATCAAGCGAATCTCAGGCAGACAGATGTAGCGAATAGCGTTGTAAATGGAGTCAGTGCAAAGAGAAGCTTGTTGCAAATATGGGTAGAGGTTGTGTTAGGTGAGATGACGAAGCTGTAAGTTGTCCTCGACACAGTGTGAAGAACTAAGAAGAGCTCTCACTACTACTTGGACTATACAATCTCACTGACTCTGTTCTGTAGCGTCACATGGCCCATCATCAGCACCAAGCACGACGATCTAGTCCAATCTTTCCTCGATCGTATGGCGCGCGACCAATGCAACTATGGTATGACTTATAACTATGATGCGGCTGGGACATCCATCGTAAGTGTGACGGTCTCGGCGCTGGTAAGTACCTGTACGGCACGCATTCCTGTAACGTTTCCGGGTCCTGTCCAGAGCCAGGGGTCAGCAACTCCGGAACAGCTTGGAAGTGATCCGTTGACGCTGTGGGTATTGCTTGAGGGTACTGAGCAGACTTTTCAATTGGCTACCCCTGTCAAACTGTAGACGGCAGTGATGGTTGGGCGCTCGGTTAGTCGAGGTGAATGGACGAAGGCATACGATGGTAAAAGTGAATTAGGCACAGGCTGTAATATGACACCCCAATCTAGAAGTAACATGGTCACATCTGTATTGACGCCCAACTATAGCTCTTTGATAGAACTAATAATTCCCAATGACTTTATATTATCATTGATCTAGACACGCTGAGCAAACATGAAGTCACGAGACGACACGCTTTCTGCTGCGCCCTACCGCCTTGACGTGACTCCTCTGCCTTTTCGGATCAGTCGATCTTCCCATCATACACTCTTCTCACTTCTCCTGCATGAACATCTGAGCTTCTAGATCTCATGCCAATCAACTCAAGATGGCTTTTGAGGCGAATGATTTTGTAGAATGGGAGGGATATATCTCTGATGAGTCGAGCTTCTTGGGTGAGTATTTCTTTCCACGTATATTCAAAACAACTCTGTTCAGACTCAATTGCCTCTATGGATAGGGACCTTCACTCTAGCCGTCCAGCTCTGAGACCTGAAGTCTACCTCAACGAGCTGATTTATGAGTGTTGAGCTAAACTGCCCTTCAGGTGACGATGAGACTAAAGAGCGCCTTGAAGCCGAATGCGCTGCGCGAAACCCACTCAAGAGCCCGCAGTGGAAATACCGGCATCGAGATCCTAATGTCCTCGCTGCAAAAGGTAAGGCTGCAGCTGAAGAAGTTGCGCGCGAGAAGAGAGATGAGGAAATGCAGTCAACGGCAGCATCGCCCCATGTTGCTGAAACTGGTGAGAAGTCAAAGTACTTCGCGGTTGGCTCTCGGGAGCATGTCATTGATCTCACAAAGTTGCCGAAGAGAACGACACCGCAATTTCCATCGCCTTCTAGCGATACTCCCAAGCTTTTCAATAGAAGGGAGGGTGACGCTGACGCCCGGCAACTCCACGAGAGCATCGCGGAATTCACTCAGCGATTACCGGTCTCAAGTCGAATCGAAGATGTCGGACCATGGATATGGATCGAAAACCCTCATCAGCGCCGGATCGATGATCACATGGATGTGCCCAAATTCCAAGAACTCGGTCGCAAATCCTTGGCCAAGTTTACGTCTGACTGCGAAGAAATTGTAACCTCAAATCAGGGTAAAGGTCAGGCTACCATCTCACGTAAAATAGCGCCCTTGAGAGAGGAATTGCGAGATGACATTGAAAGACTCGCTAGAGAATATGGCGTATTGAGTGGAAAGGTGAGGCTACGCTGTTGACTTGGGGTTCAGAGCATATGCTAATCAGTACAGTGGATGTTGTTTCCTAACTCTGAGGACTTACCGCGCACATGGCGACTTGTCGCAGAGGGCGTGGCAGACAATCGTCTTGGATGTGCTGCGAAGGTAGGAACCATCGGACCAGACACAGATACAAATAATGGTCGACTCATTTGTGTCTACACCAAGGACTTCAACGATATGGAAGACATTCTCAAAGTCATGCATGAGCTCATTGATCTTAACCTTGTGAACTCCGATCGCGGCATCTACTACAAGATGGATGCGTATACTTACCTCGACATTGCTGGTAAGAATGAGTATGGTCTTCGTGCAAGCAAGTATGGTAGTCGAGAACTCCTCGCGACCAGTTCTCCCCAAAAGAGATCCTATCAGCAGACAAATCGACCTCGCAAGAGGCAGATGACTCTAGAAGCGTTTCAACGATAGGATGGGTTGCAGCGACGATGTAACGTTAGTTGCCTTTCTTGTCCTCTAATTTCGTTGCCGTGACGATTGTCCCATGTCAGCATTTTCTTTGTTCTAGCATTATACCCTTGAGAAGATTATCTTAGAGAGTCTAGCATACACTTGATCGACTCTTACTCATACCACAATCTCACACTCTGAAAGCCATCGATATCGCGCGAGTTTGTTGTAGTAAACCCTCATTCCACACTAACCGTGTAGTGCGAATGACGACTACCGATTTCCTCTCTGCACCTGCGTGTTCTGAATGACGCTGCGACGATCATGCTGTTATGAAGCTACGTTACTCCGGCCGAGCTAAGCCAAGCTACTAGAACGGCAGAAGTCCAGGTGGCTGGCGCACAGAACAACACTGGCATCCATGGATGCTAAGAAGATCGTGTCATAGCAGAAGTTCAATGAAGACAGGAATCTTGCGCTTTGTACCCGGGGATCGAAAACCAACATACCAACCATTCACTCAGTTATGAGCGACCTTCAGTTCATCAATTATGAAAACCCAGCAGAGGCGAAGAAGCGTTCGAATAAACGTGCAGTCAAGTCACAAGCAGCACGACATCACTGGGCTCGGGATGTGGCGCTTCGTACAAACAGATCGAAGCAGTTTCGGCGTACACAAAACTCCAATCTGGTTGTACGTCAGGGAACGTATACACAGGACGAGTCTGGGTACCATCATCAGACCGAACCCTACAGTACCCATCCTAGCATTTATCAGACTGGTCCGACCGAGTCAGTTCCAGCATTGCAAACGTTGCAAAACCCAAGTCACGATACCATAAGGGGTGACCAGGTACAACTCGTTGGCCTTCTTGGAGCCGGCCGTGTAGACCCATTCCACACATATCCTGTTACGTGGCAGGAGTACTTTCCAGAGCTGGTCGACCACTGTGAGTTGGAAGCCATGGCCGGGAACATACATAGTTTAACCGAACTCAGATATCATGAACATAGCTGTCAGGGTTCCTACAGTTGACGGGCCTCGGGGCGAGGGTCAACTCCGTACTCGCTGGTTTCCGCTAGCGATGACAGACCCAGCAACATTTTCAGGTGTATTGCTGCTGTCGGCATCGCATCTGCACTCGGTTCGGGTGAAGTGTTCGATTCAAGAGAAACCAGAGGATGCTATCAGGTTACTCACGCTCAAGGAGCAGGCTATCAGGGTCGTAAACGAGGCGCTCGGCGACCCATTACGATCCTGTAGCGATGCGATAATCGGCGCGGTCGTGAAACTATGCTGCTACGAGGCGATATACGACAACGTGGACGCTTACATGATACACATGAAAGGACTTCAAAGCATGGTGGCTGCTCGAGGGGGACTGTCCGAGCTCGGAGTCAATGGATTGTTGCGCCGTATATGCATCTGGATTGACTTGAAGTCTGCTGCCCTTAATAGGACTCCTTTGTTCTTCGAGGACTCTATCATGATATCACAAGGGGGCGCGTCAACAACAGCAGAACAGAGACCCAGAATCATTGGAGAATAAACGACATTTTGCCTTTGGCGTAATGGCTACTAGAGAAAACGCTTCATTTATCGAGTAATGGTTTGCTAATGGTTTCCTTCGGGAGCTACACGCTACGGCTCAACATGGCCTGGACGCTGCGAAGAGAAAACCCACCATCATCACGAACAATCGAAAGCGTCTCCAAGGGTTGAGAGAGCATCGGTAGACTCCGAAGGTTTTATCAAGTCAATGACCATCGTCCAATGCGATGAGAGCGAAAGTCGATTTACCGAAACTCCCATGTTAGGAGGTGCGTCATAGCCTGGAAATCCGGCACTGCGTAGGCCGAGGACATGACCTTGGCTGTTCTTCATCATTCAAATTTCAGAGATTCGGGAGGCCCATATGCAGAGGCTCTCCACATCTGATGCAAAAAAAAAGAAAGAGAAGCATCAACGACACGATTGAAATCTTGACACGACAAGCATAGCGCCTACGAATTAATGAGAATAGAAAGAAAAAAACCGCCCATATTAAGCGACTTTGACGCCAAAATTAATCAGCTCGCTCCACGCACGTAAGCACAAAGAAGTCCTCGGCACAAATCGCTGACAGTCATGGATACCATTGGGTAGCAAAAAGCGTTGAGAAAGCTAATTAATATAAGCACGGTACGGGGAGGGGATGGGAGCGAGATAAGGTAAGTAAAACATATGAATTTGTTGTTGATGACTCGATAGAATCGAGGAATCAATGACTTGATAGCTTCAGGGCGGCCAACAGGCGTCGCGCGGCCGGGCGCGATGATTGGACAGGTTACGCACGCACAACGCCAACGAGAGCCCTAATTTAGAGACTGAAGAGAAAGGATGACTTGAGTGCGTGCGTGCGTGCTCGCCGTAGAGTGTACGTAGCAACAAATGGCTGAAGGCGAAGGCTCCACCGTCGGAACCAGAGATTGAATGTCGATGACACTCTTTCAGGGGGGGGCTTATGATAAGAATATACGTTTGGATCCAAAGACGTGCGCGGTGAGATGTAGATGTGGAAGGAGAGTGCGGTATACATAGATGGAAGACGTGAGACTCTGTAGAATAATCGGAATATAGACATCTGTAGAATTATTGTCATGGAATAGAAACACCTACCTGATGCCTCGTCCGCCGGAGGTGAGGTTGGGCGCTGCCCCCCTCGTCCCCGGACTCAAAGCCCCTAATTGGCTGATACGTGCGGCTGTTCCAGGACCCTGACTACTGAGCTGGCGAGATGACCGACAACGGCCGCCTTGATCAGGAACGGCCGATCGTTTCGGCGTTGGCGTTACCCACGTAATATGCTGCACCCAGGCCTGTCAGTCTGAGGGATATATGTCTCTGGCAGTCGTGTTCGGTGGCATGCCAGATCGCGTAATCCAGGCACAGGGTGAGTGTGAAGTGAAAAGGAAGGTCCATGATAGGCGCTTGCTGGAGACTTGATGCTGTGGTGCGAAGCAATGTAGGTAGACAAAAGTGCGCTTCTAGCTACATATATACTGCATCACTGTTATCTCTGAGACCACATAGCGTGTGGCGTAATGTGTTAAAAATGTCTATCTACGTATCTACCCACTCCCTACTCCACCCGATGGATGGATCGTCGGCTAGGAGTGGATCTATTATCTACGGAGTGCTCGATGGCTTGGGATAAGACCGCTGTACCCCAGATTTCCTCCCTCCACCAACGCGTTGCTATTTATTGTTTGCCGTGTTCCACTCTGCCTGACTCCTTTTTTGCTTTACCTCTTCTACTGCAAGTTGAGGTTGTGTTTCGACACCGTTGTTGTGTTGTTGTGGCTCTTTATCTACCCCTTAGCTCGCCCCGTTCCGGGAAGCCCTTATCTATACACTCAAGGCTTATCTCTAAGGCGCCGATAAGCTAAGCATTACGGTCGACCTCGCGTTTTCTGACTCTTGCTGATCCTTTGGACTCCTTTCGTAAACTCGTCTATACATTGCAAATCGAGATTCTGCAAACATGGCGCCCCACGCAACAGACGCTCCCTCGACATCGCCTCCGCGCTGGGAGTGGTCCGCATCCAGCCCGCCTGCCATCTCAGTCATAGCCTCTTCACGCGCAGTCATATCTGGTCGCATTACCGAAGCGACCATCGTCGTCTCGCAAGTCACTGGGAAAGTCACGTCGATATTCCATTCTGTGCTTCCGCGCTCTGATTTCCCGCCTGGGACAACATATGTCGATCATAGCCCGCACCTCGTGCTGCCTGGCCTTGTCGACGCGCATGTGCATCTCAATGAGCCAGGACGGACGGAGTGGGAGGGCTTTCATACAGGTACGAGGGCCGCGGCGTTTGGGGGTGTGACTACAGTGGTTGATATGCCCCTGAATGCGATTCCGCCGACCACGACTGTGGCCAATTTGAATGAGAAGATTGCTGCTGCCCAGGGCAAGTGCTGGGTTGATGTTGGGTTCTACGGAGGCATCATTCCTGGAAATGATGGTCATCTTAAGGATCTGGTTCGAGCCGGTGTTCGCGGGTTCAAAGGCTTCCTCATCGAGAGTGGTGTAAGTGTGTATTCTGGTCAGGTGGCGTACAGTCAACGACACTAACATAGCAATAGGTCGAGGAGTTTCCTGCAGTATCAGCTGGCGACATTGAGAAGGCTATGCTGGCGCTCGCTGACGAGCCGACGACTCTGATGTTCCATGCTGAGATGACTCCGCCTATCACTGCCTCTGTCGGAGACGGTGTCCAGAGTTCATTGCCACCTCTTGCACCATCAGGCCCGCTTGATGCATACAGCACATTCCTGGACTCACGACCAGCTTCATTTGAAACATGTGCGATTGATGAGATTATCTCTTTGGCGCACCTCGCTCCCAACCTACCGCTGCACATCGTTCATCTCTCAGCGATTGAAGCCATCCCACTACTCCGCGAAGCTCGTGCGAAGGGCGTGAAGATTACCGCCGAGACTTGCTTTCATTATTTGTCGCTCGCCGCGGAGGAAATCCAGAACGGTGACACGCGTCACAAGTGTTGTCCGCCAATCCGCACGAAGTCAAATCAGGATGGTCTGTGGGAAGAGCTTACGAGACCTAGATCCCAGGACCCGGTCATCAAGACCGTAGTTTCAGATCACTCACCTTGTACACCCGATTTAAAGCTGCTACCTCCGGCAATCTCGTCAAGCGACGAGGCTCCATCGGACAAGCAGGGAGATTTCTTTGCTGCCTGGGGTGGCATTAGTAGCGTTGGTCTTGGTCTGCCCATTCTTTGGACCGAAGGTAAACGCCGTGACCAAAGCTTCGACATCGAGGATGTTGTGAGATGGTGCTGCAAAGAGACCGCTCGTCAAGTCGGCCTCGAAGGTGTCAAAGGTGACCTTCTTGTAGGCTATGACGGTGACATCTGTGTATTCGATGATGAAAGTAGTTTCGTCGTCGAGAAAAGCGCAATGCTATTTCGGAACAAATGCTCGCCATACGAGAACCGCACGCTACAAGGCGTGGTCAAAGAGACTTGGGTCCGAGGGCGTAAGGTGTTTGACCGTATGAACGGATTCGTAAACAAGGCCGGACCTACTGGTAAACTTCTATTGGAGCCGCGCAAGAGAGCAGACTAGATCCAACGTCATGGAGGGCATACTTGTTTAGATGATAATGTTGTGATGATTGCATTTACGATGGCGTTTTCGAGCATTTGTTTTGTAAACATCGGCATGTTGTCAGGAGACATAGAGATGAATGATGGTTCCAGTCGATAAAATGAGGGTTAGGAGTATTGCGATCGCATACACTAGATTGAGGGAATATGTTTAGTGTGACGAGCCGGAGAAGTTCTCGCATTCTATATCTCCTTTGAACATAGGCACATGCTCAAACCGAACAATATGATCTCGATATCACAGTAGTGGGCCAGATAACAAGTTTTGTTGATATTTTCTTGCCATCATGCGAGCTATGGTAGGTAGGTTGCAGTGATTGAAGGGTTGGTTGGAACTTCGGTAAAACTGTCTTCGCTTGTCGCGTGCGCGTGGCACGCGTCCTAAGGCGCGTCTTCCCAAAGTAGAAAGAATATAGCAACTCCCCTCTCCAACTACACCTCACACTGCCATACTCCTGGGCTCTAATTACATGCGCATGTATGAATAATGCCTCACTCAGTATCGCCACAGTCAACCCAGACACAGGATGCGCCAATGGCAAATACCCAACCAGAGAATGGCGCCACAGAGGATATCAAGATGGAGGACGGAGAAGCAGCCACCGAGACCAAACGCACCGTAAATCTAGACGATATGTTTGGAGATGGAGACTCAGATGATGAATATTCATCGAGTGCTCCTGTGGTCAAAGATGAGATTCCGTCGTCGCCACCAGTGCCGGCGTAGGGCTCCCCCAGCAGTCATGATGAAGCCTGCACTAATTGACCCTTACAGGCCTGTATCGCGAAATGCCAGCAACTCAGACACCGAGGTTATGCGAGCCTTTTACCAACGTCTCTGTCCCTTTCGATATCTTTTTCAATGGCTGAATCATTCACCTGTCCCAACGGCTGATTTCATGCATCGCGAATTCGCTTTCACTGTACCGCGTGGCGCGGACGATGTATATCTTCGCTACCAATCTTTTCTTACTGCTGACCTGTTGGTATAACACTCATTGGAGCCTGAAAGTATGCTAAGATGAGTTCAGGCTTCGCAAACAGTGCGTCCAAATGGTTCCCTCACGTTTCGAGATCGGGCCCCAGTACACAACCGACCCACGGGAACGAAAGACGTTACGAAAAGCTTCCGCGTTTCGCCCGATCAAGAAAGAGCTTGTTTTCGACATAGATATGACAGATTATGACGATATTCGGGCATGCTGTAAAGGCGCGAGTATCTGCCATAAGTGCTGGACGTTTATAACCATGGCGATAAAAGTCGTCGACAAGGCTTTAAGGGAAGATTTCGGCTTCGAACTCATTCTGTGGGTCTATTCTGGTCGCCGTGGTGCTCACGCATGGGTTTGCGACAAGAAAGCGAGAGAGATGGACGACACTAGGAGGAGAGCTATTGCTGGCTATCTAGAATTGCTCAAAGGCGGCGATAAAAGTGGGAAGAAGGTCAATATAAAAAGACCGCTCCACCCGCATCTTACGTGAGTATTCGGCATCCTTCGGTGGATGACTATATATTGACCTCTCTTCTAGCCGGTCCCTCAACCTCCTCAGCTCCCACTTTCAAGAAGACGTTCTCATCTCGCAAGACCCCTGGGCAAGCGAAGACAAAGCCGCACACCTCCTCTCCCTCATTCCCGACCTTAAACTCCGCGAAGCCCTACAGAAGAAATGGGACTCGTCACCGGGTCGCGCCTCCATCTCCAAATGGGGCGATATCGACAAGTCTGCCGAGAGCGGCGTCTCAGCGTCGCTCGACAAGAAGGCCTTGCTGAACGCGAAGCAAGATATCGTACTCGAATACACGTATCCTCGACTCGATGCTGAAGTGTCTAAGAAGCTGATCCATTTGCTGAAAAGCCCGTTCTGCGTGCATCCTGGCACAGGCAGGATCTGTGTGCCGATCGATACACGCAAGCTAGAGGAATTCGATCCTTTCAGTGTTCCGACAGTCACTCAATGCTTGGGCGAGATTGATTCCTGGGAAGGCGGGGACGAAACGGAGGGAAGAACTATCAATGATTGGGAGAAGACGAGTTTGAAGGAGTATATCGACTACTTCAGGAGCTTTGTGGCGGAGGTCATTAAGGAAGAGGGAAGGGGAAAGAGAGAGAGGGGTGATGACGACGATATGGAATTTTAACGGACTTCTCGACGTGTTAAGAGTGGCGTTCAATAGGGTTTTGTTCCGCGGCCCATCATGGGATGGTGTCGATTCGTGCTTTAGGCGGGTCGTTCTCCGTGATGATTTGAGAACATATTTGGAAGTAGCATCGCACATAGATATAGGAAACTTTCATACGAGGGATGGATCATGATTCAGAATTTCATATTAGCTACAGATATTCTGAAAGCTAGAGAGTATCATGATCTATCCGACATTTTCCTTATCCCAGTCTTTACGCATCTATTTTGACTCATCGAAGACATAAGTGAGATGGCAGCGGCCGCAGTACTGGCGGTTGTGGTGAGCCGCCATGAACACACCAGCACCACACTCGGGCTGGGGGCATTCACGTCGGAGACGCTCAATCTTGCCATCGCCATCAACCTTGTAGTACTTAAGCACGGCCAACTTGGTCTTCTTGCGCTTGTGCTTGATCTTCTTTGGGGTGGTGTAAACCTTCTTCTTGCGCTTCTTGCCACCACCGCGTAGGCGGAGCACGAGATGCAGAGTAGACTCTTTCTGGATGTTGTAGTCGGAGAGGGTACGACCGTCTTCGAGTTGTTTACCGGCGAAGATAAGACGTTGCTGATCTGGGGGAATACCCTCTTTGTCTGATGGTGACAGGTCAGAATTTTGTTGCTATGGTGGCAGTACCAAAGCCAACTTCCGGTGGTAGGAAATTACGTACCTTGAATCTTGGACTTCACATTGTCAATGGTGTCCGATGACTCCACCTCTAGGGTGATAGTCTTACCCGTGAGGGTCTTGACGAAGATCTGCATGTTGACCTGGTGAGAGGGGAATGTTAGCTCAGTCTGAAATTGCGTTGATGGGATGCCGTAACAGCGGCGTCGGCCATTTATCAGGGAAATGAGTCCACAAGACGACGGAATATTGACAGTATCGTTTGTTATGTGCTCAATAAGTAGATTGAATATGGAAAGTATCTTACCTGGACAGCGACGAGCGATGTCTTCCTCAGTCGATGAGATACAGTGAAAAGGTGCACATGTGGATAAGTAGGTAGTCGTGGTGGAGGAAATTCGCTTGCTGACATAATTTCGTGTGCGCTTAGTCTGTTAGCGTTGCTGCCTTAATCTGCCTAGCTCGTGTAGTACCGCACGTACCCCACTTCGAATTTCTAAAGGTTCTAATATCCGGCCTGGGATCTCGGCGGCTGCTGCCCGGACAACCACGACAATCGTGCCGGCGCCTTCCTGTTTCAGGAATTTACACAACATTCTCGGCGACTCGACATATGACCTTCCCATTCTCCACCCATCTTCAAACTGTATACTCCAATTGAGTACTAAACTACTCACAACCACCTCAAAGCACACATACTCGAGCTTTCTTTCGACTTTCGAGTCAAGAAATACCAGAAAACACAGCAGCTCTTCGCGCATCCACCACTACAACTGTTCCCGCTCCCATATTCCATCGGCCTGGAGGCCAATACATCTACTTAGAGTGTCTGAGGAGGAGATTCTGTGCTATCTGAGCACATCTTAAAAACTCCAGTTCCGCCCGGCGGAAGCTGCTAGCTCTGCGCGAGGTAAACCTCAATCTTCCTGCTTGAAGGTAGTGATAGTATACTGACGCTGGCAAATGTAGTTTCGGAAAGAAGTACAGCCCAACGTCTTCGATCGAACAATATAATTCCGGACTCCACTTGCCACCAACGATGCTGTCCAATCCATCCTCAGGAGTAGCTGACCGTCGCACATACCATCGACGACAAAACTCAACACCAGCTATGTACGCGCCTGCCCTAGTACGACCGCTTCCTGCAGCCGTACAAAGGCAACTTGGACACCGCCGAGGTTTAAGCCTCGAGGGTCGCCCAATGCGCCTTGGACAACAATGCGACCACAATACTAACCAAACAGTTTCGCAGGAAAGTCACCCAAGCGTAAGTATAGATACTAACTACAGGCAACAATATACACAGCAACCATCGACGCAAGTAGCGCAGCAGCATAGTCACCAGCCGGGCACTCAAGTTTTAGAATCCACTCAGACATCTCTAGTAAGTAGTCCCCAATGTAACGGGGACATCTCACCGCATGACGCAGAAACCCTCGAGAGAAGAAAACAAAGACAACAGCAGCTTATCCTCGAGAAATACAATGAATTACAGAACGCAATGAACGAAATGAACGAGTTTGGGGGCGTCGACGACCTACAAGCTAATCTGGGAGCACTTATGACGCCTGAAGCCACGCCTCAGAAACAAAGATTTGGGCGAGGAGGCCATGTGGATTTCGCACCGATGCCATCAAATTTGGGGGACATGAAGGACATCCATCTTGATCCACCCATGTTTGACGATCGTTTCGCTGGATTGACAAGTCCTCTTACCGATATGAGCTACGCATCATCCTACTGCTCGGATCATTCGTCGCCGTCTCATACTCATGCATCCCCTCATTCTTCACCTCATCATCAAATCTCCCATGATTTTGGGCAATTTGCGCCACTGAATAGCAACGTCATTCGACAGATATTTCCCAACAGCCAAGTCATCCTTCAACCTCCCCATGGAGCACATCCCGACAATTCGTTCTACTCTTCCAATGCGACACAAGCTTCTTCACCACAGGCAATAGAAATTGCTGGTGTACAGATTGATGCGACAATTGAGGATACTGGTATCAGCAACGAGGATGTACAACAGTTCATCAGCGCCCAAGACACCGAAAGTGGACGATGGTTTTGCCTTTGGAACGGGTGTAATAAGGATTTCGGGAGAAGAGAGAACATACGTGCACACGTCCAAACCCATTTGAACGACCGGCAATACAAGTGTAACCACTGCAACAAGAAATTCGTTCGACAACACGACCTGAAGCGCCATGCGAAGATACACACAGGTGACAAGTCGAACAAATGCCCATGTGGAGCCGGATTTGCACGCCAAGATGCCCTCACTCGACATCGACAACGGGGAATGTGCAGTGGTGCATTCCCAAACGTTGAGAAGAGAAATGCCAAGCGAGGCCGACCAAAGAAGAATCGACCAGACATGGAGGCAAGAGTGAGCAAAGCCGCGAAAACTCGTCGAGCTCTAGCATCTAGTGCTTCCTCAGTCTCGGCAAGCTCCCCACCCTCTGGGTCAATGTCACCAGACGCCGACTTCAATTTGGATACGAGCCATTACAACGACAGCTACGAGTCGTTTGATAGCCAGTCAGATCACTCCTCGGATCCATTCAGGTATGTGGGATCGGAAGCAATATTAGCATCATCTGACAGTGATAGTTTGGAAAATTTACATGCTACGAGTCCCATCTCACAAGAAAGCAAATCTTTCAGCTCTGGAGGAGTTGCCCCGGAGGCGACAATGATGAGCCGGACAACGACGCAAGCATCAACGAACTCATTTGACCGAACGCCACCGATGTCACCGTCAGATAGCACTTCACCAGCTTCTGTACCATCTCCAGGTCATCCAAGTATAGAGCATCTACCAAGCTTCTCGAAGATTGAGACACCACCAGGATCCCCATGCATGCAAAACGATAACATAGAAAGCCTTTTCGACGAGAGCTACGAGTTCAACTCGTATTGTGGGACCACGATGGACTCGGGATCTATCGATGCCCTTATAAACTGCGACTTCAGCAACGAGATGAATTTTGACGCTTTTCGCGAACTAGACCAAACTATGTAATACCACATATGGGTTTCCTATGGTTGTTTCACTATCTCGGCGTACTTGGCATGCGGACTTCGGACGGGATTGGAAGCATCGGCACAGGAGGGCTTTTCCTTGGCCTTCTGATGACGAACACGACTACCAACGAAGACAAAGATGACCGACAATGACTTGTGCGCTTTTTGTACCACTATGTCCGCAAAATCCACGTAATCCACGAAATCTGTTCCTCCGTTTTAGACTGGATTTGATGAATTTACGGGCCAGAGTTGGGTACTCTTTTTAAGGAGGTGCTAGGAACATTTCATACCCTTCGGCGATGTAGTTTATATACTGAATGGAAACGATTAATTTGATATACAACCCCCCTTCACCATTTCCTTTGCCTTTTCCAATTGTGGCAACTGTTAAATTATTTGCAAGGCCCCGGCCACAGTTAAGCGGTGCCTAACCATTACAGTGCCACAGGGAACTGACATTGAAGAGACTACTCATACTCGCCATCTCTTCATTTTACTCAAGACCACAGACACGGATTGACGACTCTCGAGGGGTGTCCTTTACTTCACTATTCAAGCATGATATCTATGTTTGTCCTTTCATTTTGGCTTCTTCGCTCGATCTGCTCCTCGTTTCCACTCCACATTATACCACTCCAGCGTAACTAAGACCCATTCCTCGCGTCGGCTTTGCGACTGCGACGCATACGTCGTTGACGACTACACCAGGTCTACTTTCGAATTTATCGACGGTTTCTGCAAAGGTGTCTGAGAGAGACGTCGTGGGGCATTGCATGTCATAGAGGTTTCGGAACAGGGGAGATGCGTCAAGAGGAAGACGAATTGGGTCAGTGTCAAGTCGCTGTACTGCGAGAAATGGATACTGAACAATAGGCTGGGTTTGAGGGGGTGGTGGGTACTGATGAAAATAGTGGATGTCTTGTTGATCAACTGATGTTGGCTGGTCGTTTGGCGTCGGGTGAGATCGTTTGGGGTCAGTGGTAGAAGTTCATGTACTTTGATGGCGACAGGGAAGCAAGGTCCACGGGGGCTTTTGACATCCTGTATTTCGTTCGTGGAGCACAGCACAGTACATACCAAGGTACAGCTGCATGGTCAACGCTTTCGAGACCTGGTCTACTAGGATGTCAACTCTGTTGCAAAGAGCAGGCTCTCGTTGCGCTGACGCTTGAGACTCAATAATTCGATTACCTAGGACTTTGAAATTAGCCGTTGCCAATCACAGGTAGTCAGCTATAGGAGGTAGTGTATCAAGTTTTGAATTTAGTCTATCTCATAATTCCACATATGACATTTTGCTTAATGTATAGGGTTTTCAACACATCTTGCAGAGATAAGGGCAACAAGCGGCTAATAATCCACTAAGGTTTGCAGCGCTTGAAGTATCGAGGATACAAGCATGTATCCCGGACGGTGTGTTGGTTGCAGAGCCATGCAAGGAATCGCTCCAGACCTAGACCATAGCCACCGTGGGGAGAAGAGCCATACCTAGAGAGACATGTCAGTATGTGCCCGAATATATCGTTCTTTGATACTATGCTTACTTTCTCTGGTCAGTGTACCAATAGTATTCCGTCGGGTCGATTTCCTCTCTGATAAAGGCCTCACTGAGTTCCTTGAGATCGTAGATCCTCATGCTACCTCCCACAATTTCTCCTACACCTGGCATGAGGCAGTCGACACTTTCAGTGATGGTCTTGTCTTCTTTGTCCTTCATCATATAGAAAGCCTTGATCTCCACCGGGAAATGCGTAAGGAAGATAGGTCGGTTGATAATATCGGTCATCTTCCGCTCCGCTGCCTCTGCGATATCGTCTCCAATCTTATGCGGCTCGCCATCTTCGTTGGGGATATCATGCTCGATGAGCCACTGGATGGCATCTGAGTATCGCATACGCATGAAGGGACGTTCTGGCATCTTGAAATCGGGGTTGAGCTTTTTGATATGTGCAGCAGTATCGGCGTCAGCCAGTGTAACTTCAAGGACTCGGCACATTACATGCTCAAGATGTTCCAGTAGGTCATCGAAGGTGATAAAGTCAAGTTCCGCTTCGACATGAGTGTATTCTGAAAGATGACGCCGCGTCAGGGACTTCTCAGCACGGAATGATTTCTCAATACAGTATACATCGCCCATGGATGGAAGACAGGTCTCGAGATAGAGTTGAGAGGATTGAGTAAGAAAAGCAGGTTCTCCGTAATAGTCGAACTTGAATAGAGTGGCACCGCCCTCAACTTGTGTCTGGACCATCGCTGGAGGGCTGACTTTACGGATCTTGAGTTCGCGATAGACTTGGTTGAATGCAAATTCGACAGTATCTCGAACTAGCATGACACTTGACGCAGTATCACCTCTTAGCGTTAGATGTCGTAGGTTGAGAAGTGTGGCATGCTCGGTGTCTGCGCTGACTCTGTTGGTTATGGCATCCTCACCACCAGCAGCCTTCCACTCTGGTTCAATCTTGAAGAAGTCGACTTGCAGCTCCCTGTCATCTGGTGCGTTGTTGCCCTTGGGAACCTCACACATCTCTCCGAGTACTTCTATAGATGTTTCCCGCGTCAGGGTGAGCATGTCATAAGTTTTCGAAAGAGGGGCGTTGATGATACATTGCAATTGTCCGTAGCCGTCTCTTAATGTTATGAAGATGATATCTTTCTGTTTGCGCTCACGGTGGACTCTTCCGAACACCCTCACCCGTGTCCCACGGTTAGTGTCGCTACTGTCTCCAAATTTGCGTAGCTGGATTGAAGCAGGATCCTTTTCGTGGAGCTTGATCTTGATAGCCTTTGGTAAGCTCGGGTCTTCTGTGATAACCACTTTCTTGGCTTCTTCGAGCACCTTAGCTCGCTCAGAGTCTTCTTTTGCTTTCTTTTCCAGCTGTTCTTTTTCCTTGGCTTCTTTCTTCTTCAGTTGCTCAGCGTACTTCTTGGCATTTTTCAACGCTGTTTTTGCCGCAGGTTGCCAGTCAGCGGGTGCAGATTCAGCGGCATTCTCGGCGACTTCAGTGGCTTTTCGAACGAGATAATTGGCAGTGTCACCAAACTTGAGATAAGCGGCTTGTACAGTGCGGAATGGTAGCAACTGAGTGCCCTCAGTTGCGCTTTCATCCTTGCCGACAGTCTCGTCGACATAGTAGGTTTTGTCGGCCATGGTGTATGTAGTGGAAGTCAAACCTGGTCCAGGTCAATTGACTTATAGCCGTGGGCGCAAATGACACACACAGACCGTTTGCGGAGTCATAATTTCTGGAACGAGGGGCACACTGCACGTAAGGCTGTAAGGCATAAAACCCTAGTTTTGGTGCCCAACCCACGCAAAACTGGTGGATATTTCCAATTTAAAGGAAAGGGTACAAATATCAAGACCTTGAGGTCTCAATGGTCTTGCAAATCGCAGCCTTGTCTAAAGGGTATGTCCTTGCTTAGCTGTGATATTCCGTCAGACGTCAATGGACCGGCGCAATATGAGTGTAATAAAGCTACTTCAGATGCTACTTTGGACGCGTGATTTTCCAGGAATGCTTCGCAATTATTAAGGCCAACGCATAACCGGGCGCATTTTGTGGCCGACTGCCTGACAAACCACGACGCCGGTCTCCAGATGTCATCCAACGTTGTTATTGTAGTCGAAGATTGCCCTGACTACTTCTGAACACATCCCACCAGGGCAAGATCTTCCTAATTCCGCTGACAAACCGAGTAACGCACGGGTCTTTGCTCGCACATAATAGTCACCAAGAGTACCACGAATCCTGCCAGACAACATCTCGTTCAGCATTAGTTCTATCAGCTATACACAATGAGTGACCCGAGTCTATACACCTACCCCTCTCCCCTGGAGGGATACCAAAATCTTCCTGCTCTTCCAGAGTACGTTGAACATGATTGCATGTTCATACATCAGTAATTCTGACAATAGTCACAGTGAGCGAAACGATGATGGTAAATCGTTCAAGAATCCGCAGACTGGAGTCAAGAGCAAAGCATATTCAGAATTCACTTCTCCCATAGACAACGGAGTGCGTGGAGGTTTTGATGTTCATATTTACTTTCTCCAGAGTGATGAAGGACAGACCAAGTTCGCGAAAGAACTGTGGGAAAGGATAAGGCGTGAATGTGTGTTCTCCAAAATTTCCACGTATATCACTAAATTTGAATCAGTTCCGGAACTGAGGATATATCAGCCATGGGACAAGCCCATCGGACCACATTACACCGGCATGTTCGAAGTAAACCTCTTCACACCTGGTAGATATGTCACAGCTTAAGTCTTACTTGACAGTTGCTGATTGCAGATCAGAGCAGTTTGGTGCTTTCGTGCCGTGGCTGGTAATCAACCGTGGTCCACTATCAGCTCTTGTTCATCCAAACACTGGAGACGACATCCGCGACCACTCGCAACTTGCGACTTGGATGGGTGAGCCGCTCCCGGTTAACTTAGCTCTGTTAAGAAGGTTCTTGAAAAGTAAAGCTTGATGGTGGTTCTGCTCGCCATTTCCGCTTACTAGTTTCGACGGGTATTAGAGCTCCTATATATCAGGCAATATGCTAGGGCGAGTCATACATAGAATCTTTTTGGCGTCCATGTATAATCTCCGACCATTTTCCTCGAAGTGAATAGTTTGCACTATCTCGAAGCACTTCAGTATTGCATTTCGAGCAAGGCTAGCACGATATGCATCGCTTTGCTTTGGCGATGTTTGTGAATGCCTCAGAGTTTTATGCCTTGTTGCCATCATCCACACCTCCGGCCTTCTTCTTCTTCGCCACCTTCTTTCTCTTGCTTCGATCTCTCTTCTTCAATGCAGACATTCCCGTCTTGCAAATCTCTGCATACCGCACATAGAAACTGTCCAGCGCATCTGGTTGCACTATCGTTGACAATTTGACCTTGTCATCTTTCTTTCGATCTCTTCTCTTTTCCTTAGATGCTCCATCTGTTGCTCTAATGAGAACCGGGACAGGGTGCGGCGGATGCAAGTCCCATAGCGGGTCATCGCTGACCTTTTCGGCTGATGGGGGAAAGTCTGTTTCGTCGTCGAAAGCGTATGTTACTATGATGTGTTAGACTTCATCCATTACACATATCACGTTCAGTACATACAGCGCTTTTGTGTCAGGAAGACTGTGCCATGCCCTTTATTACGTCTCGAATCGAAGAGCTCTGCCAGTCTCGTGAAGAACTGTCTTGGATCAGCACTGTTGCAAGATGGACTATCACGCTAGACTTCCACACCTCTTCATTACTCATATGTATGCTCGCCATACTCTCAACTGATCGTGCTCACACCAAGGTCAAAGTGCTGCACTAGATCTGTACGCGTTGGCTGCTACTATCGTCAGAGGCGGTCGGTTGGTGGGGCGGAATGAGGGAGTCGCTTGCGGAGTTGGGCGAGACCTCCGAACTTTTTTCTGAGACCTTTTGACACTTCACATCGCAATGCGCCAACGCCAATTTGACGGCCCTAAGCTGCCGGCAGAGCTTTTGCAACAAGTCGGAGGTGTGATGGTACTGATCAATTATCGTGAATGTTTATTGACTGTTTATAGTCTTTGCTGGTTCAGGTCGTAATAGGCAAAATTACCAAGGAGCAAACGGACGTAAGGCAAAACGGCAAGCAGAACGTGTGCAGAAGAAACAAATTAAGAGGCTACCAAAGCCCACGCCAAAAAGATTTGCCAGCCCAGAAGAGGAGTCATCCCTAGACGATGCACCTCCTCGAGTCCGAAATCCTCCACATGTAGCGACGAATAGCAAACCTAAATCAATACTGAAGATCACGAAAGCTCCAACACGACATACTGATAGCGAAGATGAGACAGAGCAGGAGGAAGGTAGTACGCGGTCAACAGGATCCAGGTCAGAGTCGGAGTCGGAGTCGGAGTCCGAATGCGAGAAAGTGGTTTCTCGTCCGGACATACCAAACTCGACGAAGCGGCGACTGGAAGAGGAGGATGCTGAAATTGCTGCCCTTGAGAGAAAACTTGGGAACAGAGGGAAGAAGGCACAGAATGGGGAAGATGACGATGGGCTCGACTTTATTCTAGAAGGACTCGGTGGTAGCGACAGCGACACCCAGCCTTCGAAGAGAAAGCGCAGCACTGAAGACGAGGAATGGCTCGCCAGCAAGAGACGAAAAGCTGAATCTGAGAAGAAGAAGCGCAAGGTAAATGCTAAGATTAAAGCAAAAAAGTCCAAGTTCGAAGAGGAGGCTGATTCGGACGAATCCATTGACTCTGAGCACAGCTCAGAAGAGCCTGACACAGAAGAACAGCTTGAAGATAGCGCTGTGGATGACGACTTTTCAGGCTTTGATTCAGAGACATCAGATGAACCTGAGGCCCAACGAAAACCACGAGAAAACCCTTATGTTGCACCCGTACAAGTCTCCGCCACTCTCTCGTCAGAGAAATATGTTCCCCCTTCTCTACGCAAACCTCCTTCGTCCGAGGCAGAGTCCCTTACCCAGCTTCGTCGCCAAGTTCAAGGTCTACTGAACCGTCTTTCTGAAGCCAACCTCCCTACGATTCTCAAAGACATCGAGAACGTATACCTCAACAATGCGCGGCAATATGTTACCACCACGCTCATCGATCTCCTACTTACACTTATATGCGATCGCACCACTCTCAATGATACCTTCCTAATTCTTCATGCTGGCTTCATCACAGCTGTATACAAAGTCGTCGGTACGGATTTTGGAGCACAGCTCGTGGAAAGACTCGTTGCCGAATTTGATAAGTCCTACCGAAACAACGCCAATACTCCCGAGACAGGGAAAGAACCTTCCAATCTTATTTCACTCATGTCGGAGCTTTATAATTTTCAAGTGATTGGCAGCAACATCATTTTCGACTATCTCCGGGATTTTCTCTCCCAGCTTACTGACCTCCATACCGAGCTTATACTGCGCATGGTCAAGCTGTCGGGCCATCAGCTCCGACAAGACGACCCCTCAGCGCTGAAACATATTGTTCTCCTACTTCAAAAATCAGTGTCGGAAGCCGGGGAAGCCAATTTACCCGTACGGACAAAGTTCATGATCGAGACCATCAACAATCTCAAAAATAATCGCATGAAGACCGGCCTAACAGCCTCCAGCATCACCGCAGAACACACTACACGCATGAAGAAACAACTTGGCGCACTTAACACAAGGTCTATCAAAGCCACTGAGCCGCTCCGCATCGGCTTGTCAGATATACGCAACACAGACAAGAAGGGCAAATGGTGGCTTGTTGGCGCAAGCTGGAAGGGGAATGACAGCGCGGCTACTCCCACATCCACCTCAACCGAAGATACCCTGTCATCATCTTCCAAATCTAAAACCAAGCCATTGACACTCGATCTTCCCGCCGACCTGACCACAACTGATTGCGATACAACCCCATCCGACCTCCCAACTCTCGCCCGCGCCCTGCGCATGAACACATCCATTCGCCGTGCCATCTTCACGTCTATAATGTCCGCCGCAGACTACAAAGATGCACACACGCGTCTGCTTAAGCTACGTCTCAAGCGTGCCCAAGAGCCCGAGATTCCTCGCGTACTTCTCGCGTGCGCGGGAGGGGAGACAGCCTACAACCCGTTCTACACTATCGTCGCGCGAAAACTCTGTGCTACGCATCGCATACGTATGGCGTTTCAGTTTGCGCTGTGGGACTTGGTGAAGAGAATGAGTGTGGACGAAGATGATCATGACGATGCTGAAGCCGATGAAGGTGGTGATGTGCTTGACATGCCACGGATTGTGAACTTCGCTAAGACATACGGCTCGCTGATTGCCACACAAGCACTGCCCTTGACATGTCTTAAAACTATCGAATTCCCGTACTTGGAGCCGAAGCTAAGTTCGTTTGTAGAAGTACTTCTCGTGACCGTCATTCAAGAGGCAGCGAAAATTGGTAAAGAGAAGACTGGGGAACATAAGGTGTTGAAGGAAGTCTTTACGGAGGTTAGGCAGACGCCAGGCCTGGCGAGTGGATTGCAGTATTTCGTGGGTGAGGTGGTTCGGAAAGGAGAGATTGTGAGTGGAAGGAAGGAGAGAGGAGCCATTAGGAAGGGCTGTGATATTATTGGGAAGGTGCTAGCAGGGGCAAGTGAGGAAGCCGTAGAGGAGCAGTGACTTGGTAGTCCATGTTACCATGATACACATACTAAAGCCACTGTAAATACGCCTCATCTTGTGACCTTTGCCCACTGCCAGTATACTGTGCAAAGCAATTTTATAGAATGCCTTTATGAAATACTTGAGCTAAGCTAGAAATATGATACATGATTCTCCACGCCAGGAACGAGCTTGCCAATCCAAAAGTCGCACAGAACATCATGGGAAGTTTAGATAGAGAAAATTCTGAAAGTGTCTTGCTAGTCGTATATCAGCATTCAGTGAAATATGACAGAGTCGAATGATCTGATAGACGGAGGTCCTCAAAGCTGGGAAGTTGAATTTGTCAGATCAGTGTAAATATGGTCGAGGCTCCCAGTACACAAAGGAGTCGAAAGAGATTTCAAGGATCAGCCATTTGGAGTGGAAGTACGTGCTTGGACGGCCGAATTGTTGCAATGTTGCAATTACCCATTCCGTATCATCATCCCCTTGTTGACCAGCGCTACGCTCAGAGCACAAAGTCTCACGTAAAGATCGACCCAAGTCTCAACAGCATTGTCACTTAAGATGCACCCGGACTTGGTATATACAGCTACATTGTGTTCATTGTATTCATACATACATTGTCAGTGGGACAGACCACAGACAATGCCAAGAGCATGGCCCAGAAACAATGCTTTCATGCAAGCATTCCGCCGCTTTCCCCATGCGATCCCATGACATATGTAACCCCTTCGATTCTATCTCAACAACCTTTTTCAAATATGGCTCCTGCTCTCATTAACAGTAGCTCCCACCGGTCACTCGGTATTCCTCTCCGCTTATGCGATGAATCGACGAGTGGAGAATCTCCCGCGTCCACGACCGCGTCCGCGTCCGAAGCGGTTGCCGCCAAAGCCATTGTCTTGACCTTGACCTTGACCTGTTTGGTTTTGAGCATTATTGTTCTGCCCATTGTTCACGTTCTGACCTTGGTTTGCGTTCTGGCCATCACCTGCGTTTTGGCCGCCATCTGCATTCTGACCTTGGTCTCCATTCTGACCTTGGTCTCCATTTTGGCCTTGGCCTCCATTCTGACCTTGGTCTGCATTCTGGCCCTGATCTGCATTCTGTCCTTGGTCTGCATTCTGGCCTTGGTCTGCATTTTGGCCCTGGTCTGCATTTTGGCCCTGGTCTGCATTCTGGCCTTGGTCTGCATTCTGACCATCGTTCGCGTTTTGGCCGTTGTTGTTTCCATTCTGACCGTTGTTGTTTGCATTTTGATCGTTGTTGTTACCATTTTGACCGTTGTTTGCATTCTGGCCATTGTTTGCATTTTGACCATTGTTGTTATTATTGTTACCAGCATTGGCGCCTCCAACGCTGAAACGAATGCAATCGTCCTGAGAGCCTCTTTGGGCGACTGGCATGATAACAGCCTAAATTATAGTCAATATGGAGCATAAGGCAGCGCGGTATTTGGGCACGTACTTGATGGTTAGACGCCGATGTCATGGTACATGCACGGTAGTTGCCAGCAGGGAGACCGCCAACAGCAGTGGCACTCAGAAGACCGTTGCCATTACCCTCATCATTGATACCCTTGAAGAAAGCAAACTTTGTCGGATCTGGAGGTGTCTGCGGGTTTGCATCGTTCCCGAGGTCTTGAACCGTGATATGAGTGTGACCGACTATCTTACCACCCTGAAGAGCTTGTGGAGCAGCATAGTATGTATCGTCAGGGTTTGTGAAAGAGCCTGGCACGAGGCCCTGGATTTGTGCGGAGAATGTAATGTCTGTGTCTGCGGCAATATCCTCTCCATTCTGAGGGCTGACGATGACGCCTGAAACCATGTTCGCGGTGGACGGTATATCTCCCATGGCTTTATAGAAGTCAGCAAAGCCCATATATCAGATTGCCTTTAACGTACGAATTCCATTACAAGAGCCTCCCTGGACTTGCTGGCCGTTTGTCTTGGTTTTTCCAGTACATACGTTGATGAAGTTCGCTGGGTCACTGCTTGCTGTTAGTGGTGAAGAAGTTAAGGTTTCTCTGAATACGGAGTACTGACGTTTGTGAATCAGCCTGGCCGTCTTCGGCTCCGACACCTCCGCTGTTACTAGCATCTTGTACGTTGTCGGCCAGTAGGAGAAGTGCATTTCCATTGCCTTGGTTATTGTTATTGTTATTGTTATTATTATTGTTGTTGTTGTTTTGGTTGTTTTGGTTGTTCTGGTTATTCTGGTTATTATTCTGCCGTTTGAGCACGTTACTACAATCATTCTTCCTCGTTTCACTCGATGTAACATACATTGTTGTTGCCATTTCCGCCCCTATCCTGGGCAGCGACGCTGACCGTCAGAAGTATAAGAGAAATTGCTGTCGTGAACTGCATGATGCCGGCGCAAGAGATGACGAGTAACAGCAGGAAGAATGGTCAAAAACGAAGGTATTTCCGGCTAGCGGGGGATTATACAAGTATCAGACACAGACACGTTCAACGCAATCTGATCGAAGAAGAAGATCAAGCAAGGAAAGGAATGTGACCGCCGACGGAGGAAGTCCTTCGAATTGACCGTTGAAAAAGAGAATGAAAAACAGAAGCTCTTGTAATAGGCAGCCGACCTACTTAAGTTTACCTTGGCGATACTTGACGTTCTACACACCTCTATAGCACCCCAAGCCGATGCTTGGCCTATGAAACCCGATGTGAGGGCCATATTGTCTCAGCTACCATTTCATGAGGATCGTTAAGACATTGATACACAGAACAACCGTTAGTCGTACCAGAGCCGCTCGGAGTGAGATGACTACGCCTATCTGAGCAAGGCAGGTCGGCAGCAGAACTTTCCAGGTGTTGTGTATGGAAACGGTATCGGTTTGATGCTGAGATGGGCCTGAGACTCACGGAGTTTGAGAGTAAGCAGTTATAACCAATCAAAAGTGCCCAAATGCCTCTCCGACGTTCAGCCGTGTCCTCGCCAATGAGCACTCATTTCCTTGCAGTCTTAGACGTTGCATCAAGCATCCGCCACAACACACACCCATCCCAAAGCTCATCATCGACCTGACAGCTCGCCTGTCTCGACGATGCATCGGCTCTTCAGATTGGGAGCTCATATTCATGCGTTTTGAGTGTCGTTTGTCAAAAGAAGTCCTCTTCTATGCATATCAGACATATGCAGGGCCACTAAACGCTGCCCGGTCCAGTGGGGTCTTTAAGGACAAATCCTGCAAGAAGCCTCTCTATGTGGCAAGGTCTTCAGACTTCAATATTCTTGGCTTTGACCATGTCTCCACGTTCATGAGAGCATTACGGAACGCCACACGGAGTAGTCTAGAGTCTCGACGTCACTCAAGAACTGTCCACCGGTACAGATCGTCGACCAGCATCTGGAGGCTATGGGCGTGTAAATAGTATCTAAGTTGTCAATATCGAAGACGCCAGCACGGCTTTGTTTGTGCGACTCAAGTATCTTCAGGGAATCGCCATGGTCCACTAATTAATAGTGGTATCACGCAACGTTGTTGACTCTCGCCCAAACATTATAATCGAAGTCGTTTGTTGCTTCGAAAAACATATCCGAATACCAAGCTTTGTTCTGATCTAAGCCGCCGAAAGACCATCTCATTATCGCGGTATAGGATGCCTAATGATGGTCAAGTCCACTATGCATCTAAGATTAAAGGTCATCCTGTTTTTCCCAGGGTTTCGTCGAGCGAGCGATGTGGGCAAACACCCGGATAGGCTCGCCCGCAGCCGCAGGTGCACGTCTTGGCCCCTGTCTCACCTTGGTATCATCTTTGGACGATCGACCGACGTGCGACTCTTGCAGCCGCCGACCGAAGCTCATCGTTTCGCTTCAAAAAGGTCAGTTGGGTGAATCAGACAAGCTCCAGCACATGCAAATTGGTAGTCACGACATATACCCATGTCTTCGACCGTTCTGCTGTTATCACCTCTGTGTCCAGCCTAGACTGACTCTTCATCTTTCTCTCACTGAATGACTGCCAATTCAGCGCCGACAGAGCAGCATGTTCGCTATTGCACATCTCCACAGTTTCGATTACATCTTCTCTACACCTTGAACGCCCAGCACAGAGAGAGAGAGAGAGAGAGAGAGAGAGAGAGAGAGAGAGAGAGAGAGAGATATCATTGTGTTAAGAACGATTACCGTACATCGAACGGCAAATCCCACACGAACGATCTAGAAGACTCAGTAGTCGAGCCAAAATTTGCAGCCGATGCCCATCTGTTCTCAGAATGGCTATCCGGAGAAACCTATAGCGATGGAGACATCTCTCCGCACTCTGTTCCGAAGAAATCTCCCCAGCGCAACGGCTTTGACCGTGTCTTCAATCAACGGTACCCGACTCCGCTCCCGAGTCCACGTTCACCCCCTGTCCGTGAACCAGACTTTCGACTCGGACGCCGCGAGGCACGCGGCAACCACTCAACCAAATACAAAGGCCCTATGTCCCCCTCTTCCGAAGACCCTGCAATTCCTCCGATGCGGCAACTAGTCTAGAAACCAAACCTCCTCTTCCGTCCTCAAATGCGAACGTAATAGAGTCTGGTTTATAGTTTACCTGCTGCTTCTAGCCACGATCACTTTTTCTCCGTGATTCCAGGACCTTTCAAAGGCCTCCAAGAACGGTGCCTGCCGTGTTACAGACGCCTCGTCCGCGATACGAACACGAGAGAGAACACGAGTGGCTCTGTACCATGGCTCACGCTGCCCAGCTGACACTGGAGAGCCAATTCTTGGCTACATGCACCGACCGTGATAGGGAGCCAGAAGCAATAGACACGACCCAAACATTTCCGCCTCTTCGCACGTAGTAGCCTAGTAGCTCAAGATACCGCATTCACCATCCACAGCCCTTTCACGATGCTGTCGAGATGCATATCTCACAGCGGTTATCTAACAGCCGATCTCTGCAGCCGCGCCTTGGTCAACCGTGGGCGCTGACTGACCCTGGAAGCTTAGCCTGCGGCCGGGCGCGGCGCAGCGCACAGTCCTTCCGGTACGCCCTTGTTTTTTTTCCACGCCTCGGAACCGGATCCTACGACAAGAGAGACGACGATCCCTATATCTGTTTGGCGTGCAGGAGAGCGGCAGTTGTTCTTGCTTTGTGCTGTGATCCTACGTATTTGCTTAGCCCACCAAGAGTCTTCGCGAGTGTCACTGTCAAACGTGTCAGAATGTCAGATGATCCCTTGGCTCTAATGCTCTAGCTAGGAGTATCATAAACGAACTACATGGTCATAACGTAAGCATTGTAAGGTGACCATGAGTGTCATTGCTTAATGCGAAAGTGACATGCGCAACAACAGTAGATGGTACCTGACAGGCATACACACTCGTGAACTGAATTGAGTTTGAGTAAGGGAAGCTTGTGTGCTGCTCCTCAAAAGTCCACCATGCGAACACTGGTAAATGAGGTGAGATGAACACGAAAGTCTGGTTGGCGCTATGGAAAGCTAAACGGGACACGTGATGAATATCAGCAGCGCGCGCAAGATGAGAATTGTTTGTCCTGATAACGCATCTCGAGATGATACTGCAACAGCAGTTTTCGAAAGAGGAAACAATAACAATAATAACAAACACCGATGATGATGCATTATCAATTGTATGAGCCTGCACGTTTCTAATGGACGCTCAGCCCCGTGCGAGTTGTGCAGCGGGAAAACAAGCTTTGCGCGCACAGCACGACAAGTGACACAAGACGGAGCGCAGGCAGGATCATCTTCAAGTGACTCGCTCCCAGTGCGCAGAGTATTTATTATTTGTTTACATGTGCAAGCAGTCGAACAACAGGAAGTAGAAGTTGGCGGAGCATGGCACATCTAGGCTTTTCCGTCTGCCAGGATCGCTGGGACGGCAGACTGGCTATAGCTTTCTCTCTAGGAGACGCAGGGAAATCTGGGGGTGGTATGATGGCTATAGCTTCTCGATGAGCTTGATGTTTGGTGGCTGAAAGCTGAGGCTGTTGTTATGATTGCAATTACATAGGTGCCCTTGGATGTCCCGAGGTTCACCTGAAGCTTGGCCGACGGGATCGCCGGAGAGGAATTCATGGTCCACTGGACAATGTTGGTTGTTTTTTGAGATTTGTGAGGATGCACTGTCCCAGGCAACCGGTATGGAGCTGTTCCGTAGTCGAGGTGTGCGTAGTGTGGTGATCCTACAATGTGTCTACTATGTAGTAACAGCGGCAGTCAGAGTTTCCGTATCTGGTGTAAGATGATTGGGGAGATGCGGAGATAACTGCAGTACGTTGGTTCGTTCGACCATGAGTCTGTATCCTGCAGGATTGTGTTCACCAGGAATACGGTTCTGCGAATAGTAGGCGTGTTGCATGTTGCAATTACCAACCCAAAGACCAGGACACCCACAGATGGGGATGTCCGTAGGAAGCAGACAGTTATAGTTTTTCGTAGTCATGTCGGCGTAAAAGGTTTTGTTGTAGTAGATGAAACACCTCTTACGAGATTGTATGGTTTCTTTATCGACCTGAACAGCAGAGAGCCCCATTTTCACCCTGGTGAGGGCCAGGTTGACGGGACGGTCTGACTGAAGCTTATTTTTTGACACAGGGTCCCCTGCCGGCAGTGGTAGCCATCTCGCAGGCCAGGGTTTAAGAAGGACCGACTGCACCCGTGCGTGTCGATTAGGCAATAAGAGTTTTTCTGCCAGTCAAAAAGGACGGGTTTTGTTATATGCCAGATTAGAGTGCATCGCAAGGCAATGGTAGCCATGTTGTCTGCGTGGTAAGTCAGTTCTGAGAACTTAGAGCCGATACTTTATTGTTCTCCTGAGATAAGGAGATGTCAGCAAATGACACTGCATATTTTCGATAGCATTGAGACTTCGCGCAGCGAATCCTCTGCAGAACGTGTTGTGACCCTGAACCTTGTGGACGCGTCTCTCGTGCCCGACGAGCCTCTTACCCGTCGGCCGTTAAAGTTTAATGGAAAGACGACATGTGGTGACATTCGAATACAGCGACACCTTAGTGGTGCGGTGCAAGAGTAAAGCTGGGTCGCTAATCCTTCGCAAAAGTGATGCTCATGCTCCTCCACGGGAGAAGTAGCGTGATCTTCCTTCGCATGAGGTTCAGACTGCTCAGCACCGTTGTGGACGCGTGAAGTGTCACCAACCTCGGAAGGGTCTGGTGCGAAAAGGAGAGTAAAAAAATTGACCCATGAAATATTGGCCGATTCGCCCCACAGACTCGATAGGTATGATCGCATGGCCTCACTGATCGATCAGAGTCGTGTGCGAGGCGGACGAGCACAGATAGTGCGACGCTTCCTCTATCGTGCCATGATGCGCTGGGCCGGTGCGTCTGTGCCTGCCCGCCTGGCGTAGTAGTTCAAGATGCGATGAGATGAGATGCCGGGAGGTTGCAATTCTGGTCGACTAGAGAGCTTCTCCGCATCTTTGATCCCCCTCGAAGACACGAAGACGCGAAGACGCGGGTGCGTAGTTTGAGAAATTCTCCGCCAGCCGCTTAGGCGTTATCGATGGATCTAAGGCCTACCAGACAATTCAATCATTCTCATGCCCAAGAACCCTTGTCTAGCTTGAGGAAGCGGGCTGCATGAAAAAAAAATCTGGAGATGGATGATGCTGCTATCAAACATTGTGTGTATGCTAACTCTATGCCGTGACTGTTGATTCTCTGCCGTGGACACTGACTCTATGCCGTAAATGCTGATTCCATGCTGTGATAAAAGACCAAGACAGTTTATGGTTAAACCTTCTGGTTGAGACGAGTCAAGGCCATTGATGAGAGAATTAGGGCAGTTTATGAGGGAGCGGGTGGAAAGTCGCTTCCGGAAGAAGTGTTGATTGGTGGCACCATGTAGTAAAAAACAAAACGCACGACTCTTACAGGCTGGGATAGTCGGTCCCGATGAGCTATTATGGACTCTAAAGGGAGGGGGAAAGGGTTGGCACTGGTTAGGCGACCTGGGGAGAGATGTGATGGGAACGTGAATGCTGCATGGTTCGGCAGACCTCTGACCCGACCTTCTCCAGACGCAGTAGTTGCAAGCGGCAGTGATGACTTGTCGAATTAAAGCATAAATAATGACATTGAACGGGAAGGGTGTTCGGGCAAAGGAAGAAGTGCATCAAGTCTACGATGACTGGTCAATGGATTGTAGTGACCAGCTGGAAGCCTCGCCGAACGACATGGCCGAGCTATGAAGCTAGTATGTGCTGATGGCTGAAGGATGTTCTACTAAGTAGTGAGTAGAAGACATTAGAATGATTAATTACACGTGAGTTGCTGTGGAATCATAGTGCTATCTATCCATGGATGCACATGGCATGCTGCCGCCGTCCTATCACAACGAGCGAACGTTTCAGGCCATTCAACGGCGTGCCCAGATTAAGCACAGTGACCACTGACAACGCGTCGCATGCGTCCCACGCTTCACGGTCGCACATGTGGTGTAGTTCAGCGATGCCGTGTGCTACTACTAGGTATTATTGATTGACTGACTATCTGTCTGTCTGTCACGACTGTCATCGTCGTCTGTTGATCTCGCAGCACCGCACCGCACACGGGATGCCTGAACTGCATCCAACTGCATCCAGGGGGAGGGAGAGAGAGGGAGAGGGAAAGAAAAAGAGGGGGAGGCGCATGGAGCCCTTGATGGGTGTGACAGTGTCTCAGTCCTCCATCTCCTGCTTTTGCTCACCCTACTCCTTGGTCCCAAAGACATGATGGATGATAGCGTTCTGTGGTCAGGACTCAGGAGAATAGTCGACAGTTAGTTGTTATGCAGCCAGACTCATCAAGTGCAGGGATAGCGCATAAATTCCCAGGCAAAGCAAAGCCAGCGTTCTCCGGCAGTGTGGAAGCTCGTCCCCCCCAGCGGTCTTACCGGAATCGGCTTGGCTAGCTTGGCCTGGGCCTGTGTGTGTATGTATGTGGCCCGTGTGTGGTCTTAGTGTGGCCCGTGTGTGGCCTGTGTGGGGTTCTCTCCAGGGCTTTCCCGTCGGCGTCTTCCCAGCGCTGCGCCCAAGGGACCATCGCCGAATATTCACTCTCTGGTTTTTAGTCGCAGAAACAAAGAAAAACACTTTGAAACTTGCCATTTTAATATACCTCCTCAATACTCTCTCTCCCTGGGTCACTACACCCCCCCTCCCCCCCCTTCTTCCTACGTCCCCTTCCTTCCTACGGCCATCCCGAGTCTATCTGTGTGCCCTCACCCTCACTTCACGCCTTTTTTGTTGGTGTCGACTGTAACGATTCCTCCCTTCAACAATCAATCGTCATCATCATCTCTCTCACCTCTCTCTCTCTCTCTCTCTCTCTCTTGCAATCCCTTGCCTCAATCACTCGGTTTGTCTTTTTCTTGCTGTCGAGCTTCCGTTGCCGACTGCCTTTCTTCACACATCTTTCTTTCTATCGCTTCTGTGGCGACCACCTTTTCTCGGCCTGCTGGTTTCGTCATCTTGTGCCCTTCCATCCTTCAGTTTCCAGTCGAGCCTCAGACTGCTCTTTATATCACTCAAGGGCACTTCCAGGTGTTCTTTAGAAGCTTGCTATTTCCAGCATCGCCTTGCTTGCTTGATCATCGCCTCCCTACATTCCTGTCCTGGCCTGGCGAGACAATTAAAAAAGATCTACAATATCCGTTCTATACGCCGTGCAGTCTCGATCTTGATCTCTCACACCTTCTCACCCTTCTCTGGTTGACTACTGCCTCACCGTTGGCCTGGCATCTCCACGCTGGACCCTGACGTAAAAAAATCCATTGTTGACAATAAACACCCCACGAAGATTTCTCTCCCACATCAACTTCACGCCCAATCAACACCTACACACCACAACTGCCAGCAATGGAACTGCAAACCGTCCAGATTCTTGACGACTGGTCCAGCATGTCCAGAGATGTACCGCATTCTCGCAACGCATCCGCTGACTCAACTGGTACAACAAGCTCAAATGGAACCTCAGCCTACCCGATGATTCTCGAACACGTCCTGTCATATCCAGGCACGTACGAGATATCTCTCCGTACCATGTACACTCTCAACAGTGCTCCACGGACCCATGGACCGAATCGATCGACAACTTCGTCGTACGAAAGCGACTCCTCAAACGCTTCGTCAAATTCGCCCGTAGCCAATACCACGCAGTTCAGCTCAGCTCTTATGTCTCACATTGCCAAGCTTCCTGCACAGCCGTGCTCTCTACCGCCAAGCTTTATCATCTCATTCGTGCGCCGCTGCTTTCACCCAGAGTTGACCATGGTCGACTTTCCCCAGGCTCTAGCCGCATTGGATTACCTGAACGATCTCGAGAACAGGAGAAAGAAGGAAGTTCGCGCAGCATTTGCAAAGCTCGGCATAGAAGCAAGTTTAGATGGCGAGGAGACAGACAGAGAGCGTGTATTCAGTCAATATCCCGGTGTAGCCCAATGGGTTAAGAACGCCGAAGCCAAGGAACGAAAACTTGACAGTGTATACACTGCGGTTTATCTCGGCCTTCGTCGATGGGTAAGTTTGTATCACCACTCTGTTATGCACCGTCCATGAACCTTACTAACCAACGCATAGGTCTTAATTAACGAAATGTGCCTCGAGCCATTCCACAAGAACAACTGCCATGCTATGCTGAACACAATCTTCCCTCCAATCCCACCAAGAAAACAACCGACAAGTCTGCTGAAGCCCGAAGTCCTTATGTCACAACGCGAGTCATTCTTCCAGTACATCAATAAAGTCAGCAAACATGGCAAGGCTGTTTTGAAGCCGCTCCAGATGCACCAAAAGAAGGAGCAGGATCTCAATGGATGGGCTGAGGTTGTCAGAGCTCTTGAGAAGTACCTCTTAATTGCTAAGAATATGATTGATGACTGCGTGGACATATCAATTGAGCCTTTCGTTGATGAGGCTGCCAAGCGTGGGGGTCGTAAGACTGATTCGGGTGTCAGTTTTGGCTCAGATCGGTCCAAGGTATCGGCGGCTCCGAGCATCGGCGGCTCTATCACTGGGGACTACAAATCCATGGAACAACCGTTGAAAGGTCTATCGACCATTGAGAAGATTACGCGAGAGTTCAAGCGTATGCGCTCAAAGTCCCGCAACCGTATGGAGGTTGAGGAGATTCGCCCACGTGTTGGCACACCAGAGAGCCTAAGAAGCGAGAGACCCATCAGTCCACAGCAAGACAGGCTACGGGGAGTGAAGAAGATGAAGTCAGCTAGCGCACTCAGCCATATTAGGCAAGCAAGCAGTGGTTCCAACTCGAATGGTGGATCTCGACAGAATAGCGATGCCTCGGCATTCGATCCTGAAGAAATGCGACGCGCTCGACAGCGCTACGACGAAGGCGTTAAGCAGAACAGCCACGCAGGCGCATAATTGGTCGTCGACTTATCCTGAATTGCACGATATATACGATTTTCATTCTATGCACGCACGCGCGTGTCCGGCTCTTTACTACAACGACATTAGATGAGAAAGGCTGGCGGAGGCCACGCCTACGGCATATTTTCTTCCACACGTCCAGGCGCAAATCCGGTCATCTCTCACGGGAAAACAAAAAGGTCCTTTATGTTATCTCGTTCTGTTCTACTACGACCTGGTGGCTGCTTTGACATGTTTGTACTTCTGGTTCTTGTTCTTGTCCTTTTTTTTTTAACTTCATTGTTCATATCAACATGCCTTTTACGCTTCCACAGCCTCGAGGGTGATGTTGTATGCCTGGCCCGGGCAACACGAGGATCACGGGAAGCGAACATGGTATGAGTCAATTGTGAATTAGTATATGCAGCAAGGAGGGCGAGGCGTCGTCGACGGACGGCGGAGCACAAAGCAACGAGGGCTTGCTAAGAGACTCCTTGGAGGGTTGGCAATTGGGTCGCTCAAGGCGATGCAATGTAGTCGAGTCGAAAAAAATGAAACACATAAGATTTACTACACTTGACCACTATTGGTGCTCACGCTGTTCACGTCAGGTCAGGTAGTCGTCCGCATCCAACGCACACGTACCTGCTGCACCGGGCCGTGTTAGTCAATGAGCCAAGCATGGCGTCCTGTCAAGTCGACACGCAACGGACGTGGATCGGACATGGCAGTCGACAAGACCAAGGATACATATGCATGCTTGACACGCGCCCTGCAGCGGCCGTTCGCATGGTGTGACGCACACAAGCAGGCAGGATTCTCAATCATCCAACCGGAACAAAACGCCATGGTTGAAATGGTAGCGTAAATCCAAGCAAGCAGGTGTATTTCCAATCGGGCTGGGCGGAATGGCGATGATAATGATGCGATGCAAGAGATCGGATCTAGGAGTGTATGCAACGCCATGCCATGCAATGCGACTGCGATGCCAATGCCAATGCCAATGCCAATGCCAATGCCAATGCCATGCGGCGGCTGCGACGGTGTCTGGGGAAGGTTGTGAGAGGGTGAGGATACAGGGGGCTTGAGGGCCGCGTGTGAGTGAGGCTGGAGTGGGGAGAGAGGCTGGAGATGTATGTTTGAGCCTATCGGATTGTTTGCATTCAGATCGTTGTGTCGGAGAGATGTAGATGGTGCATGTGCATGATGATGATGTGCATATAGGAATGTATGTGTGTGTGTGTGTGTGTGTGTGGATAGGATAACAGGTTATAGCTATGTGGATATAGATGTATGTATGTATGTATGTATGTATGTATGTATGGATGGATGGATATGAGTGAGGTTGTGTGGGATGTGTATATGTGTACTGTATCATGTATGTGTAGGATGACGTGCATGCAGATACGCGTCTGCATTGCATGTGCATTACATTGTGCATTCGTACTATGAATATTCCGTAGCGCTGCTCTCTGGACGCAGACATGCGGGTTCTGGGTTCCTTTTTTTTATATGGATAATTATATGGACTGTGTGTATTTATCATGGCGGGGTTTATATGGAGCTGGTGGATGTTGATGTGGCGTTTTTGTGGCGGTATACTGTCGTCCCACTTATTACGCTGTCTGTAATTACTGTATGATTTTTAAACTCTGAGGCGCCTTTTCCCTGGCGGGCGGTGTGCAAAGGGAGGGGGTTCTTTCTAAAATTAGGATGCCAGCTTATACGTGGCTGATGGGGTAATTGTCACTATGTACATTTCTCGAGGGCGGAAATGCAGGGGAGGAATGCGTTATGTGTTATGCGCGACGGAGAGATGTGTGAGGTAGATGCGATATGCGAGATGGAGTAGTATGGTATCTATCGATAATGCGATGCGGACAGACAGGTAGGGAGGGGATATGGCATGGAGCGAAGGTGGAGATGTGTTATGTAGACAGACGTGTCTGCTGTTATGCTGTCCGGGTGTGATACGGCGAAGTGTGTATAGCAGATGTTATTGTTGTTGTTTGTGGAGCGGCCCAGTACGGCACAAGCAAGAACGCCCCCGAGTCCCAGGCCGCTCTATTCCGCTTACTGTAATTATTGTATGTATTCCACGCCGTTCCGCACCTTCCGCGGCACAAGGCGCATCGCTTGGGCAGGCACAGATAAAACCGATTCAAGCCCCAGGTCAACGGTCGAACCTGCCTTTAACGATCAAAACTCGTCTCTCGTCTCTCGTCTTCCACCGCTCCTTCCCCTAAGTGCAGGATAAGGCGAATCTACTAATATCGATGTCTCCTCTTGTCCACTATCCGATCAATTCAGCTGTCTATCCTGTCTGTTTCACGTATCATCTGTCCGCCCGATGTCAGATCCTTACGTAAACTCGGATAATGGCAACTTTGGTCGAGCAAAGGCGGCCGCCTGATTATTTAAATCGTTTGCGTGGTCCCTCATGTGTATATGTATGTGAGAGGTTTTAATAATATATGAGGTGCTTCCTGTCTACAAACCACATCAGTTCGACGACAAGACCAGGAGCAATCTATCTACCTTCAGCAATCACTCGTATTCCTCGCTAGACTCAAACTCGTATTCTTTCTCATTTATCTGATCTCTTCCATCTTCTTACATCGCGTTTCTCCGTCCATATTCTCCTATCTCGTGTCGCTCCATCTTCCGGTGTTTTCCCTGCGTCATCAGGGACCTCCGTTCCAAACTCTTAAACTCTACTCCAACCTAGGACCCTGACCTTGCCTGCTCGTTCTCTCGTTTGCTCGTTCGCTATCTATCTACATACATACATATACTCTTACTCCCACCCCACTTCACCGCCCTCCCCCTCTCAGAATGACTTCTGCACCTTTCATTACCCCGAAATTCCTTCCCTCCCGCGATGGCCTCGGTGTCGTCGCAGTCGGTTTCTCTGGCGGCCAAGTACCTTACTCTGTCTCCACTCCTAGTCGTCGTATACTGATTTTAACCATAGCCCAAACCAGGCGTCGAAGCCGGCCCTACAGCCCTCATCGATGCAGGCCTCCTCACACAACTCGAAAACGATCTTGCGCTGAACGTCACCTTTGATGGCACCGTCGCCTCGTACGCCGACGTCTATGCCGCACACCCAGACGATCCGGACGTGCGTGGTATGAAGCGTCCCAAGACCGTCTCTGCCGTCACACGTCAGATCAGCGAGCAAGTCTACGCGCACGCGCGCGCTGGTCGCTTCGCCCTTACGCTTGGCGGTGACCACAGCATCGCCATTGGCACCATCAGCGGCAGCGCAAAGGCGGTGCGCGAGCGATTAGGCAAGGAGATTGCTGTCGTGTGGGTGGATGCACATGCAGACATCAACACACCCGAGACGTCGGGTAGCGGCAACATCCACGGCATGCCGGTTGCGTTTCTGACGGGCCTGGCGCGTGAGACGCGCGAGGATGTGTTTGGCTGGATTGAGGACTCGCATCGCATCGGCGTGAGCAAGATTGTCTACATTGGGCTGCGGGACCTGGATGTGGGCGAGAAGCGGATTCTGCGCGAGAACAAGGTCAAGTGCTTCACGATGCACGATATCGATCGGTGCGTGCTTGCTCGGGGTCTTTACTTATATATGTTTTTTCTGGTTGGGAAGCGTACTGACAATGCTGCAGGCACGGGATTGGCGCCATCATGGACATGACGCTGGAGCATATTGGGCCCGACACGCCTATTCATCTGTCCTTTGACGTCGACGCACTGGACCCAATGTGGGCGCCTTCGACAGGAACCCCGGTGCGTGGCGGCTTGACTCTTCGTGAGGGGGATTTTATCGCCGAGTGTGTCGCTGAGACAGGCGCGCTCGTCGCCATGGACTTGGTTGAGGTCAATCCAAGTCTAGACGAGGTGGGTGCCGGAGACACAATCCGGGCCGGGTGCAGTCTGGTGCGCTGTGCGTTGGGAGATACTTTGCTCTAGATTGATGGCGATTGATGGCGAGGGGTGAAGGAAGAAGAGTGCTTGGATAGACTAAACTGGTTTGACTAGACGATAGAGTCCCTCGTGGGAAATTACATGTACCACGGTTCAATGATCAGTGATAGGCAGTGCGATCATGCATGCATAGTAATGACTTTAGTATTTACCCACTTGACAGCTGGTGCTCCAGCCATGACGAATTGGTGTTATAGACACTGCGCTTCTTTCTCTGCCTGCCATCCGTCTCGCTCTTGTCTAATTCTGGAGTTGTGGTATCGTGTGATGGCGCCGTAGATATGTCTTGTTCTCGAGGCGTCGTGTTTGTGGTGTATATTGAGCGTGTGCCGTTTTGTGGCGTTGGGCCGTTGGTTAGGTGAGGAGTGTTATGTCGATGGCCACGGGAAGAAAGGCATGGCTTGGCCATGCTTTGGGCGGCTTTTGCTTGATGCTTTATTACGATCATAATACAGAGCATATATAATGGGACTGGACGTTGGCCACATGACCAACTTCGTAGGGTCCTTGAACGAACTGAGAGTATGCTGGCTCCGTAGAATATGTTTTAGTTTAGACTGCGTGTAGATAATTAATACTGTATACTCTCTCATCAAAAGCTCTTGCGAACCGCACTTCCAGAAGCAACCGACATCTGTGCAATCAGTGTTCTCCGACTACGTGGATGAGCACTTCCTGTATGATCAATCGATAGATTCTGGAAGATTAAGTTTCTTTGGATGATATATTCGGAACCATCTGCACTCTAATCATCATTGCTCGTGGCCCCTCTGGGAGATGTATGCTTGTGATGCTAGAATCGAATGACGATGTAGATCAACATGTCTCTAAGCAAAATGGAAGCGATGACACGGCAGCCTGGACTGAAGTATCTGCCCATATAATGCTCACCATGCAACGGTGTGGTACTAAAAGGACGAGGTCACGACTAGGATAACTAGAACGGAAGAGAATTGACCCATTCCAATCCGGTCAAAGCTCCTTTGTTTATATGAGGAGGTTCGGGTAGAATTCTGGAAGCATGCCTAGTGTGAAGCCACAGAACAATGTATCTACGTATATATTACTGCATGGCTTGTTCGGTGCGGCCATGTTCATTTGACGTGGCCAATCAGTAGATGCACAGGCAGGCACAACAGGGCGGGCGTACTTCCAATTAACTGCTAGGTAGAGTGTATCGAATGGGAAAGCCGAGGTGATGACGCCGTCGTATCTGGACAGACCATGCCTAGGTTCGGCATCGCGGCTCTAAGGTAGACGTAATTAATAATTAGCTTGTGCTGTTTGTCTTTTTGTAGGGGCCGAGTTACAGAAGGGTGTTGGACTTTGGTATGCGATATATCACATTTTACAGCAATAGTTCAACGGTTGTCCCGAATGTCCCGGTCGTTCATCGCAACAACAAAGCCGGGCGCGAGCTTGTACCTGACCTAAATTAGCAGACCTAGAGCGAGCGCAGGCATGTGGTAGAGCAGTGATAGTAATAATGATGTGTAAGTGCGAACGTAATTAGAGAAAAAAGCAATTTGAATTCCGGCACTCCAAGTGGTTTGGTATTATTATTAGTTGGTTCCAGCTGCCAGGCAGGGTTGTGGAGCAGTCGTCCCTCTCACCAAATGACGACGTTATGGATCCATTCCATCTATTACCACTCAACACATCCATCCATAACCTCTCACTGAGCTGATATCTTGCAACTTTCACTGCAATCCTCCTTCTTCAATTCCCGAAAACTCTCATCTTGTCAAACTCCACGAAAGGAAGCATTGCGGCCGGCTACACATCCAACATCGGCCGCTGACGCTCATGCTGACCGGGCCAAGCCAGTTGAAACCTGCCGCGTGTGTTGCTAGGCTTGAGCGCTGAACGTCCAGTGCGTGCGACTCTTTACCTTGACAACACATACACGACCTTTCACCTGCATCATACACCTGCATCCATCCATCCCTCCATCCATCCAGCATTCCACGTCGTCGGTACTGTCATGAAGTCAATCCTGTCTCCAATGCCAGATCCCCATTCGTCATAACCATGGCTGACCAAGACGACTCATCACCACCTCGCCCTCTAGAACTGTGCTCCATCACCGACGAAAGCCCGCCCTCTGTCTCTACGGCCTCTTCAGGCTCCACTACTCCAAAACAATCCATTGCGCCTTCGACCGCCTACGAAAATGGTAACGTTGCGGCTGCACGACCATCGAGCGTCTTGCGAGCTTTGAACGTGGCGAACGCTGCCTCGACCTCCGCCTCTCCACTCTCCTCACGCGATTCCTCACCCGCACGACATAACAGCAAGACTACACATATGCCTGCAGGACCCTCGGCGCCGAGGCGATCGAGGACGCATAGCCAAGATATGAGCCCGACACGTCCGCCGCTTGTGCAAACCTCAAGTGGTACTGTCCCTTCAGCTGCAGCTGTTCAACGTGTCCTATCGTCCACGAATACGCCGCAACTAGCAGCTGGGCAAACACATGATTCAAAGACATCGCGATTGCAGAAATCAGAATTTATACCAGGAGAAGGTACACCGCGCTGGCCTGTGTCACCTAGGATAAAGTCCCCACCACCATCCACATCACGTTCACGGAAGAACTCTCTCAACAGTCGTTCGCAGCAGACAGCCCAGGCAACCAAAGATACCTACCAGCGCAAGTCGGAAACCTTGGCGACACCCAACATCGTCGTCCAGAGCTCAACACCGCCATCATCATCGTCATCGGCCGTGGCCCCGTCGCTACGCGCACCAGCAAAGAATGATGCTCCCAGTAGTGATTCGGACGACCAGGCCCCCATCACTATGAAAGGCTCCGCCCGAGGTGTGAGTGGCGCAAAGACTACCCTAGAGACGGTGCAAGAAGGAAGCCTGCCCAACAATTCAGACTTCGAGCTGGCAAAATCACAGAGGTGTGTCAGCGCGTTAAAGTCTTCCCACACAGTTCTAGGTTATGGGCCATCCATATACCGTTCCATAGAAACGTAGCTCATCTTGCCGTGTACGTTTGGCAGAACCCCAGTTCTAACCATTTTACAGGGTCACCACTCAAGGTTCAAGCAAACCAGACACAGACAACTCAACACAGGAGAGCGCGGCCTTCAAGACTTCTGAAGATCTGACCAGCAAATCTTCAAGAGCTGTAGAGAGTGGCAGTGAAAGTGGAGAGAACAAAAACAATGGCAAGGCCAAGGTCATACAGCCAAAGTCTGCCACCACGCCGCGGTCTGGTCTCTCCAACCGTAGCTCGTTCACGTCATTAACCCAAACGAAATCACGATCTGTCAACGAAAGTAAGAACATGACAGTCGAAACCGAGACTGTCCCATCGATCCCACAAGCTACTATCGGAGCACCCATCGACAGAAACATCCAAGGACGGTCTGAGGCATCCGGAAGTCTCCGTTTGAAGCCGAGTAACGAGACGATACGCCCAAAGAAGGAGAGGAAGAAGCCTCCTCGCAAAGCCCCCTCTGTGAATTCCGGCACGGGTATGTATTTCAATTTTCGCAACCCCTTCCACCATCATCACCATCCTGTTACGCGACCCGAAACAACTGTTCGGTCGTACACATCTCCCTCCCTTGCCAGCAGCTACGATACGATGGGATCAATCAGGTCCTCGTGGTCATCACAGCCAGGCACCCCTGATGCTATTAATCGAACATTTCTTAAGTCTTCGAAGTATATTTTATCCACCACTAACTCCAGGCCGAATACAGCGTCGTCCAAAGCAGACATATTCGAAGCCAAAGTCGCCAGTGCTGTCGATGAAGCGGATGACTCAGACTCTGATGAGACTTTTGTCTACGAGTCAAACCCGCCGGATGCAGAACAACGCCCGCTCCATCATTCACGCACACCGAGTGCAACATCAATGGCGAGCTTGGCGGATCAAAGACAGAGCATGCGGTCGATCGGCAACGCTTTTGACAATCAGCGTCAAGTTCCGAGCAAAAGGAGCATGAAGTTTGCGAGTACATATAATCCGAACAGTCCTGATCATGATTTCCATGATCGAGGAGATGGTACTGTCAGACATGGTACAGGTCGAACTACTGGCGGGAGTAGTATACACCATCATCACATCGGCCGGCACGGGAGAGGCCCGCCTTCTATATTCGACAGTGACTCGCCGTTCCCGCACTCCAGCAAAGACCGAAACTCTCGGCAAATATCGAGGCCATCGAGCCCCAGAGTGGCCAACCACTCATTGCGCTATCAGAATGGAGCAGCTAAGCAGAACAGCGAGCTTTCCATGTACGACATGGCTGGAGAAGCAGCAGATGACGAAACCACCCCTCTTATCGGGACGGTGCGTGGGCCACGAAGCGCTCGCACGATGCGATCCGTACGCCCAATCGGAGTTCCAATGCGTCATTACGATCCATATCAACGCAACGAAGGTGGTTGGCTCAGTAGATTTGCTGGCTGTATTGTTATGACTGTCATGCTAGTCCTGTTGGTAGCCGGTGCAGTCGGTTTCCTCTTTGCAACCACGAAGCCGCTTTATAGTGTAAAACTTGAAAAGATCGAGAACGTTCTCGCTAGTGAGCAGGAACTGATGATGGACCTCTCCGTCGTGGCCATCAATCCCAACGTAATCTCAATCGCCATCTCAGATATGGATGTAAATGTATTTGCGAAAAGCAAGCATGTTCCATCCGGCCTGTGGTGGCGAGAGCATGGCCAAATTGGGGATGAAGGACCATGGATAAGCCCGAGAATCAAACGAAGAAAAATTCACTCGGCATTCAACAAGACCATGGAGAAACTTGGGAACAAAGACGATGGGACCGATCCGATTGACGATCCTGAGTTGGATCCCTCCACCATGTTCATTGGGCGCATTTTCGAATTCGATTCACCCCTGTACTTTGAGGGCTCTGCACTCCAGCAACGTTTACGACGATCTGTGGGCGAAGTGCGTCTATCAAAACCTGGCAACAAAACAGAAGCCGGTGGTACAGATCGATGGGAGCATGTTATTCAGTACCCCTTCGAGCTCATTGTACGGGGCGTCCTTAAATATGAGTTGCCTTTGAGCAGTCACGTGCACACTGCATTGATTCAAGCAAATATTACCGTTCATCCTGAACGTGGCGTTGACGGTAACGGAACGATGTTCGTAGAAACATCGGAAGAGCACGAAGCTCACGGCGGAGGTGCACTGTTTTCAGTCGACTCGACTTAACGAGCCAAGTCAGACGGTTCACTCCACACGACCACATGGAGGCGGCTCGGTACTGACCGGTTTTTCTTTTTTTATCTTTTATTTTTTTTTCAAGTTTTGGAAGGTTTCTTCTATCAACGTGTGACGACCAATAGAGCGGCATCCTCCGCAGGGAGGCCTGGCAACATATACCCCAAATTTGCTCTTCAGCACTTGTTACGAATCTCGTTCACTACCTTGCTGGATTTCCACACACGGTTCAACTTATCCACAACTATCGCCCACAGTTTTTTGTACAATTGCGTCGTCATGATGACGAGCGTTCGAACGCTGCTTCTTGTACACAGAACCTTTTTATAGGCCCCAGCTGCGCTCTATGCATTGATAAGACCATAAATTTGGAGCAGGCTGGAGCATCACGAACATAATCGTGTTGGGACCCGTTCCAATTGGCCAGCCGCACATGAGCGTGTAAAGTCACTGAGCCCTGAGCCAGTTTCTTACTGTGGGTAGGGCCAGGAGTCGAACAGGAACGTTTTTGCGAAGGGCCACGTCTGTAATCATTTATTTAGACTCTTGTATTCATACTTAGGTATCAGAATCCCAGAAGTCCTGTAGGGCATTGCGACCCGATGATAGAGCAAAAGTATCATTTTAAAATTCAACCATAGAATGCTAATTGTTCGTACTTTGTCCTACAAGTGAATTACTAGCGATGTCACTATGTATGGCGCTCCCCTTGTTCCTTGCTTTCGATTGGGCTTGGAAGCGAGTCTAAAGTGCCCCTCTCTCAAACACCCCGCGCCTGCGATACAAAACATCCATCGCGCACGACACCTGCAGTCTACAACCTCTCAAATCATCAGCTGTCCCTGCGTCTACCAGAGGCAAAGTCGATCATTATGGCTGAAGAAAATGCTGTTGGTACGTATTTTGCATCATCATTTGTCTTTCAGCTCGATTTCCTATTCTGAGGCACATTTGGCGTGTTCATGACGCTTCCTCCCACTGAAATCTTTAGGCTAATGGAACTGAGCAGATTACTCGCTCGCGAACCCTGATACCTTGACCAAATATAAGACTGCTGCAACGATCTCGCAGAAGGTCCTCGAAGCTGTCACAGGTACCGAGTCTCGCAGATTTCAGCTATAGCTTTATTAGGCTAACAGCTTCTTAGGATGGTGCACTGAGGGTTCGAAGATTGTCGAGCTTTGCGAGAAGGGCGACCAGCTCTTATCGGACGAAATTGCGAAGGTGTACAAGGGGAAGAAGATTGCTAAAGGCTTCTCGCATCCGACGACTATCTCCCCGAGCTCCTACATTACCCCTTACACTCCGCTCAAGACCGACGCCGAAGAAGCCGAGACTGTACTCAAAGCCGGAGAAGTTATCAAGATCCAGCTGGGTGCTCAGATTGATGGCTTCGGCACTATCGTCTGCGATTCTATTGTGGTCGCCGGCGGAAGCAACAAGGATGGCAAGGTGTCTGGCAGGGAGGCAGACCTTCTTCTTGCTACGCATTATGCTAATGAGCTCCTTCTACGCATGATGATCCCTCCTGGTACTCTGGCTACGACTGAGGAAGAGAAGACTAAGGCTGCTACGCAGAAGCCATACAGTCAGAGCAAGATTACCCAGCTGGTTGAGAAAGTTGCGAAGAGCTATGGCTGCAACATTGTAGAAAGCACCACTTGCTGGCTCTTTGAGCGCAACGAGATTGAAGGCAAGAAGAAGATCATTCTTTCTCCTGGTGACAGCGTCCGTGGCGAGGGGTTGCCTGATGTCTCAGAGGTCTGGGGAGTTGAAATGGGTGTGAGTCTAGGCAGTGGTAAGGTCAAGACTTTGGGCAATCGACCCACCCTGCATCGTCGCACCACTACTACCTACGGCCTGAAACGTCCCAGCTCAAGGACTACACTTTCGGAAGTACAGAAAAAGTTCGGTACCTTTGCCTTCAGCTTACGCCAACTCGACGATGAGAAGTCCGCAAAGGTCGGCGTTGTCGAGTGCGTTCGGGGTGGAGTCTTCCGCCAGTACGAAGTTGTTGGTGACAAGGATGGGGAGCCAGTTGGAAGGGTATTCACCACAGTTGGTAAGTTTTTGAAACATGTTTTCCACATCACTTAAGGACACGCGACGTTGACAGCATTCACAGCTCTCACTAAGAACGGGTTGACACGTTTGGCTGGCCCTCCTACGCCAGATTTGAGCAAATTCGAGACTGACAAGAAGATCACGGATGAGGAGATTCTTGCCATCTTGGAGCAGCCTATTGGTAAGCCCCCAAGCAACAAGAGCAAGAAGAACAAGAAGAAGAAGAAGAAGCCCGCCAAGAAGGTAGAGGAGGAAGAGGACGACGACGACGACGAGGAGGACTCTGACGATGAGTAAGCCATATCTGAAGGTTCAAGACATGATGCACCCAAAATCCTGCTGCGGTGAATATAGGCTTAAGCGACCGTGAGGCTATCTCCAGTCTGGTCATCTGACTTTGCATACGCATAGCCCATTTTGGGGGGTTGGGATGCACTACAAAAGACATCACTTGAAGTCACTTATCTTAGTCTACCGAAAGTAGCGTTAGATGAATAGAAAGGCGAACACAAAAATAAAACTACCAAAAAATGTTGTCTGAATGACTATTAATTCGCCGGAATGCCGCGCAAGTGATAAGGCTTTTCCTATCCCCTGCTCGGTGCCTCCCCGTGAACTTCACACTCATTCCCTCTCCATGCCCTGCAACAAAGTCTTACAACATTTACTTCATCATTTTTCACAAGCACCAATCATTATATTTCTCGGTGTGACTGCTACTAGCTGAAGCTGCACCTGGTCGTGGCAAGATAGGCGCTATTCAGTTGAGGTGGCACTTTCAGCAATTCCAATCTAAGGGGTCTCCCGAGCCGACTCCGTGTTCTGGCTGCGTTCCTTCGCGAGCTCTCTAACACCTCACACCCCCGTTTTCAAAGAAACGCGCCACACCACGCCCCAAGACGTGAGGTCGCCCTCTACTACTCATCGCCACGCGCGGTAATTATCACCATCATATTCTCATTAATCAGAGACTTACTGACATCGACGCAGGGCTGCGCATAAGGGATGAACATGGCCCTGAACGCTTCCTCACGGGCTACGCGCAGATCGAGTCGGGCAAACACACCGAGAGCAAGACCAGCCAGCGCGACTACCACTCCTAAAATTTCAGTTCCCTCCGCTCTATCGACCTCTCTGCCCCAGAAAGCGAGACCGCAGAACACGTTGGACTCATGGGTAGAGCCGCCACCGCCTAATCCTAGACCTAGTTTCGAAGACCATGGCTTTGAACGTCAGGGGGTCCTCCAGCACATGGAACCATTAGGCACGCCGCCATCTGCGAAATTGAAAGCAAAACTGCGAGGCGACGCACAGAAGCGGCCAGTGTTCATGAACGGATTGCTGTCAAGAGACGACAATACCCGTGATTCCCCTGACACTTTGGCATCAGGCCCTGTTACACGTGAAGCATCTGCTCGTCCAGAGGATACGGTCGAAGCGGATACAGAGATAGAAGCATCGGAAGAGCCAGCAGTCACGGAACCAGTGGACGAGGTAGTGGATAAAACAGTGCAGGCCGCCAAAAATACGGAACATCCCCAGCCACTTTTATCTCGGTTCAACAATTTTGGAAAAATTGTGGACCGTGCTTGTGAAGAAGCCCGCGACAACAGTGACGTTCGCACGAATGTAGCCTTACAAAAGATGTACGAGAACAGTGCACACGATTCTCGCCTGATCAAAGCCCTCGACGGTATCCTTGCGAGGTCGGCCACCCCGGCGCAGACTGCATATTTCAAGCGAACTGTTAGGAAACTCAAGCAACAAGCCAAAGCTCGTGAATCACCACCAAAGAAACGACTAAGACTTTCTCTCAAGATGTCGAAAGAGCCGGCCCCAACCCCGGCCTTCTCACCTCCCAAGGTCACTCCCCAAATTGAGCCAACACGCACACCCCGAACGACGCGCGCTTTGAACATGTCCTCATCGGTTGTACCATCATCACCAGCATCTGTCAAAGCTTCGGCCTCGAAGGTTACCCGCACCCTCGCAGTCAATGACTCAGACTCGGATCTTAGTGATGTCGACGAAACCATTGCACAAGGTCCTCCGCCGGACGCAGTGGCAACGAACGGCACCATCGCTAGTACTGAAGCAACAACACGACCGAAAAGAATGGCTGCCCCCAAAGGAGCTCTGCTTGGACGACATCCACCTGTTAGTAAGACTCGAGCAGGCAAACGTGTAACCGACGACGGTGACCTTTCCGAGGCGACTGAGACAGAAGATCACGCGGAGATTGACGCTATCTATGCCAGAAGGAAAGAGCGTCTGCGAGCGTTCGACGACGTGAAGTTCTCCGAGAGCTCATACCGTCTCGATCCAAAGTACAGACCTCGAACTCCACTCTCGAACTCACTACCGCCTCGTTCCAACGGCCTTGTCAACGGACAGCAGGCCAGTAATAAAACCAAGGCCAGCGACGACGACGATGATGACCTGTCTACGGTTGATTATTCTTCGCCTCCCAGCAAGCACTTCCCACGTCTCGGGGCACCGACCCGCAAGAAAGGATTGCGAACTATGATATCCTCGTAAGTAGCCTTATTCCTTCCTCCACTCATTGTCTTTTTGCACCGTGGTCGTGGAATGGAAGAGACACGTGTGCTGCTGCGCATACTGTTTCAGCTTCCTCTCAGCCACCTCTGGTGATACCACGACAGCCGATGCAACAACACACGATATATCAACGAAGGCGATTGTTTGATTCGCGAGAGAGCAAGAAGTTCTATGATGACCATGGCTAATAAACATTCATTACTTCAGGCCGAACAAGAACAAAACCAAGGCGGTGGCTGGCCAGGCGCCGATGACTAGGAGTGGCGGCATTGAGGGCCCCAGCGCTGACGGTGATTTGGTAGGTCGCACACTCGCGCTCCTAGCACATTTTTCATTCATAGGGCATATCTTCTGGCATGCCCGCAGCCCAACACTCACACCATACCGCTTCTGTCTTTCCCTATTTCCACGCTTTTGTCCCTGTACTGCAAGTCCATCCTCACGTCGCTTTTGTATCGTCCTCCACTGCTACTTTTCCATCTTCCTTTAGCCCATGCCATGCTTTTCCAAGCTTCATTTGCTTTGCCATCGCTGCAAACACTCCTGCGCTGCAACCAAGACGTCGCGTATGCTAATTCATGATGAACAGTCTGATGACGAGGAGGTATGTGCTGCTTGCGGAGGAATTGGTCTCCTGATTTCTTGCGACAAATGCACTGAGTGGTTTCACTTCACGTGCGCCGAGCCACCTGTTGAGGAAAAGGATCTGGAAGGAGACGAAAACTGGTGGTGTTCACATTGTGTTATGTACGAAGTCCGGCCACCAGGTGCTGATGAGCCCCGAGAAGGCCTCTTCGCGAGGCTCATAGACCAGATGGAGTGGAGCAAGCCTATGACGTTCTCTCTTCCAGAACGTATTCGCGAATTCTTCGAAGATGTCAAAACTGGGCCCGATGGGGAATATGAGGAAGAAGGCGTGTGGATACGAGCGTAAGTCTTACCAGGGACAACAGTTTGTCCAAGCTGACCAGTACACAGCAAAAATCGCCATGGTTATATCGAGTCTGAGGACTTGACCAAGTTGAAAGACAAAAGTGGCGTCATCTTGTGCGCTCAGTGCGGCAAATCATCTCTTGACGGTCGTCCGATGCTGCAGTGTCAGGTCTGCCAAGAGCACTGGCACATGGATTGCTGTGATCCTCCGTTGGCGGTACCGCCCTCGGTAAATCACGAATGGACCAAGCGACAAGCTTTCAAATGCCCTCGCCATGTCAACCGTGATCTCAAGGCCATTGAGCCGAAGTCAGAACACGTGATTGATCCCGACAGTATCCCAATCAATGGGCGACGGACGCACCGCCTCCGAAAACCCAAGAATCCAGTTTATGTCGATCCTGCCCTTCGACGTGGCTATCGCAACAACGGTGTCATCGAGGTCGTCGACGACTCGAGCGACGATAGTGAATTTTACGACGAGCCTAGTGGAGAGGAGGAGGGTCAAGTCCTCAGGCTACCCGTATATGGGATCAAGCTTGACTTTATCCACGCCGCGAAATTGTAGAGTACAGTCTCATGAAGAGACGTTCCATGGCTGACACTTTGATAGATCCCGCGAGAAACGGCAGAAACTGATGCAGCCTCCCACAATAACAACAACACCTAGCGCTCGTCCACCACACACTACTTTCACAACACCTTTCGCGGGTCATACTATGGTAGAGCAGCAAACCGCCTTGAACCTAATCCAGCTTGCCCAGAAAGAAGACGCTGCCGGTCTTACTAGCGTTGACGTCGATTCACTCATTATGGCCTTGCTTGCTGAGGCGCCGGAGCAGGTCGTTGCGCAATTGACACGTGCACAGTCCAATCTTACCAATGGTACAGCTAGTGCCTTCGATAAACTTACGTTCCTTACCAGACTCGAAGAGGTCATCAAGCAAGCAAAGGAACAGCTATCCGCCCAGGTGAAATCTGTCGTCTAAGCGACGACAACCAAACGTTGTCTCTTGTCAGCAGACTGCCACTATCTTAGGATCCGACGCCTTGATATCAATAATGTGGCTCGTGTTGTCAGGCCAGAGAACACACCTATTTCACACACCCCTTCTGTTTTACTTTATACCACCACCTACCTACGGAGCAACAAACCGACTATAGCATTAACCTTTCCTTTGTTACGGCGCATAGACCTTCAGGATGCCAGTGTCCACTCCTGTCTCTACCACTCCCTACAGATGACAGGGAGAGACTGGACAACTGGTGAGCATTTTTTGGCGTTATGCAGGCTTGGTATAGTCCCCGTGCTTGCTCTCGGCTGGCGATAAAAGCTTCTTGGGGTCAGGGGATGAGAAGAGGGAGCAGAGATTGGATCCACAATAGCGGCGGAGGGACTTTAGGGTTGCAGATTATATATTGCGCCATACGAGAGGAGGGAAGCATCTCTTTTCCAGGTTGTCCTTCTATGTATTTTATACGAAGCGCTACCCCGAAAGCTACGGCATCATGCTGTCGCACTTGCATGACACTAGGTCATATGATTGAAGACAATCGTAAGTGCTCAACCTGCATAGCATTCATCTTCATGGCTCTCATTATCGTGAAAATGGCATTTTCGAGACTTGACGCGGGTCTGTTGCTCCGACATACCCACAAGGCACTGCGGCGCTAACCGTTTCAATGGGTACGCCACGCGATGACCAACCGTCTAGCAAACAAACCCGCTTGTACCGCAGATTTCCGGGGTCTGCTCTCATCAGCATCTTCTCACAAGTCTTTCTAGCCGCCACCACCATCAATTGTACCCAGTGCTGTGCGCTACAGCTTCCCATTCCGCCATCAAAACCTCACTACACATCATGCTTTCGCGCGCGCTCCCCAGAGCTACCACAAGGCAGCTTTCGAGACCTGTCAACAGCTCTGTCTCCCGCCCAACATTCTACACTGCTGAGAGAGCGCGGAGGTGGTACGCCACGGAAGCTGGTACGCTCTTCTGCGATTGCTATAGCCATATGGCTCATCACTGACGTCTGTACAGAGGAGAAAGACCTCGTCATCATCGGCGGAGGTGTCGCTGGATACGTTGCGGCAATTAAGGCTGGCCAAGCAGGTCTTTCAGTAAGATCACCTCTCACCCCTCGTACGTTGACGCGAACTAATACACAATTATAGGTCTCATGTATAGAGAAACGCGGGTCCCTCGGCGGCACATGTCTCAACGTCGGCTGCATTCCTTCAAAGTCTCTCCTCAACAATTCGCATCTCTACCACCAAATCCTACACGACACTAAAAACCGTGGTATCGAGGTTGGCGATGTGAAGCTCAATCTGACGCAGATGATGAAGGCCAAGGAGACGTCTGTGAGTGGTTTGACCAAGGGTATCGAGTTCCTCTTCAAGAAGAACAACGTGGAGTACATCAAGGGAACCGGGGCATTCGCCGATGAACATACCGTTAAGGTTAACTTGACGGAAGGTGGCGAGACGTCAGTTAGGGGCAAGAATATCCTTATCGCGACGGGCAGTGAGGCTACGCCATTCCCAGGCTTGACGATAGATGAGGAGAAGGTCATTACAAGTACCGGTGCAATTGCGTTGAAGGAGGTGCCTAAGAAGATGACCGTTATTGGCGGTGGTATTATTGGTCTGGAAATGGTAGGATATCGGTCATTTCTTCTACGACAGACTCTAATACCTCACAGGCTTCCGTATGGTCGCGGCTCGGCTCTGAAGTTACCGTTGTTGAGTACCTAGGTCAGATCGGCGGTCCTGGCATGGACGCTGAAATCGCGAAGATGTCACAAAAGATTCTCACAAAGCAGGGCATCAAGTTTAAGCTGAACACCAAGGTCACTAGTGGCGACGCTGGTAGTGATGGTGTCAAGATTAGCACTGAAGCTGCGAAAGGAGGCAAGGAGGAGACAGTACGTTGGTCTATAAAACATGCATTCAAATACCACTAACACGTTCCCAGCTCGACGCTGACGTTGTTCTCGTTGCCATCGGCCGCCGCCCCTACACCGCCGGCCTCGGCATCGAAAACATTGGCATCGAAACCGATGACAAGGGCCGCCTCGTTATTGACCAAGAGTTCCGCACAAAAGTCCCGCACATCCGTGTCATTGGAGACTGCACCTTTGGACCCATGCTTGCGCACAAAGCCGAGGAAGAAGCCGTTGCTGCCATCGAGTTCATTACCAAAAACTACGGCCACGTTAACTACAACGCGATTCCCTCGGTCATGTACACGCACCCTGAAGTCGCCTGGGTTGGGCAGAACGAGCAGGAGCTGAAGGCGCAAGGCATTAAGTACAACGTCGGCAGCTTCCCGTTCAGTGCCAACTCGCGCGCCAAGACGAATCTGGATACGGAAGGTCTAGTCAAGTTTCTAGCTGATAAAGAGACGGACCGCATCCTTGGTATTCACATTGTGGGACCGAATGCAGGCGAGATGATTGCGGAGGGTGTGTTGGCGTTGGAATATGGCGCAAGCTGTGAAGATGTTGCGAGGACAAGCCATGCGCATCCGACGCTGGCCGAGGCTTTCAAGGAGGCAGCTATGGCAACGTATGGGAAAGCTATTCACTACTGAAATTGTGGACCGGGTAAAGCGAGGAGACGAAGGGGGCTCAGATGTCGTTTCTTGTATTATATGATGGATTAGCAAGAGCGAGAGGACTGCATAGACTTGATTTAGCTTTCGACTTTTGTGTGTCTCTTCAAGGTTGCTATTCTGCGTTCTGCTGTGTGGCCATTCATCTCTTCTGTCGGATGTTACCTTGCTGACTAGGAATAGGTCGTACGTCAAACTATCTCTGTACAGCTATCAATTGAAGGCTTTGCTATGCTTGGTGACGGACCAGGTGACTCGCGCGTCTGTCATGATACTAATGGCGTGGCACTAGAGGAAGTCTGCTTCCCAACAAACTACCTAGGCAGTGGTCACTCCAATGATCCGGAGAAGCTTTTGGTTTCTTCCAATGTGGTCGGTTACGACAATCGGATAGGTAGGTGATTACACAGCGGTGTCAGACCTATGTCAACCTTCTCGTACCATGTCGATGACAGTATCTGAAAATGACTTCGTGGCTGACCTGGACCTATGCGTAGTTGTCTTTCGGTCTTTATGTTCCATGTGTCCTCCTGCCAATCATGACTCGAGGCCAGATGATTTGTCGAGTGCGATTTGTTCGAATCGAAGTATGGGAAATGATATGTGCAATTACAGCACTTTATGGGATGATGGATCACATTGGCCATGGGGCGAGTTGGCAGGGTTAGTAGAGGAGGAAGCAGTGAAGCCTGAAGGTGTGGTTGCACAAGGTCTGATTGTCCAGTCGGGCAGGAATTACACACTGTAGTTCTGGCGAACTATATGCGCCATGACAGGAGGGGTTTGTTGGTTGTCAGCTTCCTAGACCGTGGCAAAGGCTTTGATAATTTCCAGATATTGGATCCAAGTCAATTCTGGCACTGGATCTATCCTGCGCAGTGCTGCAAATACAACAACGGCATTAACATCTCGCCATGTATGTGGAAGACTGCCAGATATGTGGATAACCTTACAGAGCAAGATTGTGTGCCTATCGATACAGGCATCGCGCGGGTACTGCATACATCGAAATATATTGGCTTTCGACGTTCATTAGGTGAAATTCGGCACATAAGGAGCCTGCTGTCCCATTACCTCTCGCAGAGTCGAAGTCCTGTATATCGTATACGTTACTACCGCTCCGTTCATGGTAAAATGGAGGAAATGTCTAATAAGCAGGGACTCATGCTATTATTGATGGCACCCTTCGCGATTCGACTTATCTTCGCAGGTGGTGCCTTCTATGTGGAGCGCGTTTGAACGTTTGTGGATGCTGAAATATGCTTAATTACTGATTACAGTGCTCTATTCGCTACGATTTGGTCGTATAGGGTTTTTCAATTGATTACGGGCGCAATTTCTCTCTTGCTTGGGCGTAGAACCAAAGACTCCTACATCTAGGCCGCGGACTACAAATGAAAACTGTGCAGCTGGAATCAATCAAGGACAACTGGGTACCTGGGCAACAGTGATGAGAATATTGCTCTCAAGAGTTTTGTGACAACTATGCCAGGGGTGTCCAATGTGTATATAATTGTGATGACCATCGTTGAGATGGGGAGCAGCAGTGGGGTTCACTTTCAAAGCGCTTTGGTGGGTCGCGCTAGGCAAAAACAGGGAGATTTCTTACCCACAAGCTTTCCATATAACTCGGTTTTCTCGCACAAGGAGATATGCCATTGATCGACTTGGGACCTGGATCAGAATGGTCTCTATTGCCTCGATTTCCTCATTGGTGCTGGACTTCCCGCCGTGCTGTGTTGAGTTTTGGCCAGGATCGAAGGACTGGGCGGTTGTTGGAACGTATCTATTGGAGAAGAGCGAAGACGAAAACTGCAAAGGAGAGGAAATAGCAGAGCATAGTAAGAAGACACAAGAGAGGAATGGAAGTCTGGTGCTGTTGAGTGTGGAGGCAGAATCGGTGTGAGTTTTGCTTCGTTCTTCGCATTGCAAGTCTGCCTCTGCGAAGCTTCTCAGTTCTGCCTAAAGCCTGTCTCTACCCCTGAGTTTCGCCCCTATACTTACAACGTCTAACAAATCTCCCAGTACGGTGCTTCAAACTCTTCCTACGCCATTCGCAATCCTGGATATTCACTTCGACCCATTCAACAGCTCCATCCTCGTCGCCGCGACATCAACCGGCTCTGTCGCTCTTTACACTCTAAATCCACAATCCCTAGACCAAGGGTACATCACACACTCTCGTACAATTCAATTCTTCCCTCTATCATCCCTGATCACCTCTTTTGTCTTCCACCCGAGCGCTCCATCTGTTCTTGCATGCACATTGAGCACAAACGCCACCTATCTCTTGCATATCCCTAGACCGGACACACCGGTATGCAGCGAAACTGTACAGGTCCTTACCCACGATCTCGAAGCATGGATCACGGCATTCGCACCTGACGGAAGCGGACTGTTTTCTGGCGCAGATGACGCAGCGCTGCGATATGTCTCACTGCCCCAATTTGACAACACGGGCGTTGAGCAATCGATTTCCAGTGTGCTGCAGCAAGGTGCGGATACGAGAGTGGATTGGGCGGAGAGAAAGATCCATGGCGCGGGTGTGACGGCTGTGCTGCCGCTGACTAGCAGTGGGAAAGTGTGTATAACAGGCAGCTATGATGATTACCTACGCGTCGTGTATGTGCCGAAGGTAGGACGGCGAAGGGTATTGGCAGAGGAGAATTTGGGTGGGGGTGTCTGGCGGGTGAAAACTTTGGGCAAGTGGAGGAGTGAGAAGGGCTTTGAAATGGATCTCCTCGTATGTTGTATGTATGCTGGTGTAAGACTGATTAGGTTGCGGAGGATCGGAGGTGAAGGATTTGATGCGGAGGGTGATCAGGACGGGAAATGGGAGCTTGAAGTGATTGGGAGATTCGAAGAGCACAAAAGTATGAACTATGGGTGCGATGTTGTGCGAGGAAAGGGCCTAGTTGTGTCGACGAGCTTCTATGATCGATTGGTATGCTTGTGGCGATTACCGAAGGACACTATATCGAACCATATCTTCGAGTAGTAGTGTATATGTGTAGAGACATCGAATAAAAGGCAGTCAACGGAGTACCTCCACCATCCTCATCATACTTCTGTATATTATATGTCCCAGTTCTTGTTGCGTGCCGTAGGGAGTTCAAAAGACACAATCCCTTGTCATCTTCAAAATTGTCACACACGTAGCAGCCTGCCACTACATACAACTCTGCCCGTCTGATCTGCGACTCTTCCACGATGTGACTGGACCAGACACTTATTATGCGACGTCTGCTTGTGTTGGGTGACAGACAGACATGAACATAGATGAGACGTTATCTGTCCTTGTAGTCTAGGTGCTGAAAATGCTTAGCAGAGTGTCCTACCTATTGACTGATACTCTTGTTATCGAGTAGACATACTAGGTTATCTAGTCACATAAGAAGTTTTTAAGAGCCATGTAAGTCTTATGTTAAGTATTAAATTCGAGAGATTCAGCCATACGATATAGAAATAGTTCAGATATGTTAATAAGATATCTCAAAACCGTGATTGGGCGCTTAACTGTCCATGTAAAAAAGGTGGACAACCAGGCATGCTCGTGTAAAATACCGTGCGTTGATGACCGCAGATAACATATGTATTTGGCAGCTGGAGCGCACACATTGATACCGTGAGAGCCGGGCACGATCATTTGCACCAAAAGGAATGGCAAGTGTGGTATGATCTCTCATACTTGTGGGTTTTGAAAGTGAGCGTATCATTGTAATATCAGCTTGTCAGGGTTGAGGAGAGCTGTCTTGCCTATTTATGATTCGCCGGAGATATATTCGGACTCTGATCAAAATGAATGCCTAGGAGATATCGTGACATTAAAGTATGGTCCTAACAAGGTAATAAGTACATTGAGAGCAATGCAATGAGCCAGACACGGGAAGGGATACATTAACTGCGGCTAAGTGTACGAATTGTGAAGGATTAGTGGCAGTGAGGTTGCATAACTTAAGTACTGAGACTGGTTGAGGGAAAGCAGAGGAAGTTCTGCTTAGACTTTGGATTGCAAGTAAAACCTTTTGTACCGTCCATAATCATTATCTGTGATATCGTGACATATCATATGTCTGCCTATAACCCAAGTCTTGACTGTTAATGATGATACAGCCTCCCAATATTGCACCCAACTACAGTGGCATATAATTGCTCGAGACGCCCATGTGGTACCAAGTTGTAGGATGATACCTCGATCCTTGTAACGGCACCAGAGCCACAAGCCTAGTTGTAACGCCAGGATATTCCGGAACTTTTGGCAGTACCCGTTTGAGAATCTCGCCTCCATTACTCGATCACCTTGAGAGGATCTACTGTAGTCTAGAGCTGTTGCGGGCTTGTCGTTGAGACAAAGGCTACATTCATGTGTGGTAACATCGAGCCGACTGAGGATTAAGCAGTCAAGCTGATATAGTTGAGTGAATGTATGGAGATCATGACCGCATTCTGCGCGTTGAATCACTTTCACACTAAGCTGTGCCGAAGAAAAGCCGTCCGAGCCCACGCTCGAGCCCCAATACTTGAACACCTGTACGTAGTAGGTAGCTCCAGCATCATCTGGATATCAGTCGCGTTGAGGACAAGTGGATGCTCCCAGGCAACCGCTTTTGACATTATAGCATTCCTACGCCTCGTGTTCCTCTCAATTCCCTCCCATCCTTGCGATCGTCAACTTCTGCTCTGCTTTACGATCAACCTCAGCATCTAGCGCCGTTTCCCACGCACAACATCCTCCCTTGTCGACAAGTCACCATCCTTCAACCCTCAACTTCTTATAATCTAAGATATGGAGTTCAATCAGCAGGGTGCCGCATTGCCCCCGAAGAAGAAGAGAGGATACGCACAGCAAGCCTACGAGTTTGGTGGAAATGCTGTTGGCGCAGCTCCACCACCTCCTCCAGGTCCAGCAGGCTCAGCGGGCTATCAAGGACTTGATGCGCAGCCCGGCTTCCAGCAAGGATTTCAACAAGGCTATAATGCACCGGATCAACTGTCGTCGCAGTTTGGTCAGATGGGCCTTGGGCCTGGGCAACCTGCTCCAGGAATGACTGCTCCAGGAATGCCACAACCCCCACCGCCCGCGCATCAGCAACAGCAAGCTCCGCAACAGTCTGCATACCTGAACCAACTACAACCTAGTGACCTCCTAGGGCAACCTCTAAATGTTTTTGAATTGGAGCAACCGCCTCCTGCAATCAACCTACCGCCCAATGTGCGTGAAATGTGAAATCGGATTCTGGACAATATGCTAACGAACCTAGACAAGCGTTACCCCATCGCCACACGCAAATTGCCCTCCAAAGTATATTCGATCGACTTTGAACACCGTGCCGACCACACATTCCCTCCTAAAAAAGTCGAAGCTACCCTTTGCGCTTGTGGTGCAACCTTACAGCTCTCTACATGATATTGAGGATCCCGTGCCCGTTGTTTCTGACCAAGTTATCTCGCGTTGTAGGCGTTGTCGATCGTACATCAACACCTTTGTTACATTCCTGGACCATGGCCACAGGTGGCGCTGCAATATGTGCAACCTTACCAATGACGTTCCACAAGCCTTTGACTGGGACACGACGAACAACAAGAGCGTGGACCGATGGCACCGAGCAGAACTGAATTACTCGGTAGTTGAGTTTATTGCTCCTTCTGAGTATATGGTCCGGCCTCCACAGCCTCTAGTCTACTTGTTCCTTTTAGATGTCAGCTATGCCTCAGTCACGAATGGATTGTTAGCGACGGCTGCCAGGTGTATATTAGAAAGCTTGGACCGGATACCCAACGCTGACCGTCGAACACGTCTAGGTTTCATCGCTGTGGACTCAGCTTTGCACTACTTTTCCATACAACGCGATATCCCAGTGGAAGAGGGGGCAGAACCCCAAATTATTGAACCTAGCATGCTGGTAGTCAGCGACCTAGAAGAGCCTTTCTTACCCACGCCGGAGGACCTTCTCGTAAATCTTTCAGAAAGCCGAAGAAATGTTGAGAACTTCCTGGAGAAGCTCCAATCCATGTTCCAGGATACCCAAAATGGCGCCTCTGCGATGGGCGCTGCCTTGCGCGCTGGCCATAAATTGATATCCCCAGTTGGAGGGAAGATATCGGTGCTCACCTCTATGCTGCCAAATCTAGGTTTCGGTAAGCTCGAAATGAGAGAAGACAAGAAACTGCTTGGTACAAGTAATGAGGGCAAACTTCTCCAGACTGGTAACAGCTTCTATAAGAGTTTCGCCGTCGAGTGTTCGAAGAACCAGGTTTCGATTGACATGTTCTTATTCTCATCACAATACCAGGATGTAGCAAGTTTGAGCAACCTACCGAGATATACTGGAGGTCAGACGTACTTCTATCCTGGATGGAACGCTGCGAGGAGCGAAGATGCCATCAAATTTGCCCGCGAATTCAGCGACTACCTCTCATCAGAAGTTGGTCTCGAGGCTGTGTTGCGAGTACGTGCGACCACCGGGCTGCGGATGAGTTCTTTCTACGGGAACTTCTTTAATCGCAGCTCAGACCTGTGTGCATTCCCCGCGTTCCCAAGAGATCAAAGCTACGTTATCGAGGTTGCAATCGACGAGACTGTTACGAAGCCGTTTGTCTGTATGCAAGCCGCAGTGCTTCACACGACCTGCAATGGAGAACGACGCATCCGTGTTCTGACCCTTGCTCTACCAACAACAGAGTCGCTATCTCACGTGTATGCCTCCGCAGATCAGCAGGCAATTACAGAGTTCTACAGCCACAAAGCCGTAGAACGAGCACTTGGCAGCGGTCTTGATGCCGCACGAGATGCACTTCAGGCAAAGATAATTGAAATCCTGCAAACGTATAGGAAAGAGCTGGCAGGGGGTAATATGGGCGGAGGTGGATTGCAACTGCCTTACAATCTGAGAGGGCTTCCAGTGTTGTTCCTTGGTCTCATGAAGAACGTAAGCGCAGAGTCACAATGTGAAGTTCGTCTGTTTTTACTGATCCGTTTTAGGTTGGCCTTCGAAAATCAGCACAGATTCCGTCGGACCTCCGTGCTGCGGCCCTCTGCCTCCTTTCCACGTTGCCTCTGCCGTTGATGATGCAGTACATCTACCCCAAATTATACTCATTTCATGATCTTCCTGATAGCGCCGGACATCCAGACCCTCAAACTGGAGAGATCATCCTCCCGCCACCGTGCAATCTGTCGTCGGAACGCATTGTACCATATGGGCTATATCTGATCGATGATGGTGTCAATCAATTCCTGTGGGTTGGCCGTGATGCAGTGCCTGCGCTACTGTTGGACGTATTCGGGATCGAGGACAAGAACGGTATCAAACAGGGCAAGTCGACGATGCCAGTAGTCGACAACGAGATGAACGAACGCGTGAGAGCCATCATTGAGAAGAGCCGAGACCACCGGGCGAAAGGTGTTGGAAGCATTACAGTGCCATCACTATATGTGATTCGTGAAGATGGTGATCCGAGTCTTAAGCTTTGGGCACAAACACTGCTGGTAGAGGACCGGGCAGATCAAGGGGTCAGTTTAGCACAGTGGATGGGAATGTTGCGTGAAAAGGTTAGTGAAGAAGAAGTCCCTGTACCGTTGATTCTATCAACGTGGCCAGACTAGGGCGTAGAGTCACGTTTTCCAGAAAGCTGATACAGTGCACAGGTTGTCCAGTAAGGAGTTCAAAGAGGATGGCAGATAGGGGTGATTTTGGGGAGATAGAGAAGGGCCGTGTTGTGGTGTAGTAGATAAATATGAGGACGGCCCAATGAAAAGAGAGAAGAGAGAGCAATTATCGATAATATTATTGTATATGGAGCACTCGCACGACTGTCTGACATACTTACAGACAGGCGGAAGAAGAAGAAGAAGCAACAACGACGACCTGCAGGGCTAGTGGACCAGGTACAGACAGGGCTTTTAGCGAGCGCACGCAACCAGTAACCTCCGGGTCGGGCACTGTATTACAGTAGTGTGTAGCGCACAGTTGCACCAACACTCCGGCATGGAGACGGGCTATTGGCTATATATCGTTTACTAGACTGTTGGCGCGCATCCAGCCGGACAATAACAGTATGCGTGCATGCATACATGCCATGTAGAAAGTGAAGAAGATGATATGATATCGAGCATGACAAGGGAGCGAGAGAGACATTCAAGTTCCGGCGGCAAAGTCGGAAGCACGGCGTACGGTGTGTGTATGGTAATTATGTACCTTATGGATGGTTGGTATTGATTACTAGTCAGGTACGTATCTACAGTCATTGGAAGCGCACGCGCAGTCGGGAAAAGACGTAATTAGGACAATTCTAACCTTACTACCTTTACTGTCAGTTCCTTGCAGCGGACAGCTTGGTCACGATGCGAGTAAGCAGGGCAGCCTGGCCAATCATGGCCTGGCCCGCCGTGCTCACCGCCTGTGGGCGTTTTTGTTGGTCAGGGGCCGGGGCCCAAAGAATGGACTGGAGACTGAGGTGGAGACTGGACTGTAGACCTAGTAATTACTGACGCCCTGCCTGGAGCGATGGTGACGTTGGTTGAAGGGTACTGGTAAAGATTAATTCGAGTAGCTTTCCTCATAACTCATAACTATGAACAAGTCTGATGGCCTTGCTGGCCTGTGATTATTGCAACGTGCTACCTGTCTGTTACCTGTCTGTTACCTGTCTGTTACTTGTGTGTGGGCTGAGTTGTGGTGTGTGGACTAAAGTGGGTGTGGACTGACTGTGGGGCTGAGGGCTGCTGGGGCTGGGGGGAAAGTAAGGGTCGGCGCACTCTATTACCCAGGTATCTGAGCCCCGGTATCCCAGGTATCCCAGGTACCGGAGCCAGGTATTACTTGGAACATACTGTAATTACACCACTTCCCGTCGCTGGCGGGGTCAAGATTTTTTATCGATAGCAGCAGCTGGTGGGGCGCCCGCAGCCCGTCAACATGTAGCGCAGCCTGCTCCCAGAGTCCAGGCGAAGGGGGTTGGACGTATGGATGGATGGATGGATGGATGGATGAATGGACGGAACCTCAAGGCTCACCTCTCCAACTTCATGCTCGTATGTTGGGCATGGCGCGTCGTCGTCGCTCGTTGTTAGTCGCTTGTCGTGGCTTGTGGCTCACCGCCTTGTCATCATCGACTTCTACCTCTGCGGCCGACTCGCAACACCATCGATCATTCATGACCACAGCCATATCCCGTTCTTATATATATATATATATATATGTATGTAAAAACATGGCCAACGGATCAGCCGCGTGACAGATCTAAACCAGTACAGTGCGACTTGCGGCCCGGAGAGGGGGTGCAGTAAGCATGAATGGAAGTCTTTGACGAAACGAGGCTACGGCTAATACGTCCTACACCTGGTTCCAATTCAGTCCACGTGCATGGTTTGGATGTATGTAGAGGCAGGCCAGGCCACAGAAGCAAACAACAGCCGTCCTTGCTAAGTAGTTGGCCCGTTCACCAGGCACAGGTACAGTTACAGGCACACACTCCGACCAGCAGAGTATTTCAACCTTACGCGTTGACCCGGAGTGGGCTATACTTCCGCTGTGCGTGTGTGCGACTGCGACTATGACTGCGACTGCGACTGCGACTGGACGTTGAAGTGCTGCCATTCATTCCGCGCTGGAAGGCTATCGCGTGCCGTTCTAGGATCCCAGAACAGACAAGGCACACACACACACCCACTCCGGCATATTCAGCGCGTCTTTGCCGCCTCGTTGCCGCCTCGCATTACTGTCCGAGTGTCGTCACACGAGGCAGCGATAGGGCGACGTGTGAAGCATGCATTCGTAATCGTCTGCTGATGAGGCAAACTGAGGTAATCTCATCAACAGGAGTCGTCTCAGGTAGGGTGAGAGCGTCTCCGGACTGTATTCCCGTCGGCCGGAATGATCATAAGGTATGTAGGCATTGATTATTGACGACGGTAACAATTGAAGGGTGTGTACTAGTAGGAGTAGACGACATGCGGGTATCTAAAATTATCCTTACTGCCTACCTTATGATTATTACAGTGCTACTACTGTACCATAGACTATAATATCATCCATCTGACTTTATCAATCTATTAGCTTTCTACATTCTGCTGCCTAGCTATTCGTTCTACCTCCTGCCTAGGCCTAGAATGCTCTCCAGGGACATGGGGTAAAGAGTTATCCTCCTGCCCTATATACATTTTAATGCTCTACTACAATAATATGATCTATCAGTTCGGACATATAATCAATCGTAGGACTCACTGTATGAGGGATCCATCGTATGCAGGACACTATTCAGAACGCGCATAACACTCCGAATCTGCAGGTGTATAGAGCCGGCGTGCAGCACGTACCTTTTCTTGGGGCGCCATCGGCCTTACGATCGCTGTGGCGGGGGTGCTTATCGTCCATTCATCACCCACCCTAGCACCCTTCCAAGGTTCCTCTAGAGGCTTTAGTGGCCGTGGGCCCTCGAATAGCCTCATCCATTTCCATCCTCATCCTCATTCTCATCATATACTACCACTCCTACTCCTACTACTCATTCATACTACAGTCTCTTCTTCTTCTTCTCCTCTTCCTTTTGCGCGCCCGTTCCTTGTTCCTAGATTCCACTCTTCCGCACATTCTTGTCTCGCTATCCCGCCCTGCCCTCTGTCCCATCCCAAAACTACCAGGTCCATCCCATCCGCCCGTCGCTCATGTTTCGCCAGCCACCTCTCCCCGCCTTCAACTACGCCGTCTCAGCCTCGCCCCTTCTCTCGACCTTCACTCGTCCATGTCCGACAACATCATAACAATTACTTCCGACTGCTCTGCTACATACTCCTATCCACCGGCCGCTCGCGGCTTCCTCAACACCCCCGAACACTGAACTTATACACCTTTCCCGCTTGGATCCGCTTTCTCTGTTTAAAGAGGGTGGTACCCAACCAGACTGTCCAACTATAGACGACCGCTCACGCCCTTCTACTACGGAGACATAGGCCACCATGTCTACATTCCAGGCCGTTAATACCACAACACATACGGTGCCCAAATCTCCGCTTCATATTGCTGCCGGAGAAACCACTCCGACTACCCCTCGTCCTGGTCACTTCTTTCCAAAGGAGAGGCCTGTTTCGGAGATGACACCTGATGAATCGACTGTCAAGACACCGACTCGCGATAGCTTTGGTGGTTTGGCTAGCCAACGCCCACTGCCTACAGAACCACTTGTCGCTCAGAAAGATCGTTCCATGAGTCCAAGTAAAGGAAGAGTCGAGCCGAAACGCACAAACTCACACCAATCTGCAAAGTCTGCGCAGTCTGAAGATATTGAGATGGGTGGCGAGGATGAGGACGGGGTGTCAGATGATGAAAGCGACCCTAGTGATGGAAACAAGGCATCGCGAAAGAAGAAGAGCCAGAAGTTCTACTGTAAAGACTTCCCTCCGTGTCAGCTCAGTTTCACCAGGAGTGAGCACCTCGCTCGACACATCCGGTAATCACCTTTCTTGCAAGCATGTCTTGACACATTACTAACAGCGCTCAGAAAACATACTGGGGAGCGACCGTTCCAATGTCATTGTTCGAGACGATTTTCACGGCTTGACAACCTACGACAGCATGCACAAACCGTACACGTCAACGAAGATATCCCGAACGACTCTCTCGCTGCCACTGGTACACGCTTTCAACGTCAAGTTAGGACTGATCGAGTGAGACCTGCTCATAATCGCTCGCGCGCGTCCACCATGGGGAGTCAAGGGGGTCACAGCCGGGGACACATCAGGAACCTCTCAACTTCGAGTATCGCATCGACTGCTTCTAGCATAAGTACGATAAGTAACCGCGATGACTCTTTTGGACGAAGAAGACCTCCGCCGTTGGCCATGGCAAATGATGCGACAGCGAGAGCGAGACTTTCTTTGGACACGTTTAACCCACCTCTTATGGGCAGCCCAGGTCCGACGTTCCAGACCTATGGCAACCAGTCTCCCAGTACGATGGGAACGCCTAGTTCGGCCACATATTCGAATGAGAGTCCAAGATTCTCGTCGAGTGCTGCTTCACCTGCTGTGACGAATGCAAGACCTCTGACGTGGGCTGGCACTCCTCCGAGTCACCATGCCAGGCGCCTTTCTGTTCCGACCGGTGTGAATCCATTCCAGGGACCACCAGCGGGGAGTCAATATCCACCTCCCTACATTAGTCCTTTGCCATCTTCTACGTCATCGTCATTCATACACACTTCCAGCCAGGTTACAAGCCCTACGAGCTCGGTCTTCTCAGACCGTAGAGATTCAAATGCAAGCGAACAAGACTGGAGAAGACGTACTTGGCACCCAAGTACAATGAATCAAGCCCAAACCAGACCTGGCACTAGTGGCCTGAGCTATTCTCAAACACCAGAGGCTTCTCAATCGTCTGGACCTATCCAGCCTGGTGGTGCCGTTCAGACCACAAGGCTGCCTGGCATTGAGAGCTTCGACCACGCACCGCCTTCATTGATACCGCGTCGCCAACCCAGTCCAATGGAAGTCGATGCACCAGGTCGCAGTCTCGCGCCCCCCTTCGATCCATCGAGGCGCCGTCCAGAGGAACGTCGGAATCACCATTCCGTCGATCTTTCAATACAACGAGGCATCCGTGGTCTGAATATAGCAAATGCACCTACATCTCATGGCTGGCATGAGTCTAATTCTTACCCGAGACCAGCTGCTGGACCAAGACCGACGACTGCTCCTCATTCCGGCTTCGTTCCACATCCTATCCATGCCGCGCCTCCTCCTCCAATGCCTCCTCATAACACCTATCGAGAACCAGAATCAAGACCAGGTGACCCTCCGGCGACTCCTAAACGGCTGAAGCGTCAAGGCTGGTACAACGGACCCATACCATCTCAAGCACCCCCACCAGCATATCTTCCACAGCGCCCCTCTCCAGAAGGCTCAAGTAGTAGTGAAGGTGTTCCTACTCCTTCTACAACTACCCTCGCTGAGTATCACCCGGCGATTGTTCATAGTAGCGGGTACATTGAGTCTTACCCCCAAGCAGCCCACCTGGAGGATCAGAGGAAAAGCATGCATTCTTACGGCTCAGATCGGCCTACTCTAGCCCCCGCATTCAATCACCCACCCACTGCACATTCTACACCGCTTCCATCACGATCTGAGGCACCTCCAATGCAGACTGGCTTGGGAATGGCACAGCCCGACCAGCATCCGTCCACCGACTTGCGCCGACTGGAGGCTCTAGTGGCAGTCGCTACTGGGGACCAATCCACTACAGCCATCAAGAGGCAGCATTGACTGACTAGACCTTGCGATACATTATATGCCTCAACCTGACCGATCGCTCACTTTCCTCCACCAAATATCAAATGCTAACGATCATTTCTGTATACGGATGAGATGCCTGTGACGAATTTACGAATTATTCAGATCTGAAACGAATTTCCTATCTATGCGGTGGTTCACCATTTTTCATGTTCACAAGCAACAACTTTCAGCATGATACCCAATGAGGACCGATTGGTTTTGTCCGTCGCGGACCGAGCTTTTCCTGAACGGCTCAGGTTCTTTGGGTTCTTGCATTTTCACGCGTTTCTATTTGCATGTTTACGAGTTGGTTCTGTCTTGATCATTTGGGTCACTGGAGTTTTGGACGGTCAATGAATGTGATTAGCATGTCATGTAATGAAGACCGAACGGTCGGCTCTGCTTTCGTTCATTGGCTCAGAGGTTCTTTGGTTTTCTTGTGGACATGAGATGAACGTGTCCTTCACAGCAGGACCGGCTTTACAGCTGGATACAATGCTGCGCACATATAAATGGCTTGAAACAACATCCCCCAAACCACGATCGTCTCGTAGCGCCTCAAACCATACCGACTGTTGAATCTATTCGTTGTGTATACTCGCCTCCTCACACTTGCTTGCCTAACTGCTTACCTACTACAAACCTTATAACCTCCTCTGAATCCCCTTATAGCCTTGACTTGATAGCGCTACCTAGTAATAATACGGTAAATTCCCTATATCGACGTATGGTTATCCAGTGGTGGCGAATTCAGAATGGAGGGCAACATGACAGATTCAGATCTTCTTCGAGATTTCACATTATTGCAGGTGGTATATTGTAATCATTATCTTATCTACCAAATTAAATTTATCAATCTCTTATTGAATTGGATTTACATCTACGCTTCCTATATAGAATTGAGGAAAGTAATAGATTCGTAATCCACTCCACACACAGAAGTGGCAATCTATGAACTCGGATGAGCCATAATCATTGATGTTTCAGCCTCAGGCATCAAAGTTAGCCGGATACTTTCAAAGCTCGGCTCACGGCTGCCGATATCGTCGCATGATAAACCTTGCTAATTGGATTCCGACACATGTTTATCGACACGCTGAATCTGCTATATACTTTAACGATTTTCCGAGCATATGTGGAGCTTTGAGATATCTGTCTCGACGTTGATTAAGCGTCGTCTCGGCACTGGAATCCGTACTTAGCGAAGAGATATCTATTAGTAATTCAGAAAGAGCATGGTGCATCAACTCGATTTTACTTGTTTTTCGATTGCAACAAGGCAATTAATCGCTCTCACCCCAACTTGCACTCTCATCGTTACTGCAAGGAAGATTTTATAGAAGACAATGGGTTCCAAAGAAGGCTCTATGCGGGGTATCCGCATTGCCATTGACGTTCGCCAGACCCCAACCTCATACTCACCAGCATCACTGATATCATTCAGCGCGGCGGCACATTCACAGATTGCGTCGGGAACCCCGGTTCCGGGCGTATGGAGGATGATGTGCTAATAAAACTACTCTCCGAAGACCCGTCCAACTATGACGATGCGCCACTCGAGGGCATTCGGCGCCTCCTCGAGCGCTTCACTGGTCAATCAATCCCGCGCGGCACACCTCTCGACACAACGAAAATCGAAAGTATCCGCATGGGCACCACGGTCGCGACGAATGCTTTGCTAGAACGCAAGGGCGAGGATATCGCACTCGTGGTGACCAAAGGTTTCAAGGACTGTCTGGCAATTGGCAATCAGAGTAGGCCCGATATCTTCGATCTGGCGATCCGCAAGCCGGATGTACTGTATCAGAGGGTTGTCGAGATTGATGAGAGGGTTACTTTGGAGGACTACGCGGAGGACCCGGAGAGGAAGAAGACGGAGGTGAAAGCCCTGGAGGAAGCAGGTGACGATGAGGTGTTGGTGCGGGGGCTGAGTGGGGAGGCGGTGCGAATCTTGAAGAGACCGGAGCGAGGAGAGATCAAGAAACAGCTACAGGACGTATATGACGGGGGACTGAGAAGTATTGCGGTGTGTTTGATGCATGGATATACGTTTCCGCATCATGAGGCATTGATTGGCGAGATCGCCAGGGATATCGGGTTCGAGCATATCAGTCTGAGTCATGAGCTCATGCCGATGATTAAACTTGTGCCACGGGCAACGTCTGCGTGTGCGGACGCGTATTTGACGCCGGCGATCAAAAAATATATCAACGGCTTCTCGAAGGGGTTTGAGGGAGGTCTAGGATCGAAGAGTGTGAAGGAAGAAAAGGGGGATAAGGGGACGAGGTGTGAATTTATGCAGTCTGACGGTGGACTGGTGGATGTTGATATCTTCTCTGGATTGAGAGCTATCCTGAGTGGGCCTGCTGGGGGCGTTGTTGGGTATGCTCTCACGTCATATGACCCGGAGACAAAGACGCCAGTCATAGGGTTTGATATGGGTGGAACGAGTACCGATGTGAGCAGATATGGCGCGGGAAAGTATGACCATGTCTTCGAGACGACGACAGCAGGTGTTACTATACAATCACCGCAATTGGATATCAACACTGTCGCTGCTGGAGGAGGCTCACGTCTATTCTGGAAAAATGGCTTGTTCGTGGTCGGTCCCGAATCAGCCAGTGCTCATCCAGGTCCAGCCTGCTATCGGAAAGGTGGTCCTCTCACAATTACCGATGCCAACTTATTCCTGGGAAGACTTCTTCCGGATTTTTTCCCCAAGATTTTTGGAAAGAACGAGGACGAAGGGCTTGACCCAGAAGCCAGTGTGAAGCTCTTCGAAGAACTTGCCGAGCAAATCAATAAAGAAAATGCTGGTGGTAACAAAGACAAGGAGATGACTATGGATGAAATCGCGTATGGTTTCATCAAGATCGCAAACGAGACCATGACTCGGCCTATTAGATCTCTGACAGAAGCTCGGGGGCATGATACATCGAGACACAGACTTGCTACATTCGGAGGTGCTGGAGGCCAACATGCCGTGGCCATTGCTGAGGCCTTAGGCATAACCCAGATCCTCATCCACAAGTACTCGTCCGTGTTGTCCGCATACGGCATGGCGTTAGCTGACGTGGTGGATGAACGACAAGAGCCAGAATCGAAGATCTGGTCTGACGAAGGGGATACCCGTGAATACTTGCAAAAGAAAATGAAAGATCTCAAAAATAGATCGACAGAAACACTGAAGGATCAAGGCTTCACCGAGAAGCAGATCGAGTTTGAGGAGTACCTGAACCTCCGTTACCGAGGCACCGAATCTGCACTCATGATTATTAAGCCCACCAAAGAAGAAGTCGAGGGGGAGTTCGACGGCGATGACTGGGCCTTTGGTAAAGCGTTCGTTAAACAGCACGAACAGGAATTCGGCTTCACACTTCCTGACCGCGATATCATCATTGACGACGTGCGCGTCCGTGGCATCGGCAAGAATTTCGCCGGCATGGAAAAGACAGTTGACAAGCAACTCAGAGAGGTCACGCCTAAGGATATTGGATCTGACAGGAAGAAGTACGGATCTCGGAAAGTGTATTTCGAGGGCGGAAGGCAGGAGACTCCGATCTACAAACTTGAAGATCTGGAAGTTGGTGATAGGGTTCAAGGACCTGCAATTCTGGCAGATGGGACCCAGACGATTGTCGTCACCCCAGGCTCGAGTGCGCTGATGATCGAAACGCACGTTGTTATCAATATTGGTGAGAGTGATCGGTCGGAAAGAAAATTGGACACGAAGGAGGTGGATCCGATCATGTTGAGTATCTTTGCTCATCGTTTCATGGCTATTGCGGAGCAGATGGGGCGTGCGTTGCAGAAAACAAGTGTGAGTACGAATGTCAAAGAGAGACTGGACTATTCTTGTGCATTGTTTGATTCTGATGGTGGGCTTGTGGCAAACGGTGAGCACCTTAGATACCTTTCGTGAGAGTGTTTGAGCTAACAAGACTGAATCCAGCACCACATCTGCCTGTCCATCTTGGTAGTATGTCAACATGCGTACGCAAACAAGCTGAGATCTGGAAAGGGAAGTTGAAGAGAGGCGACGTACTCGTGTCAAATCACCCCTTGTATGGCGGTACGCATCTGCCAGACATCACTGTGATTACTCCAGCTTTCAATGGCGACAATATCGTTTTTTATGTTGCGTCCCGCGCCCATCACGCGGATATCGGTGGCATCTTACCTGGATCGATGCCTCCACATAGCCGGGAGCTCTTTCAAGAAGGTGCCGCCATCAAGTCCGAAAAGTTAGTATCCGAAGGCCATTTTAACGAAGAACGGATTATCGAACTATTGCACAAGGAGCCAGCTCAATATCCCGGATGCAGTGGTACGAGATGTCTACCGGATAACTTGAATGATTTGAAGGCACAAATCGCAGCCAACAAGAAAGGAATTATCCTCATTGAAAGTCTCATTGGTGACTACGGCGAAGATGTAGTCCAATTCTACATGCGTAGTATCCAGCACAATGCCGAACTCACTGTGCGAAGCTTGCTTAAGGATGTCAGCAAGCGCTTTCAAGGCCGAGATCTATCTGCCGTCGACTACATGGACGATGGAAGCCCCATCAAACTCAATATCAAAATCGATGCCCAGAAAGGCGAGGCGGTCTTCGACTTCGCCGGAACAGGCCCTGAAGTCTACGGTCAGTACTCACCCACCGCTCAGCCCTTGCGTTCTTGCCTTTATAACGTGTTGTACTGATGGATGAATTAGGTAACACCAACGCCCCCAGCGCCATCACCTACTCCGCCATAATCTACTGTCTCCGCACACTTATCTCCGATTCTATCCCCCTAAACCAAGGCTGCCTCGCCCCAATCACAATACACATTCCACCCTCTTCATTCCTCGCACCTTCCGGCTCCGCCGCTGTCGTCGGCGGCAATGTGCTCACATCCCAACGCGTCACTGACGTCGTGCTGCGCGCTTTCAACGCTGCTGCCGCGTCGCAAGGAGATTGCAACAATCTGACCTTTGGCTTTGGCGGGAACCCCTCTGATGGTAGCGCGGAGGTCAAAGGCTTCGGATATTACGAGACGATCGCAGGCGGATCAGGCGCAGGCGAGACGTGGGACGGCACGAGTGGGGTGCACACGCATATGACGAACACACGAATAACTGATAGCGAGGTGTTCGAGCGGCGATATCCAGTCATCTTGCGAGAATTCAGCTTGAGAGACGGCAGTGGGGGCGAGGGCTTGCACAAGGGTGGAGATGGGGTTGTGCGAGACATTGAGTTCAGAATCCCGGTCCAGGTCAGCATACTGAGCGAAAGGAGGGTGTATAGGCCGTATGGGTTGGAGGGAGGAGAGGATGCGCAGTGTGGGATGAATGTTTGGGTGCGGAGGGTGAATAGAGATGGCGATGCGGAGGCAGATCACAAGGAGGATATTCGCACGGACGGGGAGACGACGGACCGAGAGAGTGTGGAATTCAGGTATATCAACATGGGCGGGAAGAACACGGCGAGCATGAAGCCTGGCGAGAGGATTATTGTAATGACGCCTGGCGGTGGTGGGTGGGGGAAGAAAGGGGGCGAGCGCAAGGCTGTGAGGAAAGATGATCCTAAGCACTCGTGGAAAGGCGGAAGTATTGCTGAGAGACAGGCCGCTGGTGAAGCGTCGGCTTGAGCTGTACCAAGAGACGAGGAAGAATTTGGCAGCAAGTATGGATCTGATTCATTACTTGCAGAAAGAAGGAGTGGTGTTGATAGAACTATTCTGTCCTTTTATTTTGAAGTATGACGATTCTTGATGCTTCGAGTCGTGATCGATGCTTTACTCGGACTTCGGACTGTGGTTAACTACAAGGAAGTCCTGACACATTTACCCCTTGTGCTGTGTTTTAGATGCTTTAATTCAGTTGGAATAAATATTGTAGTATGTATGACATTGTAAGAGATCCCTGGCCTACCATTTCTCGGGGTTAGAAATAAGCTCCGGCGGTTGCCCTAGGATCCGGATCCATGGACACACCTGTCACATCCTCACCCGCACAATACAACTCTCCACTGTCTACACGGAAATACCATGTCGCTTAAGTCTGGTAGGAAAATCTGCTCAAGAAGATTGTACCTGCGTTGCCTACTTACATACATTTTGTAGAAGCCATCTGGGCGCCCTCCCCCACTACCACACGCGGACAGCCCACAATTCTAAGCGCAGACAAGAAAGGAGAGCGCATTGCATACGCTGTACGCCAATGACATAACGCGCATACAATAGACACGGCTGACCTTTTCATAGTCCGGAAAATCGATATTTGTCCGCTCAATTGAAAATCCGGCCGAGTGCCGCCAATACACGCAACACACGGCTACCACCACTGTCGCACGGTTCGCGCCGTCTGGATTCTACATTGCAAGTGGAGATGCGTCTGGATCGGTGCGAGTCTGGGACTGTGTAGGGGAAGGCGTCACAAAAGGTCGAATTACGAAGCACCTCCATGTAAGAAAGTTGTGCTGACAATATCTTAAAAGGCGAATACCACATCGTCAATGGCCCAATCAACGACATCGCCTGGGACGGAGACTCCCAGCGTATCATAGCTGTGGGAAGTGGAAAGGAGCGCTTCGGCCATTGCATTACCTGGGATAGCGGGAATACTGTTGGTCAGATCTCAGGTCACTCTGCGCAGATCAATACGGTTTCGATACGGCAGCAACGACCACTGCGTGCTGTCACCGGTGGTGATGATACGAGCTTGGTATTCTATCATGGAGCGCCGTTCAAGTTCAACACTAGTATGGGATCACAACATAATCGATTTGTGTTCGGCGCGGCGTTCAGTCCTGATGGAGTTGTGTTCGTGAGTGTAGGTGCGGATAAGAAGATTTGGCTGTTTGACGGCAAGACAGGGGAGCCGAAGAACCAGATTGGAGAGGGTGTGCACACAGGTAGTATCTTTGGTGTGTCCTGGGCACAAGACTCAAAGAGATTCGTGACTGCCAGTGCGGATCAGACTGTTCGAATCTGGGATGCCGAAGCTGGAAAAGTCTTGCAGACATGGCGCTTGGGTGGTGAGGGTGTCAGCATTCCGCATCAACAGCTGGGTGTCGTGTGGACGGCAGCCCGTGGAAATACACTGATCATATCGGTCGACCTCGAGGGAAACTTGAACTATCTAGTGGAAGGCCAACCAGAACCGGAGAAGATCATACATGGTCATCAAAAGAATATTACAGCGGCGGGAGTCAACAAAAGCACACTTGTGACAGGAAGCTTTGAAGGGAGGGTTCGCGCATGGGACGTCAAGACTGGGCTTGCCCATAAAGTTGAAGGAGATGGCCACAGCAACTACGTATCCGGATTCGCAGCAGCTGACATCAATGGTGAGAGTCAACTACAGAGCATTGGCTGGGACGATACCCTCCGTAGCCTGTCACTCGAAGCCAAGACATTCACGGGCACAACAATACCCACTGATGGCCAGCCTCGCAGTGTAGCAGTGTCAGGAGCAACGACCCTCGTCGCAACCTCCAACGGCATTCAACTCTTTATTGATGGCGAGCCCTCAAGCATGACTAAAACATCATACACACCTACCTGCATAGCTGCAAGCGGTAGCACTGTAGCAGTTGGTGGCGACGAGAAAGTCTATATCTACACCCTCTCCTCACCGTCCTCTTTGCAACCCACTGGCCAGGAACTCCGCCCGGCAACCGCAGCCGTAACAGCCCTATCTTTCTCCCAGTCCGGCACGAATCTCGCTGCAGGCACCGGCAGCGGCAAGATCGTCGTGTACACAGCTTCAGGCGACTGGGCCGTTGCCACAGACCGCTGGAGCGCTCACTCAGGGCGCGTGACGTGCATCGCGTGGGCAAAAGATGGTGATGCTGCGGTCAGCGGAAGTCTGGATACCAATGTATTTGCGTGGAGTTTGAGGGAGCCGGCGAAGAGAGTCAAGGCACCGAATGCTCATAAGGATGGGGTAACAGGTGTGGCATGGGTGGACGGGCGCGTGTTGAGCACAGGGAGTGATGCGACTGTCAAGGTGTGGACTTTGCCATGAAAGAGATGAAAGCTGAGCGAGCTGTGGTACTTCTATACCAACATGCTCAGCAGAGGCTAGCAATTTGACATGTATAATGTTCACTCGAAGCAAATTTACTGTCATTCGGCTAGCCAGTCATGCTCATGCATCCTCCCAATCGTTTCCTTTCCCAATCGCGCCGTCACAAACACCCATGGCATATGGAAACAAGGACCAAAACATGAATATTTGGAGAATTCTGATATGTGGATTAGCTACAGTCCCTTAGACTGCAACAGTCCCGGACCGGACTCACGTAAGACGGAAAAGGTCGCGGCTAGCGAAGGCCTACACCAAGGACTGTTTTCGCCGCTGCTGCTGCTGAAGCTCGGGAGTCTACCTAATTATCAAGTCTTGATAGAATGCTTGGCTGTCAATTATCCCGCATGAATGACAGACACAGCTCGTTCTAGCCCAGGTTGTCACTGAGCGTTTACCACACCCGAATAAGGCTAGACCGGCATTTATTCTGACAGGCCAACTAATCCCTAACCTGGTAATATGGCTATGCGGGGGATTATCGTTGGGGCTAATTAGAGCTGTCTTGGAAACGGGCCGACGCCGTGGCCGTGGCCGTGACCGTGACCGTGCAATTGCTTATCATCCTTTGCGGCGTTCCTGTAAAATCCTTCTTCAGCTGCCTGCTGGTAGCTCGTGGTAGGTGCGTCTGATACCATTTCATCTCTCTGCTCTTCCCCACGTTTTTATTCCTGATCTCTGATTTCTGATTTTTTGTATTCTTGGTTTCTGGTCTCTCATGGACAACTACCACCACACCGGAACCGGACATCTGGACCCTGAAAATCTCGACTATATTAACGTGTAAATGAGGAGCCTATCCAGGCGCGACTAAGCCTTCACCATGCCGGACCAATTGGATTCGGGAAATGGCAGCACCAAAGGCTATCGTGGGGGGAACGAACTCATCAACCAGGCCATGATGGCTTTCACGGCTATCGCTTGGGCTAATGCCATAGAACTTACTGTCCTCATCTTTGTGGTCTTCAAGAGATATGAGGGTACTTACTTTTGGAGTCTACTTCTCAGCACTCTTTCAATCGTGCCATACTCGATTGGAGCCTGGATCAAACAGGTCTACACCCCATATCGGGATTCAGTGCCATCTCTGTTACCCGTCGCGTTTCTCAACATCAGCTGGCTCATTCTGATACCTGGCCAATCGATTGTACTGTGGTCTCGTCTGCACCTAATCATACACAATCGGCGACAGTTACGTTTCATACTCTGGCTCATCATTGTAAACTGGTTCTTATTCTGTATTCCTACAACTGTATTCACATGGGGCTCCAATACCCACCAAGGTCCTTTTGTCACTGGCTACGCCGTATACGAGAAGATCCAAATGGTCGCATTCTCATTACAAGAAATCTACATCTCCGGCATCTACGTTTGGGAGGTCCGCAAAGTACTAGCCTTCGTTTTCGAGCGAAACTCCAGAAAGATTATGTGGGAACTCGTCGCCATCAATGTCTTTATCATCGCCCTTGACATCGCCCTACTCGCCGTCGAGTTCATGAACATGTACCAAGTCGAAACGACCTTTAAAGGCATGGTCTACAGCATTAAGCTGAAGCTTGAATTCGGTGTCCTCAGCAAACTTGTCAAAGTCGTCCTCGAGCGAAAAGATTCGCACGCCCGCATCCCCTCCAAAACACAAGAATCCGCTATGGACCTCAGCCAATTCCCAGCCAGCCCGAGCGAAACGCCACAGGTCCTGACTACGGAGCAGTTCACAAGGAGTTGTATAGGTTCAGTCTCCACTCGCAAAGGCTCCATCAAGCACATCGAACATATGACACGCGACTTCAACTTACCAGCCGAATGGCGCCGCAACCATTCTGACGATCTGGGACATACTGGACCCCTCGTTTTGCACGAAGAGGATGGCCTTGTGGATAGGCCGAGAATGGCGAAACGCGAATCGCAGATGTCTGATATCGCGCTGCAGTATCCTGGACGACTAGACAGCGTGCCAGGCGCCACGACCACGTAACAGCACATCTGCATCTGGAGGAGCGCTTATGCGGAGTGCCTCGGATGTGACATGTACTGGGATCGAAATGACCTCGTCGCGATTTAAAGGACAATGGTCCAATGAGGTGAAGTGACATCCATGCTCGGAACGCGCCGCGCGCCGTGGGAATAGTGCCGAGAGTGCGGCATAGATGATCGCATGATCTCGAAAGACACATCGTGCTTGGCGAGGCATATTTGTTGGTGGCATGTAAACTTTGCGCGACATCTGCAATTTCCAGATGTGAAAGCCTCGTAGTCGAAGAAGTTATCTGTAACGATTATTGATCGAACGTTGCGCAGAACCATGAGACAGGAAATGAGAGATACCCGGTGGAGTACACCCATGCGCAAATGAATGTGTAACGACGGGGGATACAGCAAGAGCGAGCTTGCAAAAAAGAGACGGATGATATTGGAGCTTTGCGCATTGCGTTTATTGTTCGAAGGAATGGTAATCACTAGTGTCGGGATAGAACACGCGCATAACTCGCGAACCGCTTTCAATGAAATCACATGTTGAGACATAGAGCATGGTATACACGTTGTATTAGATGAAGTAATAGAGGGAGCATGATCTGTGACCAAATCGCGCACTTCAAAGTAAACAATCCTCTGAGCACAAGCAAGTGTCCAGCCCCATACTCGCCACACCTTGACTCCCTCTAATCCCGTCGGGTCTAGCGCAATCAGAGTCTTGGCAAATGCCGGACCCGCAACGGCATTCAGATACAAAGAAACAACAACATCGTGCATTACGCAGCTTTCTAAATCAATTACGCACACAATGGATTCCCAACACCGACGTATCGAGCTCCAAACTCCCTCAGATTTAACATATCTTGAAGAATACGCAAAACGGGTTGCGAGAGACAAGATTGATTTGAATTTCCCGCCCGCCGCCGCCGTTGGCGAGGATGCGATGAGAAAAAAAGTGGAAGAACTGGTTGGACAGGTAAACTGACCACACTCCCGCTCGTTCATATGTGCCGTAACCTGTGCTGAATGGGCTCTGCGAGTTTGTCGCTGACATGTTGCTTCCGGGTAGTATTTGTCTAGAACGTTCGCCGAAGCAAGGAAAAACATGAGCATCAATGGCATGCCGGTTCCGAGCGCGGATGCTGTCGCCGGTGAAGGTAAGCACACCTATATTACACACTGCTTATGCCATTACTCCCCCAAACTCACCATGAATCCTCCACCGACATGCTAACGTTCAATCTAGCGTATGAACCCTTCGACACCACCCAAGCGGACCGCATTCGCGATCTCGAAGCACGCAAAGACGCCCTTCAAAAAACCGTCGCTCTCGAACGCCGGAACGGTGCCGCTTCAGCAGCGCGCAACTTTGAAAAGGCATACACTGCACACGTTGACGCTGAAGACATGCAGTGGCTGATGGCGAAGAACGCGGTGATGGAACGAGCTGAGAAAGAAGCGATACTGGGAGTGAACGCACCGAAGAGAGAGCAAGAGTATGTCGAGACGTACAGGAAGGCGAGAGAAGATCTGGAGGGGCTGAATAAGGGCCTGGGCGGTACGGTGGGAAAGTTGGAGAGAGCAGTAGGCAGTGTGAGGTTCCTGGAGGAGAAGTAAAGTGCACCTTAGTAGGTTTGGTAAACGGTGTTTTGGTGGAGTTGAGGGCTTCATTGGCGTTCGGATATGAGATGAGTTTCAGATGATACCCCAGATTCCAGATCATTGTCCATTATGTTGGCATAGCTGCCGGAAGAAATGTAAAATTAGCGACTAGTTTTAGAAGGGGCGTCTTTCTATATCCTGACACTATATTCTGGTTAGAATGGAATACATTATTGGAAGCCTTCGGCAAACACCAGAGATACACGTATCGCTCGTCCTCCACCATGCAGATTAGATGGCTCTATGGGTAGGATGCTTCACGCATGCATGGTTCCCTTAGGACTTGGGCGGCAGAACGTCATGGGTTTACTTCCATGGCATGCCATTTTCTCACTTAATGTGGAACGTCTATGAGGAAATCAGTCTTTCTTTAATAAGCTTCATTGACTGATAGGTGTAGAGAAGGAGCTTGGACAAGGCTCAAGCGAGCACATACGGCTTCGCAAGACCTCCGCACGGATCTCAACCACATATTCAACCACCAACCGCCAATCACCAAGAAGATCCCGTCCCAGCAATGGTACGAACAGCCCCAACGGGAGCAGCTTCGATCTTGATATCCTCACATGCACCTTGGGTATGTCAAGCGTGTTTCCGTCGGCTTCAGTTGCGCCCACAAGCCGCACCCAAGAGCTTCCAGCTATCAACTCGACTGCGCAGCCTTCATACCGAGCTCCGTGTAGACGATGCCGTACCATATCGCAAACTGCTTAAGGATCAGAAGAACAAGAAGAAGAGCAAGGGCGTGAAGGGATCATCCAATGGCAAAGGCTCCCAGTTGACAGACTGGGAGCTTACAGTCGGCATCGAGATCCACGCGGAATTGAACACCGCGCGAAAGTTATTTTCCTCAGCGTTGACCTCTACGAATGAGACTCCAAACACACATGTCGCCCTCTTCGACGCCGCGTTCCCCGGCTCTCAACCACAGTTCCAGAAAGACACCCTAATCCCCGCAATCCGCGCAGCTTTAGCTCTCAATTGCGACATACAGAAGCGTAGCACCTTTGACCGTAAACACTATTTCTACCAAGACCAGCCCAACGGCTACCAAATAACACAATATTATGAACCCTTTGCCAAGCGTGGCCACATCACGCTGTATCCTCACGACGGCATTGCAGAGCAAGACTATCCTAGTATCACAATTGGTATCGCGCAAGTTCAGATGGAGCAAGACACTGCAAAAACTCTCGCCCAACCACCACATACCCACCTGATCGATCTGAACCGCGTCTCGCACCCTCTCATCGAGATCATATCGCTCCCACAAATCCATCACGCGCAGACGGCAGCTGCATTCGTCCGCAAAGTCCAGGCCCTCCTACGCGCTGTCAACGCCGCCACCCGAGGCATGGAACAAGGCGGTCTCCGTGCAGATGTCAACGTCTCGGTACGGAAAAATTCTGCAGGCCCCGGCGCACTCGCATACGCCGGTATTGCAGGTCTCTCACAGCGCACTGAGATCAAAAATCTCTCATCCCTTCGCGCCGTCGAGGATGCAGTTACCGCCGAACGCGACCGCCAGGTCGGTGTGTTAGAAGCCGGCGGTATGATTGAGGGGGAAACACGGGGGTGGACGATTGGACAGACAAGCACGACGAGGTTGCGCGGGAAGGAGGGCGAGGTAGATTATAGGTACATGCCCGACGCTGATATCATGCCTGTGATAATTGGCAAAGACTTTGTCGCGCATTTGAGGGAAACGCTTCCTAAACTACCGGATGAGGTGCTGGATATGCTTGTTAGGGAGCCGTATGGGGTGACGGTGAAAGATGCGAAGACGTTGCTTGCACTCGATGATGGAGAGAGGTTGGATTACTATTTTGATGTTGTGCATATACTACAAGAGACGCTGGAATCCGAGGCGGCTGGTGTGAAGGGGAAGGTTGGCAAGATGGCGGCGAATTGGGTCCTGCACGAATTGGGCGGATTATTAGCGGCCTCGACAACGGAGTGGGTGCATAACAGCGTACCAGCCGGAAAGGTTGCAACTATCATTGCATATCTTCTACGACGAAAGGTGACTGGCAAGGTCGCGAAGCAGCTGCTGAGCACGGTGTTTTATGAGCCTGAAAGAGAGGTCGAGGATGTTGTAAGGGAGGAAGATCTACTATTGCGGCCCATGAACGACGAAGAATACGAAGCCTTGGCGCAAGATGTCATCACGAAGAACGAGGACGTGTCGGTTGAGGTGCGCGAGACTGGACATCAAGGAAAATTGATGTTTCTCGTGGGACAACTCATTAAGCACGGCGAGGAAGGCCGGGTTGAAGCCGATCGTGCGAAACTGGTGCTGCAAAAGCTTTTATTAAAGGGATGAGCGTGATCGCGACGAAAATATGGAGACTTACATACAGGCCCGGAATTACGCTGGGTGGTCCTGAATTACGCTGAGTATGCCTGGCACCGATCTATAAAACATTGCGAGACAATATCTAAATGTGATAGATGAGGATCGGCTGCTTGAAGAAATCGAGCCTTTCCAACAATGCGAGGCTTGACACGGTCATCAGGTTGACGTCAACATACACAACAGTTAAACAAAAGAACCCGACTGCTACAATAAGTGGCAGAACTGTTGCACGACTTATATCCTAATCAATTAGTGGTCGTGTCTCTACACTTTCACCGTTTCCTTGAATGGCAATCTGCCGCATAGGAGATGACAAGTTCCCTGCCATCACCGTCAAGAAGAATGTTCTGTCTGCTCAGCCGTTGGTGTGTTGTATCGTGGCGTGCAGAGTGAACTGCAAGATCTGAAGTATTGCGAGATTATGGAAAAGTACAGTTTGATGTAATTTGTCTGTCAAGATAACTGCTATTTTCAAATAGTACATCCTAGAAAACAGCTTGGCTATGTTGCAGCATACAATCGGTAGGTCATACTGTCCTAGCAGTTTTCCCCATGTCATACACATCTGTTAAGTGTCTTTGTAGTACGCACGACGGATTCGGTTCCACAGACCAGGTCCTGTATATCGCTCCCGATTGGTATGGTCCTCAATGCCAACGACCTCATGCCCATCCACACCTTTGTTATCGATAGCATTCTGTTGCTTCCCCTGTGCCGAGTCAGTCACCATAGCTTGAGCAGGTTCGTAGGCTTACGAGATAATAGTCCGGCATAGCCAACGTAAAGACGACACAGACAGTGGAAAGCAAGAGACTCGTGAGGAATATAATCCCCATTGTGCGATCATATGCACGGACTGCTCCAACTCTGATGGGATCATCTAAGTCATACTCCTTGAGTAATTTGATGGATCCGTAGACCTTTTTGATAGTTGCCTCAGAAGTGCCTGCAGGCAGCTCTTCACGAAGAAATTTCGGCATCTTGTTTGTCCAGATAAGTGCGCCAATAGCAGAGCCCACGGAACTGGCCAATATACCCCAGAGAAACAACAAAGACACCGCGGAAGCAAGATCAGTGTGGGCGACGGACCCTTGACTGCCAACTTTTGCCCCGATGGTCATGAACCCACGAAATCCAACGAGGACCTGGGAGACCGCTAAAGCCGCAAGACTTTGGGTTGCGCGTCCGTTTCCCGTCAAGACAATCCCGTTTCCTATCAGCCTTAGAACAGCTCCGATGAGCATCAGTGTCTTGTATCTGTGGGTGATACGGTGTATTAAGCCGCCTAGGGGACTGGTAAAATACAACGTGAGCATACTTGCCTTATGGATGTCAGTCTCTGGCCTGATTGATACAATTGGTACCTTACATTATTGAATACACTCCACTCAAAGTCACTGAAGGACTGAGTAACGTATGTGTATGAGGAGAAATATCCGGCTCTGGTACCAGTGGACATTTGGCTAGCCACTGTAACGACCTGGGGAACCGAAGCTTTAGCTAAGGTGCAGACGATACAGAAGAGTGGTTCTTACAGTCGCGCAGATCCATGCTTTGTTCAGAAGAATTGTCTTCCTCATGACTGGTTTGGGCGCCAAGCACACTTCGTACGCGATGAACGCACCGAGAAGAACGAAGCCTACAACAAGCATAGCGATCATGCTTCGGTTAGACCAGCCTCCATCTGCATTCTCTGCAAGAGTAAGACATAGAAGGATAAGCGAGAATGCAAACCCAAGCAGGACAAGCCCCAGGAGGTCTATGTCAATAATACCTTGTCGAGCCAGACCTATGTACCGTTTTAAAGAGTGGTCTACGCGATTTTTCCTCACCATACTGCTGTCTGCGATGCCATCAAGACTCATCTTATCAGCTTTTCGTTGGATGCCGTATAATGTGCCTATGGCAGGTAGCATAAGGATTGGGATCATGATGGCAAAAATACCAAGTCCCCATCGCCACTTATCTGGAACCAGAGCGTCGACCATCCCACCTGCGGCAAACGTAGTGAATAGACTGGAGACGTTCAACATCCCACCAGCAAACGCCCGCCATTGAAGCGGAGTCAGGTCGCCAACAATAACGTTCGATAATAAATCCAGACCTGACTCGCCAAACGACGTGAAGCAGATGCCAATCGCATATGTGGCCGTGTTGTTGCAACTAGCTGCTACGCTATAGCCGATAGCATAAAATACGAGGACAACGATGTATGTGTCTGGTCGAGAAGTGATGTCGGACATTCTCCCAAGGAAGGGTTCGGCGATTGCACGGATGATCTGGCTGGCAGTTGCTATGGCGCCCTGGCAGCGATTAGAACGACTTGTGGAGATACCAGCGCTCGTGTGACTGCAACACGTAACTTACAATATCTGCGTGTCGGCCAAAGGATGAAGCGGCAATCACAGTGAATTGAGATGTGCTTGCCTGATCTAAGGAGTATCCAATCATGGTTGCGAGTAGCGAAGCCTGGTAACATATCAGCCCTGTATCCGGATGGAGTCCATGTACTGGTATCATACTCACCGCAAGAACCCAAAGTAGGACTTTTCCAGTCCTGTTGAATCTCCGTCAGTGATTACATGCATAATGAGGCTCTAGTCCACAGCACCTACCTGCCGGAATGATATAAAACGTCATTGAAGCGCTCCATTTTCTCAACACCACGATGTTTTACATCTTTGGGATCGGTTGGTCTCTGGGAATCAGCATGGGGGTTAGTATCCAAGGCTCCGTGTTCCTGTATGGCTATACCATGATCATCTTTCAGCTCGCCACGACCGTTGTTCACCGGCATCGCCGTTCCTTTCTCTTCCGCCATTGTGAATCCCTGATAGCCTCTCTCTCTTTGAACTCGCGACAGCTAGAAAACTAACATTCGCGTACATGTACAAAGTCAAGAGTAGTGATTTCGTCGCTTTTTGTTTAGCCTGCTTGAGATTCTGCTCGTTACACACGGTGTATGTCAACAAACACTGGACCGAAACAGCTGATGGCCAGCGAGAAAGTTTTGGCAAGGGGCTGTGATAGCACTTAATACTGCTAGAAAGATGATACCTATTGCTGCATCGGCATTGCCGAGACAGTGAGGAGTAAGAGTGGTAAATAGACCTTGTGTAAAGGCTGATACACAACTATAGAAGCGAAAGGAGTCGGTCGCAGTACCGAGCTAATCATAACTACGGATCTCATCATGTTATACGTAGTGGCGTATGAGCATGCCGCTCACTGGCGGTAATTGGCAATTGTTTATTGGTGTTGTGTTTAAACGGTCCGATTAAAGATTTAGTTAGACGCAGGATTATCTACTGAAGGGGGCCTTTGCCGAACATCAATTCCTTCCTATCGCTTTGTCGTCGAGTAACCCAACAAGATCTTATCTACACGAGGCAGCCACCCAGCTATACGACACTAGTACGTCTCAAATACCTGAATAGCAGTATATATCTTACTCACTCCCGTTATCCTTAGCCGTGTCCACATCTGCTCCGTCTACTCCGTTCTCTTTTTGGTCGAAGCCTAGAGGGCCGACTAAGGCCTCGCACTTGTCTAATCCTGCGCGTTGTACTACACTGCGAAAGGCAAGTAGGAGTATAGCGAAATGATATGGATGAACATGATACATAATATACTTCCTGAATCTTAGCGAGTAGCTTTGTGTACTGCGTGATGAAAGAGCATGGATCTGTCATCTAAAACTCAGGTCGAAATTTGTTTCTAGCTGGATTACTAAACCTACGTCCTATTATCAGCACGTATATGGGGTAAGATAGTACCAATTCGCACTTATCTTTATTGGTTCTTTCCTAAGTAGAACTCAAAAACTTAGACGAGATGTGTATATTCTTTCCGTTTTATTAGAATGTCTCGCTATGCAAATACTAATTATATAGTCTTGCCATTGAAGGCCGACCATGATCGCGGCTTCCTTGGCAGCTGAAGAATTAACAGCTGTCTATCTTCCTCTACATAGTATTAACTAAGGCCTGCGAATGAACCTAACAAGGTAAATGAATTCATTCGAATCCTGCGACGACGAGGAGTTGCATCTCTCGAACTTCGAAGCGTGGCAGTTGGCAGCGCTAGAAGACGTAGTTGAAGGTACATGACCGGGGCCTTGGAGGACTGCTGGAAGTTACTACGACCCTTGCCTGTACGAACGTCGAATCCATCATCGAAGAGTGTCATTTCAGTGAGATCGAGTGATTACCTTCATACCAAGTGGGTGGGTCATAAGTAATCGTCGTCAACGTGACAGGCCTCAAATGATGAATTACGCACACCAAGGCGAGTACGAAGTCTATCCATGCTCCCTGAGAGACTATACTAAGTTAGCGTTGCACAAATGATTATAGATAACTTTTCGCAATTAGTGAACATCTCTTCCATGCTTCTTTTTCATACTCTGCGTGGGTTTCACAGTATCTAGGTCTTGATTACGAATATTGATCTTAAGTCGAACACTTGAATATAAAAGGAAGCAGTATCTCGGACATTAGAGCCCATCAAACGAGAAGCAAGCATTCCTATATCTCAATTCAAGCTTTGGTATCTTTACAATTGATTCGACATGATGAAACATTTATTCTCCCTCGCTGCCTCGCTCGGTGCAATCGGTGCATCTATTGTTTCTCAGAAAAGCGCTCGTGGCACCCTGACGTTCACATATTCTCCCAACATCACACGCGTCACAATCTCGAATCCGCCAATCAATGTCTTCGACGCCAATCTTGCCTCAGATCTCCTTGAATTCCTCCTCTCCATTCAACCTTCGAATACCATGCCTCTGAGTCCTCCAAAAGTCGTCATCCTCGCGTCTGCGGACGCAGATTTCTTCATCCCCCATATTGATCTTCTTTCTATACTCCCACCTCAGACAGCGGCCAAAACTGCCTTCCTCGACTCCTGCACCCAGGTTACCGCGCTCCTTCGCAACACTACGACTACTGTATTCATCACAGAGATCGATGGCCGCGCTAGTGGAATAGGTGACGAGATCCTGTTGCAGACAGACCTGCGCTTCGCCGGCCCTGGCGCACGGCTGAGTCAGTTGGAGACAGCTGTCGGAGTGTTCCCCGGCGGGGGTGGTATGAAGGCTTTACCAAGCCAGATATCCCGTGCGCGTGCATTGCAATACGCTTTGACTAACGAGGCAGTGGGTGGAGCTAAAGCCGCGGATCTGGGTTGGGTGAACGGGTACTTTGACTCCAAGGAGACATTGAGGATGGGTGTAGATGAGGTTGCTAGAAAAATTGCACTGAGACCGGCAGGAGCGCTGGAGGGAGCAAAAAGAGCACTTCCGAGGCTGTATCCTCATGAGGCCGAGTATGAGGACGATTTGAAGAAATTTTCAGACTTGGCCGGAAGCGAAGAAACGGCGGCTTTGGTAAAAGGATACATCGAATTAAGTGAGAATCAAACCAGAGGATGGTTTGAGCTAGGTGTTCCGGAGTCGCTCGAGGAGTTGTTTTAGTTGTATACATTGTATAGAGATAGAAGCGACTGAGATATCTAATAATCTTTTCGTTACTAGAGCTAGCTCTATAACTCTCCGACACGTCTCTTCTTAGATTCAGAGTCAACGTCAGAGACATCCACGGGTGGTGCTAGGTCGTGCATGGGCTGACCCAAAGTCTCGCTGACTGAAGCTGACGGCGTATTACCAGCTTCTAGAGAAGGGGTATCTGTCTGGATAGAAGAGCGGAGCATAGCGTTCTTGACGCTGATAGCATTTAACGCCTCCTTGATATCGTCCAGTCGACTGGAAATAGCGTATTTGCCAATGTTCGTCAACATATCTCGATACTTGATGATATCGGCGTCGCTTCTCATGTCGCCTCGTAACGCACTCCAAGTCCAAATTATGCTTATACCAATTAGGACGTCGCTCGAATTAATGTACTTTCCGACGATGCATCACATAAGCTCCACCGATGAAAAGTAGTTTATGGTTTCATGTAAAAACTCAGCTGAGAAGCGGATGGACAAAGATCTAACGGCAGATAGGGAAACAGCTATGGAATGTTTTGGAATAAATTCAAGTAGTATAAGGCCAATACCTCACAATGCGATGCTACTTTAAAGAAACTCTTTTATTCTCAAATTTAACGAACCCTTTTTTGAATTCGCTCCATGCCGCTGGGGTTTTGCTGGCCAAGAGCATTTTGTCGTAGATTTGATGTTGCATGATTCCATAGCCCATCCAATCCTCGACACAGCGGAAGGGCACCTCAATGCCTGGTTGATACTTCTGGATGCTCTGGAGTTGATCCGCAATGCGCCGACACAGCGAACTGTCATGAAACTCAGTCGCTACCAAATCACCTCGGACTAGTCGTAGACGTAAAAGAGTAATGTCAACGACCCCAGCACCACCGTCCGGAATGTCGGTTCTGAGTATGATTGTGATGTGACTCAGGCTGTATGTCGTTGCAAAGTGATGGACTTGTGGCCCCAGGTGGAGGACGGTCTCGAGAGCAGCCACGACTCTCTGGATGGCCACGGCTATGTCTGGGCCGATACGGACGAGGGTATGGGACGATAAAGTATAGACTAGCCAAGATGACTGCGGACTAGATGATGCGTGTCTAGCGATAAGCCTGCCGTCCATCGTCGCGAACGAAGTCGACGTTGATGTGTTTCAGTAGGAAGATCGGTGCCACTTGCAGTTTCTGACTTGGATGGACGGGCAAGATCAGGTGACGTTGCTTGGCAAGCCATAGATCATACAACAAGTTCCAGACAACTAGAAAAGTTCGTGGCATATATTTGCAGTTGCAATTATAGTGGTAGGCGTTCTGCCCCAGAGAGCGCACAATGTGGGATTGCTATGGGTCATCCCCATTACTCAGATCTTATTCAGCACTAGGCTGGTATATATAGTATGCAAATAGACTAAGTAAATACGTCAATCAATTTTGCCACGTCAAATTCAACCAGAGTTCCCACACAAGGAGTCCAAAAGGTCAAGTGAATGCATTGCCTTTTTCCACTTCATTCCTCCCCGCAAATGGTACGATGTCTTGATGCCTTGATGCCTTGATGCCTTGATGCCTTGATGCCTTGATGTCTTGATGCCTTGACTAGCCGAACCCTGACTCAATCTGTATCACATTGATTCTGGTGTTCCATAAGCCAGATCGCAACCACATGTTGTAGTCAATGTGATATCAGCTAACCATCCCACTGTGGATGTGGACATGACGCAAACAGTTCCGTTGTTGTTGCAAGTGGCGGTTCGGATGGCGGAATGAAAGTGCCCACAGGCGTATGTAGTTTGCTGCTAAGTACACATCTGGTCGGCACTCTTGGAACATTAATTTATGAGAAGGCGCATGACTTACTTGATGCTCTTACATGTAGCGCCGTAACAAATTCGAAGGAAGTGCGTCGAAATAACGATTATTTAGTTGGTGACTGCCCGACGCCTGGCTTTGATATAGAATTGAGATGAATGCACAAGACCTAATTTCGAAGCTACTGCTTCGAGGGTGGAGCACACTACTTTTAAAGGCCTACACAACCGACGGAGATAACGGAATAATAGCAACAGGAGCAAAGCCGAGAAAGATTTGTTAAGGCTAGAATATCACACGTACTTCGGAGGCGAACCGTATACCTAGGCTCCAGCATAGCATGCTCGCATGAACGTGCAGCTACCTAGTCATGGTCTCTAGGCAGTGACTGTGCCACGCGGATGCTAGTGGTGCATCGCCCCTACGACTTATCACCAAGTTCTTAGTCTAATCGAGCGTCTAGACATGTTGGCATGGATGAGCAGCCTGTTGAAGTGCCAAACGATAAGCCATCACAGGGGTACTAGGAGTCTGGTGTCCATGCAGCTTGCGCGGATGACGCGGTTGTTCCACCATCAAATCCCACTCTGATGGCACTAGCTATCTATACGATGCTCGTTAAGCATCATGCGCCGCTCACGTCGTGGTTTAGGCAGCAGCGAGGCGCTCGACGGAACTACATCCCGACGTTTCTCCTTCCGGTGAGCATGAGTTGACCCTGTATACAGGTGTAAGAACTTCCGTGAAGTCTGCTCCAAGGCCTTCGAAACAACCGCGTCGTATGTTCGTGTACGTACTCCTTAAAAGATTTCTCGTCGCGAGGGTCGTTCAATGGTGCGATCGGGGTTTCGTGAATTTCGCCGAGTTCGCGTTCGGTTTCAGCCAGCAATGCTTCTATGTCGTCCATATCGCTGGATTTCAAGCACAGTGGCGGGTGTACCAGGACGTGGAAACAAGGTAGCGAAAGAAGCCTCGATGCGCACTACTAAGTTAGAATCTCACAGCCCGTGCCAGACTATGGGTCAGTTAACCTTCGAGGTCCGGCCTAGGATGTGATCGGCTGAACGGATCCTATGTAGAAAGGAGAGTTGGGCATTGGCAGAGGCGAATGCGCCTGGCCATGCATGGCTAGGCTTTCGCATACTCTCCTGCAGGCCCTACATTATACGAAAGATCCAGCACGGCGCTTGGGAATGCTGCCTACCCACGTCGCTATTGGAAGATTCCGGACGGCTAGCATGCAGCATCATGCAACTACAATCAACCCAGGAGGAATGACTGACACACAGACTTGGATAGAACTATTGAAAGGACAACGAAAACTGACCGGTCACTCGCGACGATTCGAAAATCTGCCTCGCGTGCTAACGCATATTTATATGCCGACCGGTCTCTAAACGACTAGTCCTTAGCCCCTGATAATGGATAACAGTGCCCCAGGAGGAGAACCTTTCCTTTTAACATTGGCCTAGATATAAGTAGGTAGCTATCTCTTGATCTTGAAGTACCAAGTTTTACTACCAAACCCTCATTACCGCGTCGCGTCGCGTTGCCTCCCTTCGCTTTTGCCTATCATAGGTATCATCTTTCTACAATGGCTACCATCAACTCTTTAGAGCTTGTCAACTCTGCAAATTGTCCAAAATGCGGATACAATAACATGACGGGAAAGGAAAAATGTGAAGGCCCTCTACAGGATGGATCTACTTGCGGAGCTGCTCTTCCCGTGACTACCGCTTAAGGTGAATATCAACAGGCTTGCTGCGAGACTTGTAGTAGTAACAATGAATAGCTTTGCCGAAGGACAACAGACAGCATATCGGGCTTAGATTGTTTTCAGAGATCCAGAAAGATTAGTTACATAGGTCTCTCTAGTAGCTTGGCTGTAAGGTTGTTACGTAGACGTTTAGCGTAATAGTAGAATCATATCTCTAATCGCTACTACTACTAAGATTCTGTATATCCTCGCCATTTTATCCAAGCCTGTGAATAATCCTCGAAACCCTTAGCTTCTAGCATTTTCTGGATTCCTGCCCTCCAAGCTATAGCATTATCCGATGCCATAGCAGAAAAATTCATTCCACTAGAAAGTCGAAATTTGGTTCTGATCCAACCTAAGGGAAAATAGCCAGAAATTTCAAAGTCAATGATGCCAATCCTTCCAGTATTTGGCTCATGTTCCACAATGATATTGGTAGGTCCAAGATCGGCGTGATAAAAGACGAAGCTTGAGCAGTCCATACCGATTGATTCAAATCCTGAATGAAGCACGCTGAAGTCGTCTTTTGGCCCAGCAAGAAAGTACTCAGGTATGTACTGATTATCTACGCCACCCAAAGCTGAACTTCGCCATTGTGTCATTTCTAGACAGGCATCGACTACTGCAGACATGTAGTGGGTTTTCCAGTAATCATTCAGGGTTGGCCACGCCGTATCTAGCGTTCGTCCTTGAAGTCTTTGAATAAATAGGTAAGATCTGTCTTTATCAAATGCATGATGCAATACCCTTGGTGTCTCAAAACTAGGTTGTCTATCCTTTACAAAATTTAAAGTCACTGATTCAGGCGTGACACCCTCCTCGGTGTACCGAACTTTGCAAATCGCGTTGCCTCCTATCGACCAGACGGCAGAGGCATCACCAGCTTCGTGAATGAGTTTAATATAGGGACTATCGGCGTGTGCTGCGACAGGGAGGGGTAAGGACGCACGCGTCAAGGTGTAGCTCGAATTGTCGCTATCGTCGTTCCAGGTCGCGGTATCACTAGGAGAAGGAGATCGGTGCAAGACGAATTTACCGATGAGCCAAGTACTGCGATCGATTTGTTTGAAGGATTTGTTAATGTGGTTATCGCCCCATTTCCGTTGAACCACCATTGGAAGTATCTGATTACGGCTGGCGTTTTCTCGGAGGAAGGAGCGTATGTGGAAAGATAGAATGGAGTGTGTATTCAAGTGATTGTGAGAATTGTTCCCAGTTATGCGGGCGATGGTCGTTACAGAGAGTCTACGAAAATGATCCTAGGCGTTATCCAGGGTCACAGTGGTACTAATGCGGAGCCACGAAATATAAGTGGCGCAAAGGGACGCGGACCATTAGTATCAGAATATAAATAGGTAACTACTATTAGTAGACACAACGTACTTCACAAGCGAATAGCACGCTACCATGTGATATAGCTGGTTTTATACTATGGGAACTTAGATTAAATTTAATATAGTAAATTAATTAATATATATATCTAATCTATCTATATACTATATATACTAATCTAGTACTAAATAAGATCTAAGTAATAAGAATAACTTAATAGAAATTCTATATCTTTTCTCTTTTTATTATATAAGCTTTTATAAGAATATTAAAGATAATTAATAGAATTAAATTATATAATATAGAGTTATAGATATATAAAATCTCTTTAATACTAGACTATTTTAGATAATATATTATATAAGAGTAGTAGTCTAAGCTTATTTTAGTACTAAATAGTTATCTTTACTATTATTATATTCTATTAAAAGGGTTTAGTATTAGAAAAGCTAAGAAAAAGATTAAATTAGTTAAGAAATATAAGATTAAAGAATAGTAGTACTCTATAAGAATATAGAGAGAATATTAAAGATCTATAGTACTATATATTAGTTATACTAGCTTTATTCTATTATATATTATAGTTTTATATATTATAAAGGGATAATACGGCGGTAAGGGTAAAAATATCATTTATACTATGGTTTGTATGCGCGCGAGACATGCGTGCACCGGCTGCTAAGCTTTCTCATGTAACTATGGACAAAGCACCAATGCAGCCGGTCTCTCGAGCTGAAGATCACTAAGGAGATACAGCACGTAGCGAGAACTCTGCGCATCGAAGAGCTCGAAGCCGCGTGGAGATTTCAAGGCGGTCAGGATGCGGGTTTCAATCGATCAGTTCTGTAAACAATTACGTACGAAGCGTCAGAATAACTAGCCTAGAATTTCAATACCATGCCATAGAGATGTAAGTCGCTTCAGTTGAGCTTGGTTGCAGTTATTGATCTGCAAACTGGTCTCCGTCCCGAAGCCAAGTATCTGCCAGTAGCTCCTGGGCTCTACTCCTCTCATCCGGCCTCCACTTCATCATCTTCCTCAGAAAAGCCAGGAACAAGGCTTTATTCTCACCTTCTAGATTGCGCTCGGATTCTTCAAGGCTGTCCTCGGGTATTTTCACCGTTCCCTTCCAAGACCCTTCCAATGAGTCAGTCAAGTCCATTGGGTGCTACAGAACTGAGATGCTCACCGTCTAGGTTAAAATACTTCGGTGCGATATCGGCCTTTCGGATCAGATCGACTGGGGGAGGGCCAAGCAGCGCGACAATGTGTGCCAACTGGTGTTCTATCGACACTTCGCCTTTCGGATTTCTGGCATTGAACATATTGCGGCCCTCGAATAAGTCCCATATCTACGCATATCAGCAAGGGGTTCCGAGTAAGAGAAGAAGTAACGCTGACCATTGCTCCAACATTCCAAATATCCACCTTATGGTCCCATGGCAGCCCAAGGAGAACCTCTGGGGCTCTGTACTGAGTTGGTTGAATAAGGCCAGTGTGAGAATCTTCCATTAGTCGAGCCTCTCCGAAATCCGTAAGAACAGGGCGCCCTGGATTTGTGGTATTGTCGAGATCCCTTGACTCGTACACGACGCGGGCACCATCAATCTTTCGCGGCGTTGGATATTCCAGCTCGTGTTTCGCAAACTCATCGAGAATAGATTTATTTTCTATGCCAAGGAGAATATTTTTCTCCTGAAGGTCTTTAGAAGTTAGTTAGGAGCTACGTTTACGAAAACTACGCTTACCGCAATGAATAATTTTGGCATGAGTGTGGAGGAACTCCAAGCCAATGAGAATATGTATTAGTGTGAGCTTTAAGATATTCTCTGGAAGCTTCATCCCTGAAACCCTGCTTCTGAGTTTGCCTAAACTCATCCCCAAGGGCTTGTGGATGATGCACAGGAAGTGGTGTCCATGTTTTCGGAGCTCGAAGTTGTCGAGCATCCTTCGGACTAGCGTGGCACCGGCATGTTTCGCTCTGACACTGTCAAGCCGCCGGTATATATCAATTTCCCTCTTAATATTAGGCGCGTCACTGCGACAAAGTTTCAAGACAACATAGTCATGGTCCCTGACTGAAGTTAGCTAAAATCAACATAGGCTGGGATGGAGACTCACGCAAAGTCGCGGCATAGCCATACTGTAGAATATCCTCCGTAACCCAACTTACCCACGATCTGATACCTTGTGTTCAAGACCTCACTAATCTTTGCCGGGTAGAATGTTGTCGGGGAGTACAATGACTCTCGCTCCTCCTCGACCACTAAGCCATTGTCAAGAATCGGAAAGCCAGTGGTTGGAAAATTCCAAGGTGGTGCTGGAGATCTTAGAAAATTACGAGCGCTTCGAAGAATGGAAGCCATCTGAAAGCGCCTGCGTATGCAAAGGATGGAGCATAGCAATTTGAGATTTCCTCAAGCCTCCAGCGTATAAATACGTATTTATACGTATAAAATATGACGGAATATAATATCTACGTATAGAATATAACGTATAGACTAAGTAGATTAGTAGATCTAGATACTCTATATAATTTTATATAGGGTATTTAGATTAAGGGATACCCGAGACTTACTAAGTATATACTATACTTATTTATCTTTATTATCTTTATTCCTTCTATTATATCTTACTACTATCTTACTATTTTCTTATCTCTTTATACTATAAATCTATCTATATTAGTATATTCTTATTAATATAAAGATTAAGATATCTTATACTACTCTATAAATTAAAGCTAATATACTTTAACTTATTAACCTTATTATTAGTAATATTACTATTACTAAATTAGCTAATAGATAGCTACTAGAAGTTATTATATCTATTAAATCTTATAATTATAATACTATAGAATCTTAGAATATTACTAAATTAGATAGTACTATATCTAACTCTACTTCTTTAACTTAGGCGCTAAGCTAGTAGTCTACTATTACTTATATTATACTATCTATTACTATCTAGAAATAATCTTATACTAAGTACTATTACTATACTAGCCTTAATAATCTAGGGTATATTATATAGTAGAGAGAGATTATTTATACTATCTAATAGCCTTATATTAATATAATAGTAGTAGATTATCTACTATATTAGAAAAGATATAGTACTTCTAAGTACTTCTAAGTACTCTCTAAGTATTCTTTTATTCTATTATATTTATTAGATAGATCTACTTATTAAATAAAGTTATTATATTAGAGAAAGAGTTAAGTCTCTAGAAGATAGTTTAAATATAAAGTACTAAGTACTAGTATTCTATATAAAAGTAGTTCCTTCTATACTCCCCTATACTTAAATAACTACCCTTAGTAGAGGCTATCTAATCCGAGCTATATATATAATACCTTAAATAATTATAGTAGAAGAGCTTTAGTATATATATTAGCTAAGTTCTCTATAGAGGGAACGTAGTAAATACTAAACTTCTTTTTAGAGTATTATTCTTAAACGAAATAGAAGTAGATAGTAATATATTTTAACTAAGTATTAATCTAGTAGTTCTAAATAAGGGAGAGAGCTACTTAGTTATTAGTCTTAAGCTAGGGGATATAAAGATTTAGATTACTATAGATTTTCTTAATTATCTATAATACCTAAACTAGGTAAGAGACGGTAGCTAAGTAAGCTATATATTTTAATTTATAGATTAATTTTATAATAGTATTCTATCTCTTTACGGTCTAGGTAAGTATATTACTATTAACTTAGAAAATATAGTCTAAAAATAAACGAGATATATTAGAGTTAGAACCCTATAATATATTAGAGAATATAGTAATTTATACTCCTCTAGTACGACGTTATATAACTAGATAGATAAATAAGAATTTCTAAATATAGTAGAGAACTTAAAATATAGTTTATAGATACTTATAAGAAGAATTTATATTAAAAGTAGTAAGTATACTTATAGTAAACGTAAGGTCTAGATAAGTATAAGTTATAAGATAGTTAATAGAGCTAATAAGCTACTAATTATAAGAATAGGGTAATTAGATAGTAGTATAGCTAGTGTAAGAATAGGGTTATTGGATAGTAGTATAGTTAGATAGAATAATATAGTATATTCTATCCTAGAATAAATTACTACCGAACCCTTTTAGTAGAAATCTAAGAGTATATATATAAAGGGACGCCGATCTATCTAGCACGTAACTATTTACCGCCCTTCCCGCTACCTTCTAACCCTATTAGCTAAGGTACGTGTAGATCGGGTTATACCTAAGACTAAGTTCTAATAGCTAGATAGAATAATAGAGTATATTCTATTATAGAATAAATTACTACTAAACTCTTTTAGTAGAAATCTAAGAGTATATATATAAAGGGACGCCGATCTATTTAGTATATAACTATTTACTATCTATTATACTACTATCTAACTAAGTTAGCTAAGATATATATAGATTAAGTTATATCTAAGGCTAAGTTCTAATAATTATTCCCTTTCTTTAGAAAGCTACTCTTAGTAATCTAGATTATTATCTATCTCTATAATCTCTATTCTAAGTTCTATAAGATCTTAGTTATTTATTATACTTTAGCTTAGATATATATAGATACTAGCTAATCTAAGAAGTATATAAGTATTTTTTTAATAAACTAGATTTTATCTATTCTAAATTCTTATATAGGTAGAATTATCTAATTAGGCCTAGCGTATTACGTAAGATAATTAGATAAATCTAGATAGTATCTATATTAAAATCTTTTCTTAGAAATATTCCTTTCTTTAAAAAACTTTATAACTTATTATAGAGTTTTTTAGATTATTAGATATATTATCTAATTCTTATAGATATAGATTTATATAGATTTACTATAATTTACTATAATTTATATAGTTTA